TATATCAAGAAGCTTTATGTAAAATATTTACTAAATCACCACACAGAGAAAATTGCACAAATTGACTGTACATCTAGGTGAATTTTCATCACATGAACATACCCAAATCAGGAAAGAGCATGTCCTCAGCACCTCAAAAACCTGGCCCCTAACACTGTAGATTAATTTTTTCTGCCTTAGAACTTTGTATAAATTGAATCCCATAGAATTTATCACTTTTTTTTTTTACTGCCCCCCCATGGCATGTGGAATCTTAGTTCCCCAACCAGGGATCGAACCCAAGCCCCTTGCATTGTGTTTCCACACAGATTCTTAACCACTGGACTGTCAGAGAAGTACCTATTTATTGCTTTTTATGTTTGCCTTTTTTAACTGATCAGTGTATTTATAAAATATACCCATATTGTTGCCTATAGTTGTAGACACTCTTCTGGCTGAATATACCACAGTTTATCCAGTCTACTAACGATGGTCATTTGAGTTGTTTCCAGTTTTATACTATGTAGAATAGCATTGCTATAAACATTCTTGGGGAAATTATGTTTGCATTGCTATGGGTCTATGCTTAGTAAAATTACCAGCTTCTCATTACGTGTGTGTGTGTGTTTAAATTCACCAATTCAAAGATGGATCTTTTTGCAGTTGCCTTATTTTTACTCCTATTTACTTCTATTTTTCCTTACTACTCTACAGCACAGAACCAGGGCTGTGCTGAAGGTCACAAATGAGCCCCAAAATAAATGGATTAGGTTGCACCTTTCTACCCAAGCAATGCTGAGATGGTTCTCTCACGAGACAAATGTCTCCTTGCCCTGAAGCTCATCTGTCACACACAGATATTCATGGCTGTTCATTGTTTAGTTACTAAGTCGTGTCTGACTCTGTAACCCCATGGACTACAGCAGGACTGGCTTCCCTGACCTTCACCATCTCCCGGAGTTTGCTCAGACTCCTATCCATTAAGTCAGTGATGCCATACATACATGGCTACACCTACAAAAACATTTTATATCTTTTCCAGGGTCTCTGATCCACAACTAGCCTTAGGGGAAAGGAGAATGTTACTGAATCCAAGCTCAGTAGGCTTGTTGAAGACTGATTGACCGAGAGACTAGGAGTTGAGGCGAGGAATACAACTTTATTCAGAAAGCCAACTGACCAAGAAAAAGGCAGAATAATGTCTCAAAATAACTGTCTTGTCAGGGTTTAGATGCCAGGTTTTTTTTACAGGACAGAGATGGGAAGGAGTTGAGGAAATAAACCAGTCCATCCTAAAGGAAATCAGTCTTGAATATTCATTGGTAGCACTGATGCTGAAGCTGAAACTCCAATACTTTGGCCACCTGATACAAAGAACTGACTCATTGGAAAAGACCCTGATGCTGGGAAAGACTGAAGGTAGGAGGAGAAGGGGACGACAGAGGATGAGATGGTTGGATGGCATCACCAACTCAGTGGACATGAGTTTGGGAAAACTCTCGGAATTGGTGATGGACAGGGAGGCCTAGCGTACTGCAGTCCATGGGGTTGCAAAGAGTCAGACACAACTAAGAGACTGAACTGAACTGAACTGAGGAATAGAGATAACTATCTTACAAATATCTCCTGGAATGGACAACCTCAGGGAGGAGAAGTGTTAATCTCTTCAGGCAGAGATTCCCTCTTCAGGCAGGGTTCCCTGAGGCAGGTCATTATATACAATTACAATAACAAAAGCAATGAAAAAAAAGGTTAAAGTCAAAGAAACAGATTCATCTTGGAGTCAGAGTTGGCTCTTGCCTGCAATAAATAGAGGTACCTATTGTCACAGCAACCTTTTTTAAATGGAAGCACAATAAAACATACCTCCTCTCTGGAGAAAGAAATGGCAACCTACTCCAGTATTCTTCCCTGGAAAATCCCATGGCTGGAGGAATGTGGTAGGCTACAGTCCATGGGGTCGCAAAGAGTTGGACATGACTGAAGTGACTTCACTTTCTTTCTGCAGATGAATACCTGTGTGAGATCATTCTGCATAGATACATATATTTGTGTCTATACATCTGTCACTTGAACGAGAGTATCAAGTGCATGCCCCTTCCCCATCATCCACACACATGCCTCGTCACCCAAGCTGTGGAGCGGGTCTCCTTTAATGGTCTGGAGCAACACCGTGCAGTGGATCTGCACGTGACCGCCTCGTTTTTTTGTCCTGTAGTAGACCCCCGCGACCCTTGCGGGACCCTTTAGAGCCAGACCCCCATCCTCCACTGTTCTCTGTCAGCCGCGCCATGCAGGGAGATGGCCACTCCCTCCCTCCTCCTCGACACTGTAATCATTGTTTTACAATCGAGTGCCTTAATAATAGTTTACAAATACTGTGTATTTATGGGCAGCCGGTCCGCTTTCGCCTTCTGTGATTGGATACTTTGCCTTGTCCGCGGTGGTTGGCGCTGGGGCTGGAGTTTGCCTGCCCCATAGTTGGGCTGATCTGCTGGGCGGCCTCCCGCACCTGCCCACAGCCAGGCCAGGGGCATCGCTAGAAGCGGTGCTGGCTGGAGGTCCCTATGGGCGAGGCAGGCGCTGTTTCAGCCGTGGGCCCATATAGTAAGCAAAGATAAGACAGGATTGGTAGGCCGACCAGCTCGGGCACCCTCTGGACCACAGCCCTGCCCCTCCCCTTATACCCTCTCCACATCACAGCTATTCTGTTCAGTAGACTTTTTATTATCACCTTGACCACCCCCCCCCTGCCATTTTCCTCTCTTTTGGTGTCCTGAGCTCTTTGCAACAACATGCAGGTACAGAGTGCCCTCCCCAGTCAGGAGCTCCCCTCCCCACAAGACATCCTGCCCTTTGGTTTTCAGAAGCTGCCAGTGGGTGCCAGTATGTTGCATTATGATATCAATGATTTTTTTTTATTATATATTGTTTTTCTTCTTGTTTTTTTTATATTATATATTTAAAAGGCAGTATCTTTTGTACTGTGAATTTGCAGTAGAAGATGCATAATGCATTTTTTTTTTAACTTCTGTTGGTGTGTACTGTATATAGTCTGTGTGCTTCTTGTGAGGAAAATAAACTTTTTCTTTATAAAAAAAATAAATAAATAAAACATACCTCCTTAGCTTAGGGAAGGCACAGGGTTTTCCAAGTGGCTCAGACGGTAAAGAATCTGCCTGTAATGCAGATTTGAATCTGGGTTTGACCCCTGCATTGGGATGATCCCCTGGAGAAGGGAACCACAACTCAATCCACTATTCTTGCCTGGAGAATTCCATGGACAAAGGAGCCTGGCAGGTTACAGTCCATGGGGTCACAGAGTTGGACACGACTGAGCGACTTTCACACTTCCAATATTCTTGCCTGGGAAATCCCAAGGACAGAGGAGCCTGGCGGGCTACAGTCCATAGGGTCTCAAAGAATTGGACACAACTGAGTGACTGAGAGAGAGCAAGAGAGATGGAAACCTTGTCTGGATCCCAATTTGAGTAACTGTAAAATAAGACAGCACAACAGGGAAATTTTATACTGACTGAATAATAAATGATAATATGGAGTTAATGGTAATATTTTTAGTGGTGGTGGTTCAGCCGCTCAGTCGTGTCCAACTCTTTGTGATCCCTTGGACTGTAGCCTGCCAGGCTCCTCTGTCCATGGGATTCTCCAGGCAAGAATACTGGAGTGGGTTGTCATTTCCTTCTCCAGGGGATTTTCCCGACCCAGGAATTGAACCAAGATCTCCTGCGTTGCAGGCAGATTCTTTACCAACTGAGCTACAAGAGAAGCTCGATGGTTTTAGAGCTGATAATAATATTTTTGCTTTAAAGTTGGGGGAATGGGGAGTATGAAGATCTGCATAGGTGAATAAAATAATGACTATTTGTTGATAACTGTTGAAGCTGCATGATGGGTGCATGGGGTTCACTATATTATTTCATTATTATGTTTTTGAAAATTCCCATGTTTAAAAAAAAAAGGCAAGAAAAAAAAAATCAACAGGAGTTCCTTTAACAACCATTCCTAACAGTAGGAATGGGTAACAGGGCTCTGCCACTGACAAGCTGTGCAACTCTGGGCAGGTCACTCCATTTCTCTGAGACTCCGCTCACTCTCCTTCAGGTGTGACTTCTCCTGGGGCCCTAAGAAACCAGCAGGCACTTTGAGAGGAGCCTCCGGGCACTGAGGGACAAGGACCCCACCACCAAGCCGACATGAGCTTTAACCTCGGTTCTGACACTGATGCTTTTGAACTGTGGTGTTGGAGAAGACTCTTGAGAGTCCCTTGAACAACAAGGAGATCCAACCAGTCCATTCTAAAGGAAATCAGTTCTGAATATTCACTGGAAGGACTGATGCTGAAGTTCAAACTCCAATACTTTGGCCACCTGATGCGAAGAACTGACTCCTTGGAAAAGACCCTGATGCTGGGAAAGATTGAAGGCAGGGGGAGAAGGGGACAACAGAGGATGAGATGGTTGGATGGCATCACCAACTCAATGGACAAGAGTTTGGGTAAACTCCAGGAGGTGGTGATGGACAGGGAGGCCTGACGTGCTGCGGTCCATGGGGTGGCAAAGGGTGGGACACGACCGAGCGACTGGACTGAACTGGCACCGCATATGACCTGAGACCCTCGCAGCCCTTCCGTTGCTCAGTATTTTTATCTATAAAAATGACATTCCTATCTCATTGGTGGGAAAATTAACAAAGGTAGAGTGTCTGGCACAGTGGGGGTTACTCAATAAATATTCCCTCCTCAACGACTCGATTTTGCCAGAAGCAGCCAAGTTCACACCCCTGACGTCCTTGACAGGCCATCCCAGACGCTGCGGGCAAAAATCTGAAGAGTACGCGCCGGCAGGTACGGCCACAGCGCCCTTGCGCGTCCAGCCGGGAAACCGCCGGAGTGACGGCCCCGCCCACCGGCGCCCGCGCCTGCGCAGAGGCTCCGCCCCGTTGAGGCGTTGTGTCAGGCTCCCCGGACGCCAGCAGGTCCCCAGCGACCGGGCGGCGACGCCATGGCGGTGCGACAGGCGCTGGGCCGGGGCCTGCAGCTGGGCCGAGCGCTGCTCCTGCGCTTCACGGCCAAGCCCGGCCCGGCCTACGGCTGGGGCCGGCCGGAGCGGCCGGGCCCCGCGGCGGGCCGGGGCTGCGGAGATCGCCCGGGCCCGGCCGCGGGACCCGGCACGGAGCCGGGCAAGCTCGGGCTCGGGCTTCCCGGCCGCTACCGCTTCTTCCGCCAGTCGGTGGCCGGACTGGCGGAGCGGCTCCAGCGGCAGTTCGTGGTGCGGGCCCGGGGCGGTGCGGGCCCTTGCGGCCGCGCTGTCTTTCTGGCCTTCGGGCTGGGACTGGGCCTCATCGAGGAGAAGCAAGCGGAGGGCCGGCGGGCCGCCTCAGCCTGTGAGGAGATCCAGGTGAGTGCCGGCGGCGGGCGGGGCGGGGTCGGCGGGGAGGGCCGGGAAGGGGGCGAGGCCCCAGTTGGGTGCGGGGCGGGCCCGGAGCCAGGCTGGGGGCGGGGTTTAGTGCGGGGGCGGGGCCCGAGTTGGGGGTGGGGCGGGATTGGGAGGCACTGACTGCCTTGGGGCCTAGTGTCAAGATTTATCTTGTTCAGTTCAGTCCAGTCGCTCAGTCGCGATCGACTCTCTGCGACCCCATGGACTGCAGCACGCCAGCCTTCGCTGTCCATCTCCAACTCCCAGAGCTTACTCAAACTCATGTCCATCACGTCGGTGATGCTATCCAACCATCTCCTCCTCTGTCGTCCCCTTTTCTTCCTGCCCTCAGTCTTTCCCAGCATCAGGGTCTTTTCCAAGGAGTCAGTTCTTCGCATCAGGTGGCCAAAGTATTAGAGTTTCAGCTTCAGCATCAGTCCTTCCAATGAATACTCAGGACTGATTCTATTTACCTTGTAGCTGGGAATTCCTTGGCAATCATTGATTAAAGCTCATTTGTTACTGATCTTCTGGTGCCGGGCCATGACCTCACTTTTGTTTTACTATCTTCCCTTCCTCAAACGGGGCTTTCCTGACAGCTCAATTGGTAAAGAATTCGCTTGCAATACGGGAGACCCCGGTTAGATTCCTGGGTCGGGAAGATCGGCTGGAGAGGGGATAGGCTACCCACTCCAGTATTCTGGCCTGGAGAATTCCATGGACAGTCCATGGGGTCACAAAGAGTCAGACAGGACTGAGCGACTTTCACTTTCACTTCCTCAAACAGCATGGTTTGAAAGATACACTAATTATATAGCTCCTGTGGCTCCAAGGCCAATGACCTGTAAATTTTCTAAAATTTAAGGACAGCTAAATCCTAACTCTTAGGTTCCAGAGGTAGTTGTCATCGCCAATTTATGGATGAGGAAACATACTTAGGGAGGTGAAAAGCGAAGTAACTTGCTGAAGTCACAAGTCTAACTTGCACAGAACCTGTGTTGTTAACCACTTGCCAGCCAGGCAGCCTCTACAGTTTAGCCAATTAGTGATATAGCTGAAGTCGCAGTAAAAACCAAAACAGCAGGCCTAGTGGTTTTTAGTTAACAACCTGTATAGAGTTATCAGGGGTGACTAAGATGCTTAGTTCTTGGGCTTTTTAAATGTTTTAAAGAGCTCAGAGGATTCTGTTTCTACTCAACCAAAATCTCTACTTCTCCAGAGAAACAGAATGAATAGGGTGTGTTTATTAAAAGGCAGCTTTATTTGAGGGAATTGCTGTTCCCAAGTCTGGCAAGTTCAGACTGCAGGGCAGGCAGGCAGGATGGACACCTGGGGAAGAATCACTGTTAAGTTCAAGTCTGAAGGCCATCAGTTGGCACTGTTCCCTCCTCTTCAGGGAGATCATTCTTCCTGGGGTTTGGAACCATTCGCTGCCTTAGTACAGCCCCGGCGTTTCACAGCTTAGCGCTAAGGTGGTGCAAGGTGGGGTGACCTGCCCAAGGACACAGCTGGTTAAAGACCAAGCAGTGTCTCCCATGTTTCCTGGCTTTCAGCCCAGGTTGTGTTACTCATCACCAGAGCGTTTACGCTCAGGCCCCTTTGAGGCAACAGGTGACGCCTGACCTAGTCCCCAGCCTCTGCCCCTTTCTTTTGTTACATACAACTCAGCCGGCAGAAGCCTAGGGCGGCCAACTTGACTAACCCTACTTAAAATTACAGTGGCTGTTTCTAAACTGAGGACCTTGACCCTCCTAAGCTTCCCATCTCCACATCCTTTCCTCAAACTTCACTCTTCTGTGTCTTAAATTTTTTAATTAATTACCAATTAATTTAAAAAATTCTTGCATTTGACTTCTTTGGAAAGAAAATCAGAGTACCAGATTTGGCAACGTGTGTGCTAAAATTCTAATTCTTATGCTAATTAGAATTAATTCTAATGCTAATTCCATTTGGTGTCATACTGGAATAGAGCAGACCAGTCCCTTTAGATGCATTTGGAAAGAATTTTGTGGGGAGAATCCTTTATAAAATAGGCCAAAGATATGCATGTATATTTCACCAAGAGGAGTACAGATGCCAAATAAGGATAGTTCAACTTCATGAATCATTAGGGAAATGCAAATTAAAAATACAATGTGATATCTCTGCATACTTATTAGAGCAGCTAATATTTTAAAACTAAGCGATAATAGCGAATGCTTATGAGGATGCAGAGAAACTGGACCAATGGAGAAAATATAAAATAGTATAGCCACTCTGGAAAATAGTCTGCAGTTTCTTAACAAAACTGAACATACATTTGTTTATCGTATGACCCAGCCATTGCAGTCTTGGGCATTTACCCAGAGAATTGAAAATTTATGTTCACACAAAAACCTGTACATGAGTAGCTACTATGGGAAACAGTATGCCAGTTCCCCCCCAAAAATTAAAATTGTCGTATGATCCCAGCAATTCCACTTCTTAGTATATATCCAAAAGGATTGAAAGCAGGGACTTTGAACAAATATTTGTACACCTATGTTCATAGCAGCATTATTCACAATAGTCAAAAGGTAGAAGCAACCCAAGTGGCCATCAATGGGTGTTAAATCTTGTACACTAGTGTTGATGGCTGCATCCTTCATAATAGCAAAATATTAAAAACACAGACCTCCTTTACCTGGTGAATTGTTAAACAGGCCCTGGTACATACAGCGGAACACCGGGAATAAGAAAAGGAATCAGCCATCGGGACAGGCAGCAACCTCAGTGGCCCTCAGGGGCATCATGCTGAGCGAAAAACGTCACCTCCAAGTGGTCGCCCCTGTGGTTCTGTTCGTGGAACGTTCTCGAGAGGAGTGGTAGAGGTGGGGAGCAGGTCAGCGGTTGCCGGGGACGTGGGGCATGGGGCATGGCGGGGTGGTGCGAAAACAAAGAGGCAGCTCAACGGAATTCTCCTGTGATGGAGCAGAGCTGTATCTTGATGGTGATTACATGAATCTGGGTGAAATCTAATAGAGCTACACCACATGCACACGCACACGAGTGAATGCGGGTTAGAAAAGATGGTGAAAACTGAGTAAGATCTGTAGCCTAGTTGACTGTACGTCAGTTGGGGGAAACTGGGTGAAGGGTACACAGGACAGTTTGTTGGTTTTTTTGGGGGGCAGCTTCCCATGAGTCTATATTTATTTCAAAATAAAGCTTTAAAAAATTTATCTCATTCTCAAAACTATGGTTGACTGAGGATTACACAATAGTGCTTCAGCTCCACAGAATTTAGAAACTGGTTGGTAAGGCAAGACAGACTTTCATTTTTTAAAAACATTAAAAGTTCTCATGTGAGCTGTTTTAGCTTATAAACTCCAGTGCTTTAGGAATCTTCCAGAAGGAAAGACTGTTGCAGACTAGGTTGTCAGTGCTGGTTATAGGGGATGCAGGAGCTTGAGTTGGGACTTGTTGGATGAGTAGGGATGAGCAGGCTGAGCAAAGACAATAGAAATAGGGGGCAAGGGGAGGGGAACAGTTTGAGCAAAGGTTCAGGGAGAGGCATGTGGGAGACCAGCATGGGCAGTACAGAGCAGCCTGCAAGACAGTTTTCGTATGTAGGGAGTGTCAGCACCAGGACAAGGTGCTGAATAACTCCTAAGTTAGGTTCTGTTTTTTCGGTGGCACTGGTCTTCCTTGCTGCATGCAGGGGCTAATCTTTGTCGCAGTGCGCAGGCTTCTCATTGCGGCGACTTCTCTTTTCACGGAGCAGGGCTCTAGGGTGCACAGGTTCAGTAGTTGCAGTACACGAGCTCAGTAGTTGTGGGGCACGGGCTTAGTTGCTCTGAGGCTTGTGGAGTCTTCCCGGACCAGGGATCAAACCCATGTCCCCTGCATTGGCAGGCAGATTCTTATCCACTGGCTGCTGCTGCTAAGTCACTTCAGTCATGTCCGACTCTGTGTGACCCCATAGATGGCAGTCCACCAGGCTCCCACCTCCCTGGGATTCTCCAGGCAAGAACACTGGAGTGGGTTTCCATTTCCTTCTCCAATGCATGAAAGTGAAAAGTGAAAGTGAAGTCGCTCAGTCATGTCCGACTCTTAGTGACCCCATGGACTGCAGCCTACCAGGCTTCTCCGTCCATGGGATTTTCCAGGCAAGAGTACTGGAGTGGGGTGCCATTACCTTCTCCCTTATCCACTGGACCACCAGGGAAGCCCATCAGTTAGGTTATGATGTGACATTTGAAAGCAATGGGCTTTCATTGGACTCAGAAGCAAGTGAAGTAAGGACCTGAGTGGGAAAGTCTGGAGACAAGTGCCTAGCCATAGAAAGGGAGGGATCAGCAGCTGAGACGGGATCTGAGGAGGAAGGCAGAGCTTGGGCAACTGGAGGAATGATGTCACCTGCCTGAAGTAGGCAAGAATCCCAATTTGGGGGAAATGGTCTCTTTTCCTATGCACCCCCACCTACACTTCCATCTAGTTCCATCAGAACTCTTGTACTCTTTGTCTCCTTTCTGTAAACAGAATGCCCCCCCCCCCCCACCTTCCTAAGAGGCAGAAACAGGGAGACAGATGTATGGTCAGACCACTGAAGATCACAGTTCTCTTGCTCTCTGTACATCCCCTGTGGGACCAGTCCCTGCTTCAGCTACATCCTCCTCACAGGAATGTGCTTGCCCCCTGCACCAGCTATGCTTGTTCTCAGCTTTGGGCCAGAGCAGCTCCACCTGCTAGTTTATTAACAGCTTACTGACCAGAGACATTAATAATACGTCTTTTGTTACCTAATTGTTATTGACCAGAGTCGTCTTTTAATATTCACTTATATAAAAATCGCCAGCCACAGTTGTTAATTTCTGCAAAAAATCCCCCAATTGATAATATGTTAAAGGGAAACATCTGTCCTCGTGATGGTTGTTAACCTGAGGGGCTGTGAGGGACATGCCCCAGCCACCAGTTTCCCTGGTGACTGATGAGCCAACCTGACTTCAATTCCTCCTGTAAATAGCAGTACCCCCACCAGGCCCCGGCAGTGAGGATTGCTGCTGGGTCCTGCCTGCTGCACACGGCAGGGTGTTGCTCGGGAACCTTTCGCTGTAGACATGTAAGGTTCTCTGTCACTGTCTCTGGGCTTTTGCTTCAGTCATCCGAAGCCTGGGCAGCTACAAGGCCTGAGGGCCTTGAGGGTGCTACCTAAGAATTGGTGAGCCGGCCGAGAGGCCGAGAAAGTGCCCGTAAACACCAAGATGTCAGGAAGGGACAGGGAGCTTTGTTGGGGAAAGGAAAACTGTTGGGGAAATCCCAGGGTGGCCACCCACCAGCTTGTGGGCCCCTGTGACAGCTGACTACCGTGAGAGGTATCTTTCTCTTCGATTATATCACTGCTTTCCCGTTAACCTCAGAGTCTCTTTCTTGTTTAAATGTAGCAGCCCCATGCTCATGGTTCATCTGATTGCACAGGGATGGCTGATGAATACAAAATGCAAGGGCCTGGATTGTTTGTAAAATACAAGCATACCCCTGACCCACCACCCCCAAACAATTTAGACACAGGTTTAGAGTTATTAACTCAGGGACAGGCTTGTGAATTGGACATGGCCAGTTTCTTGCAAAGGCTTGTTTGGGGACTGTGGCAATGGCAAAACAATTAAAGCATACCCTTGGGCTTCTGGTCCCAGCTTTGAAAGGGAGCTGAGCAGTGATAGTGTGACGGAGCAGCAGTGATACGCAGCCTACAATGTGTTACAGCTGATGGAAGACATTACAGAAGGCCTACCTGTGTCGTCGAGTGACACTAAAAACCCACCTTACCAGCCACGAAGTTCAGAAATGGACCAAAAAAATAAGTAACATACACTGGCACATCCATCTGCCTTACAGCCCCACTGCACCTGGGCTAATGGGACAGATGAAAGCGAAAGTGATGGTCGCTCAGTCATGTCCAACTCTTTGTGACCCCATGGGCTATACAGTCCATGGAATTCTCGAGGCCAGATGTAGGTAGGTAGCATTTCCCTTCTCCAGGGGATCTTCCCAACTCAGGGTTCAGACCCAGATTTCCCACATTGCAGGTAGATTCTTTACCAGCTGAGCCACAAAGGAAGCCCCAAAATACTGGCATGGGTAGCCTATTTCTTCTCCAGCGGATCTTCCCGACCCAGGAATCGAACCGAGGTCTCCTGAATTGCAGGCGGATTCTTTACCAACTGAGCTATGAGGGAAGTCCAATGGGAGGGATAAAGGAACTATTTCAACGACTGAGATGTGAAACTCACTCTCTCACCGTGTGACCACATGTGACCCAGGAGGGTAACTCCAGCCCTACCAGCTATAACTGAGCATCCCAGGAGTGACCAGCCCCCTGCCTCTGCCACAGAACCCAGAGGCTGCTTGTCAGCACCCTCTAAGTTCAGTTAAGTTCAGCTGTTGACCACCAAAGGACCAACCCGCCAGGGAAATATTGTAAAGTGGTCCTGGGCCTGGAAGATAAGACCCTGGTGGCATGGGCTTGCCACCCTGTGGGGCATGGGATTAGAACGGGATTTACAGATCTCACCTTCTTAGAGATCGTCTACCCAGCCCCACCTAAGACTACTTAAAGGAATTAATCTGGGCCTCTACTGGAGAAACGCACCATTCTATTAACCCTGGGGTCTGTCACACCACCTCCCCAGGACTGGCATCGCCGTGGGGACCGAAAGTGGACTGGTGGTGTGGTCCCACAGGCCTGGCCAGGACGAAACCACAGGACGGGTGGGCTCTCACAATGCTGGCACTGCTTGTATTTTGCCTAGTGGTCACGACCTTCCCTATATTATGTGAATGTAAACATCCTACGTTTTGTCCCTTGTCTGAGCAGAGAGAATCTGTCCGGGGACTGGGCGACCGTGGTGGCCTAACTGTGAAATGAGTCTGGGAATTTCCCTGGTGGTCCAGTGGTTAAGAATCCGCCTTCCAGTGCAGGGGACGCGGGTTAGATCCCTGGTCAGGGAACTAAAATCCCACATGCCACGCAACAAAGCCCTTGCGGCCAAACTAAAGAAGCCAGCACCAAAGACCAGCATGCCTCAGCAAAGACCCAGCACAGCCAAAAAACTGAAAGGCGTATAGAAATGAGTCTGATCTGCGGGTCTCCGGCAAGATGCTCTGTCCTCCTGCGCGTCCCCGGGCCTTTCGTACTCTTAGCTGCTGGTGTTCGTGTCGCGTTTGTGGTGTTTGGTTGCAGTGCACTTCTGCACGCCTGACCCCGGGGACATCACAGGAGAGGGCTGGACCAAGATTGCAAGGGCCGCGCAGGGTCTGTGGGGATGGAGTCTGTGGTCTGGCCGCTCACAGTGGCCACTCTCTTGCTCTCTGTTCATGCCCTGCTGGACCTGCAGGGCCGGGGGCCTAGACCAGTGCCTGCGCCCCCTACAGCCTCCTCACAGGACGTGTGGCCCCCTGCCCCAGCTATGGTTGCTCTAAGTCTTGAGCCAGAACCGCTCCACCTGCTGGTGTATTAAAGGGAAACATCTGCCCTGGTGATGGTCATGAACCTGTGGGGCCATGAGGGACGCGCCCCACCCGCCGGTTTCCCTGGTCACTAATGAGCCCACCTGACTTCAGCTCCCCCTGTGAATGGTAGCTGCCTCCTCCCCAGAGTAGTGAAGACGGCTGTGAGGTCCTTCCTGCTGTCTGCTGCACACACTGGGATGCTTCTCCAGGACCCCCTGCTGCAGACATGTAAGATTCCCCATCCAGTAAACCACAGATGTCACGGTCACTGGCTCCAGGCTCTTTCTTCAGTCGCCTGGAGGCTGGCCATGTACAGGACCTGCAGACCCTCGGGGTTCAGCCCAGCAACAGGACCAGCAACAGGCTCCAGGGAGCCTCCTTATTTTCACCCACTTGCTTGCAAGAGCAGCCCAAGGTCATTCACAAGCACGAGGGGTGGCTGTGACCACATGCTCCTGCCCGTCCACAGCTCCTGGTAACAGTCCAGTAGCCGCCTGCCGAGGCCTTTGCAGAACGAACCGTCTCCATAATCGGAAACCTCCAAGGTTGGGCTGGAGCCTGACAGGCAGCGAAGGAGCGGCGTGCCAGCTGCAGAGCTGGGGAGCTGTAACCTCTCAGCTCACACAGTGTCCTGTGTTGGACTATTGCGGTGACTGCCATGAAGTGACAGTTTGAGAATTATTCTGAATAAGAAGAGAGAACAGGCTGGCTTGAGCCCAGGACCAACAGTAGCACCCATTTTAGTTGTTTTATTAGCACTCAATCTTGTCAGTGGAGATTTGGCCTCGCTGTACCACTCCATCCCTTCACTGAAGCCTCACGGGACTCCCGAGCTCACAGTGCCTGCTCGTTTTCTTCACAGGCAATTTTCACCCAGAAAAACAAGCTGCTCCCAGACCCGCTGGACACCAGACGCTGGCAGGGTTTCCGGCTGGAGGAGTACCTGATCGGGCAGTCCATTGGCAAGGGCTGCAGTGCCGCCGTCTATGAGGCCACCATGCCTGTGCTGCCCCGGGGCCTGGAGGAGGCAGAGCGCCTGGGCCAGCTTCTCCCAGGGAAGGGCCCAGACATCCTTCCACGAGGAGAGGAGGAGGCGCCGGCCCCACGGGCCCCGGCCTTCCCCTTGGCCATCAAGATGATGTGGAACATCTCGGTAAGGGCGGGGCCTTCCATCTCTAAAGTCATCCTTTTTCAAAATCCCCTTCTTGTGGGGGGGTAACCTGACGACACTTTTTCCCAGGAAATAAATAGGAACCAGCAAGATTCTCCACAGGACAGGCGCCTCGCGCCCTTGTGCAGCAGTCTGAAGCAGTGTGTCTCAGATTGTAACATGTCCGCACGTCAGCTGAGGTCGGGTTAGAAGGCAGGTTCTGAGCGCGGGTGTGGGGTGGAGCCCGAGTCCCGCCTCCCTGATGAGCTCCCAGGCTGCTGGGCCGCGAGCCACACTGAGTGGCAAGGACCCAGGGAGTCCAGGCCGACGAGCACATTTCAGGGCTGCGGTCTGCTCCGTCCTCTCGGTCCCTGACCTGGTCGTGGGGAAGGAGAAGCCACGTGCCTTCCTCTGAGCTCACCTCCCACCACACTCCAGACCCAAAGCTGGTGTGTCAGCTCTCTGTTCTTAACCCTTGCAGAACTCAAGGCTTTGGGAAGTTGAGTATTTTTCCCGCCCCAAAACAAAGATTTCTGTCCATTTAGAGTAGTTTCTTTATCTTGCCATTACATGGTGGGAGGAAGGTTAGGAAATTCACCAAGAGCTGATTGTATTTTCTCCCGTCCAGAGCATCTCTCCAAGGCTGAGGTGGGACACAGCCACACAGCTCATGCTGGACCCTGAAGGGTGTGGTTTGTGCCTTGATTTGGGGAATGAAGCTTATTAGACTGTGCTTCCAAGCAGGGCTGATAGCTAACAAGTAGCCAACCCCCCACCCCATGCCCACCCCCAGGAAACATCCAGTCTTAACATCAAAACTCCCACTGGTTGGGGCATGACAGCAAGTGCATTCACAGAAGCTAGAAGACTTAATTCTTAAAGGATTCTTTATAGGTGTCGCCAGTCCTAAGGGCTGTTCATAATGAAATGAGGAAAATACGGTGCTTTTCCTCATTGCTTATTGCTTTTTGCTGGTCGATAGAGGGCTGTTCTGTGATTCAGCACAAGTTTATCCAGGGCAGGCTTGTCGGGCTCAGCCTGTCTGCTGAAGGGAGCCTTCACAGGTGAGCGTTAGTGCTCAGTGGTCCGGTCTGAGCCTGGTGGTGCCTGGGGGCATCTGTGGCAGGAAGAGGAGCCCCCACCACGGTCGTCTCGACATCTCCTCCTGCCCTGGGCACCTGAGCTGCTGAGAGTTTGAGTCATGGGCAGCATCCTCTGGGTTGGCATGAACGGCAGCTCTGCCTCTGCTTGCCACTCAGAGAGGTTATGAGCTTGGAGGTCAAAGCCAGTTCCAGGCAGTAGTTGTCCTGGTCCAGATTACAAGGAGGGTCTGGACTTCTTGGACCCATGTAATTCTGGACCCGCTGTGGATATGTTCCAGGCAGGCTCATCCAGTGAAGCCATCTTTAGCACAATGAGCCAGGAGCTGGTCCCAGCCAGTCGAGTGGCCTTGGCCGGGGAGTATGGAGCGATCAGTCACAGGTAAGCAGCCATCTGCCCCTCCCTCCGCCCCGTCACAGAGCAGAGCCCCCACCTGTGCCCTCCGCACAATATTTGATGTGACACACACACCCACAGATACAGTAAACGCTCACTGAACAGTGTAGTCAGTGATGGGTTTTCAGTTGGTGGATAACTGGGAAAGACTGTAGATAGTCTGACCCCAGCTGGAGACGCAGGCGGCTGACTCACGCGGGAGCAGGGAGAGAAGGCATCTAAATCCGTCCCCACCCTTGTGAACTGGGCGGGTCTGACTTATGACTGCTGCGTGATTCCCAGGTAGAGCGCCGCCATTTTGTACGGATTGGATTCTGTCTGTCCCCAGCAAAGGTGACACTCATTTTATGAATAACCGCCATGACCTGATGGTGCCGAGAGATTTTTTTTTTAATGGCCTATTCCCCGAGAGTGCTCGTGGTGGTGGAGGAACCTGAGAAGAGGCAGAAGAGTCCAGCGTGGTCAGTGCTGGGACGGCGTGCGCTCTCGTGTGAGGGAGCCCCACGGCGGCGTGTGTGCAGGGCTTGGGGGCCACTCAAAGGCCTCTGAAGGGACAGTTCATTCTCTCTTTTAAAAGATGGCTAGCCGTTAGCTTGGCAGAAGAGCAGGAAGAGAGACACCCTCCACAGAGGGCAAGTAGACGGCAGCTTAACCTCACCGCGGCTTTGCAGACCCACAGGTTGTAAAAGTTAACGCTTGTGGCAAAGGAGACGCTGTGCTCACTTTAGTGTTTGTAGGCCACGGGAAGAGGTGGCCGCTGAGCTCTCAGTGGCTTACTCAGGGTTGGTTTGTAGATCAGAAGAAGGAAGGTAGAGACAGAGACCTAAGGACATATACATGGGAGCCCCGTCCCGGGCTCAGAAGGCTCCTGTGTGACTGAGGGTCGGTGCGGGCCTCTAGAAGCAGACACTCGGTGGGCTGAGCCCTGACCTCCTCATGTCCTGATGCTTTTGTAGGGACGGCTGGGTGTCAGCCAACCCCTAGGGGCTAGTGTGACCCTCCGGTGCCTCATGGTGCTGCCCTGCAGCTGTGAGCGTGTCGTGTCTCTGCTGCCCACATCTCCCATCTGAAGCAGTGCCTGCCACTCTCCAGTCCTCTGCCCACTTGCGTTGTTTCATAGCATTTATCTCTATCCATCTTAAATCATAGGTGTCTGTTTATTTACCAGCTCTCCGGCTGAACCAGAAGCTCTCCGAGGGCAGCACTTTTATGTTTGCTAGGTGTGGTCACAGCTCAGTGAATGTCTGTGGAACGATTAGCTGAACACGCCAGAAGGTCTGCTACCTCCAGTCCTGATGGCATCAGCTGTCTCAGGAGAAAGACCCTGAGAGCACTGGGTGGGTTTCTTCCTAGCCTTTGCCCATCTAGGGCCTCGGACTCAGCTTGTGCGGTCTGCTCGGTGCCTGCTTCTCCCACCTGCCCTCTGATCCTGTCCTGTTCATACCCTCTGCTCCACCACACTGAGATCATGTGTCCCCACCCCACCCCACCCCCAGCTCATACAGGCTGGCTTGTGTGTGCGGTTGGCTAGACTTGGTCCGACCCCGTCAGGCCTCCTGTCTGGCTCGTTTTCCGTTCAAACACACTCGCCCCTCCCCCGTGCAGCCACACGCCTCCCCTGGGCTCTCGCGACAGCCAGGCCGCACTTTGCCACGGGGGCGCCCACAGCCTTGTGCTGGGAGCCTCGTTCCCCCGGTGGCTCTAAGGGCCCCAGGCCGGAACGATGCTCTAACGCCTTTGGTAACCTAGGACAGGGGCCCATTTGGACAGGCCCCAGAGGAGCTGTTGGAGCCACTCATGGCCTGGCTGAAAGCTCGGACCTGAGGCAGCCTGGAGGACAGGCCGGGCGTGGGGCTTTCCCTGTTGCCTCCATGTCTCTGGGCTTCCACTCCATCCGCCTCTCTCTGCCACCCTGCGTCCTCATTTCCTGCCCGAAGCTTTACTTCCGGCTTCCCTCAGACCTCGTGGTATTGTTACCAAAAGCAAACTCCTGTGCCTGACGTACAGTGAGGCCAAACAATACCAAAATGTCAGAGTTTGGAACAGAGAAAGGTTTATTGCAGGACCATGGAAGGAGACGGGTGGTTCATGGCCCCCAAACGTCAAATTCCCCGAAGGGTTTCAGCAAAGCATTTTTAAAGGCTGCATAAGGGAGAGGGGGTCCCAGGGTATGTGATCGGCTCGTGAACAATTCGGTAGATGGTGAGGTGACAGGGCAGTGTCACTGGTTAACGGACTCAGTCCTCAGGCTCCAGGAGGTCTGCGGGCTACCTGCTCATGGTCACCAAGTAGTTAGCATCTTCATTTGGTGGGGGTTTTAAAATCTGTGATACGGCTCAGGAGATGTACATCAGATACTGTTCAGAGAGGAGCTCAAGCGCGGTTACAGCATCCTTTCAAAACCTCGGCTCCATCTCGTGTGCGGTTACTGCCGGTTTTTCCTCACGCTCTCACACTCCACGCAGAGACCTCCCCTTTTCCTGCCCACCACTGGGACTCGGGCAGGACTGCAGGCCCTTGGTCGCCCTTGGGTCAGGTGCGCACGCTTAGTCCCGGCAGCTCTGGGCAGGGGTGGGGCTGTACCCAGCGGGCAGTCCTGCGGCCCTGGCAGGGCGTCCCGAGGGTAGCCCGTGTCTGAGCAGGGCGGTGGGCTGGGGCTCCCGGAGCGGCAGAGGCCCGGGCAGGGCATCTGACACGCGGGGGACTCTTCCACAAATGGCCTCCATGTTGGCTTACTCAAAGGCTGACTGAGCTCATGCCAGGTGTTATGCTGGGGCCTGGATCAGGGAGATTCTGGGTCCTATTGACCACCTTACAGGGTATGTTACTACTCTATTCCCCTTTTGCTTTTGAGACTGAGCCCAGAGAAGTTGAGCAGTGTGGCCAAGGACTTGGAGTGGCAGGCGTGGGGTTCAACCCCAGGCAGCCCGCTTCCAGGGCCTCCCGCCCCGTGCTCTACCTCCTGGGATGGACGGATGGTGGATGGACGGGTGGGGTCAGCAGTGTGATGGGTCATTGCGGTTTCCCTTCCAGCACCCTGCTCTGCACCTGGCACACACTTGGTATAAATATGGGTGGAGATGACTGTCAGTGTTGATTGTGGCCTCAGACTGTTGTATTCCCAAGTGTCATATCTGCTGCTGCCCTCCCGTTTGTCCCACCTGACTGAGACAGAAGGCCCAAGGGAGGTCCCAAGCAGCTGGCCCCGCACCCCAACATCATCCGGGTCTTCCGAGCCTTCACCTCGACGGTGCCGCTGCTGCCAGGGGCCCTGGTCGACTACCCGGACGTGCTGCCTCCGCGTCTTCACCCCGAAGGCCTGGGCCATGGGCGGACTCTCTTCCTTGTCATGAAGAAGTGAGTGGCGGGACCCAGAGTGAGTGGGAGCTGGTCACTGCCTCCAGGAGCCTCGGGTCACAGGCAGGAGGACCCTCTCTCTTTGGGAGACAAGGGCAGGCTAAGGGTGTATGTCTGCCCTGGAGCGCAGTTTCCCTTTGGGACGACCTTTCAGGAAAACAGAAGTGCATGTTCAGTCGGGTCATCCTTTCCATCTAGTGCTCTTAGTACCTTTGACCATCGCCCCCTCTGTGCTCACCTTTCTCCTGCTTTTTTTTTTAAACGTAGACTCTTCCTCTTTCCTCCTCCTCGGTGCCTCTGGCATTGCTGTGTGAGTGTTTAAACGAGCAGCTAGCTGTCCTGTGACTTCTAGCGTGTGAGGCCCCAGCTCTTCCTAATTCCAAGATGGTGGATAGAAACAGAAAGGCTACTTAGGGAGAGAAGGAACCAGAAGAAAGGCCGTCACCCTAAGAGGAAGTAAGGTGCTCGGGGTGCTCGGCGCTCAGTAACTGGTGCCTGTCGCGCTCCCCACCAGCTACCCCTGTACCCTGCGCCAGTACCTTCGCGGGAACAGCCCGAGCCCCCGCCTGGCCACGCTGATGACTCTGCAGCTCTTGGAAGGGGTGGATCACCTGGTCCAGCAGGGCGTCTCGCACAGGGACCTGAAGTCTGACAACATCCTTGTGGAACTGGACGCAGGTAGGTGCCCCGCCCTCTCTCCTTCAGGATGGAGGTTCTTTGTTTTGGTCTTTGTATTGTAAGAATATTTTCAGTGAGTACTGCTTGAATGTCAGCCCAACTGCCTCTGGCAGTGAGCTCCCCATCATTGGAAGCATTCAAGCAAAGCTGGGTGGCTACTTGCCTGCGGGTTCTGTAAAGGAGGGTCATTGTTTTGTTGTTGTTTAGTCACTAACTCGTGTCAGGCTGTTTGCGACCCCGTGGACTGCAGCCCACCAGGCTCCTCTGTCCATGGGATTTCCCCGGCAAGAACACTGGAGTGTGTTGCCTTTTCCTTCTCCAGTGGGTCTTCTTGACCCAGAGATCGAACTTGTGTCCTTGCAACACAGGAGGGTTCTTATTTGGTCAGTTTTGAACTAAAAGACTCAAGATAATTAAATATGCAATTAAATTCTAGAGGAACTGGCTTTTAAAGGAAGTCTGCATGAATCCTTTTCCAGATAACTAATTGATAATGCACTGATTTTGTCCATTTCTTGGCTAGGGGACCTTGATTTCCTGGAGGCACGTCCATATTTGTGTTGCTGGTCCCACTCAGCTCTCTGGCGAGTGGGCAGCTGTCCAGGCCTTGCTGGCCTGTGTTCCTGGGTCAGCATATCCTGATAGTGGCTTTTGTTGTTGTTCAGTCACTCAGTCAGGTCTGACTCTTTGTGACCCCATGGACTGCAGCACGCCAGGCCTCCCTGTCCATCACCAACTCCTGGAGTTTACTCAAACTCATGTCCATCGAGTCGGTGATGCCATCCAACCATCTCATCCTCTGTTGTCCCCTTCTTCCCCTGCTTTCAACCTTTCCCAGCATCAGGGTCTTTTCCAAGGAGTCAGTTCTTTGCATCAGGTGGCCAAAGTATTGGAGTTTCAGCTTCAGCATCAGTCCTTCCAATGAGTATTCAGGATTGATTTCCTTTAAGATGGACTGGTTGGATCTCCTTGCAGTCCAGGGGACTCTCACGAGTCCTCTCCAACACCACAGTTCAAAAGCATCAATTCTTTGGCATTCAGCCCTCTTTATGGTCCAACTGTCACATCCATACATGACCACTGGAAAAGCCACAGCTTTGACTAGACAGAGCTTTGTTGGCAAAGTAACATCTCTGCTTTTTAATATGCTGTCTAGGTTTGTCATGGCTGTTCTTCCAAGGAGCAAGCATCTTTTAATTGCATGGCTTCGGTCAACATCTGCAATGATTTTGAAGCCCAAGAAAATAAAGCCTGTCACGGTTTCCATTGTTTCCCCATCTGTTTGCATGAAGTGATGTGACTAGATGCCATATGATCTTAGTTTTCTGAATGTTGAGTTTTAAGCCAACTTTTTCACTGTCCTCTTTCACTTTCATCAAGAGGCTCTTTAGTTCTTCTTTGCTTTCTGCCATAACAGTGGTGTCATGTGCATATCTGAGGTTATTGATGTTTTTTCCAACAGTCTTGATTCCAGCTTGTGCTTCATCCAGCTTGGCATTTTGCATGATATACTCTGCACATAAGTTAAATAAGCACAGTGACAATATACAGCCTTGATGTACTCCTCTCCCAGTTTTGAATCACTCTGTTGTTCCATGTCTGGTTTTAACTGTTGCTTCTTGACCTGCATACAGGTTTCTCAAGAGGCAGGTAAGGTAGTCTGGTATTCCCATCTCTTGAAGAATTTTCCAAAGTTTGTTGTGATCCCCACAGTTGAAGGCTTTAGTGTAGTCAATGAAGCAGAAGCCAATGTTTTTCTGGAATCCTCTTGCTTTCTCTATGATCCAACAGATGTTGGCAATTTGATCTCTGGTTCCTCTGCCTTTTCTAAATCCAGCTTGAACATCTGGAAGTTCTCAGTTCACTTACTGTTGAAGCCTCACTTGGAGAATTTTAGCATTACATTGCTAGCATGTGAAGTGAGTGCAGTTGTGCAGTAGTTTGTTCCTGGGTCAGCATGAACTGAGGGTGGCTTTAGTGGAAGTATAGGAGGGCCTCGAGGTGTGGGGAGGGGAGGAGACTCGGCCTCTCACCTCTGCACTTCTCTCCACAGACGGCTGCCCCTGGTTGGTGATCACAGACTTTGGCTGCTGCCTGGCTGATGAGCGTGTCGGCCTGCAGTTGCCTTTCACCAGCTGGTATGTGGACCGCGGCGGAAATGGCTGCCTGATGGCTCCCGAGGTGAGTCCCACTGAGCGTGTCATGTGCCACCAGCAGAGCCTCTCCCACCAGGTTTCTTCCCTGTTTACTCAACACTTCAATCTTTTTTTTTTTTAATTAATTAATTTATTTATTTTTATCACAACCATAGTGTATCTTTTTTTTTTTTTTTTTTTTACATGTATTCCCCATCCCGGTCCCGCCTCCCACCTCCCTCTCCACCCAATCCCTCTGGGTCTTCTCAGTGCACCAGGCCCGAGCACTTGTCTCATGCACCCAACCTGGGCTGGTGAACTGTTTTACCCTAGATAATATACGTGTTTCAATGCTGTTCTCTTGAAACATCCCACCCTCGCCTTCTCCCAGAGTCCACAAGTCTGTTCTATACATAGGAGTCTCTTTTTCTGTTTTGCACATAGGGTTATCGTTACCATCTTTCTAAATTCCATATGTCAACACTTCAATCTTTTCTGACCCATAATTTATCAGAAGTCCCTTCCCTGCCTCTTTGCCTAGAACTGACATCCCAGGAGAGATGAGTTTTATCAGCCTGAACTAGGCAGCCTGACCACAATTTCTTGTATCTGAGCTACAGTTCATTCCAATTCCGGGTTCCTTGGGACAGAATCCAGACTAGTCTGCAAATTGGGTGCCGTGCAGGAGCACGAATAGGTTTCAAGTACCAGCAGCGTGATTGCTCACTTGTTGCTTTCCAAGCAGGTGTCCACGGCCTGCCCCGGCCCCAGGGCAGTGATCGACTACAGCAAGGCCGACACCTGGGCGGTGGGCGCGCTCGCCTATGAAATCTTCGGGCTCCCCAATCCCTTTTACGGCCAGGGCAGGGCCCATCTTGAAAGCCGAAGTTACCAGGAGGCTCAGCTGCCAGCATTGCCCGAGCGGGTGCCGCGGGATGTGAGGTGCCTGGTGAGGTCGCTGCTGCAGCGGGAGGCCTACAAGGTAAGGCGGGGCAGACTTACAGGGGGCTTGTGGATGGGAGCCTCACGCCGTGTTCCAGAGTAAAGGGCAGGGCTGGGCAGGCACTGGAGTGAAAAATGGCTCCTCTGTCTTACAGAAGCGATGGCCATGGACAGGAGAACACACAACAGGCTGGAATATAGATAGGAACAGGGGAGCTGGCCACCAAGTTCAGAGTCAGGATTCTAGCAGTCAGCTCCTCTTGGCTTTAGTTGCTTAAAGGTACTCAGAGGGAAAGAGATGCAGTTTTAAGACATGTTTAATGAAGATGCAGAATCAGCTGAGATCTAACCAGACAGGTAGGATGAACTCTCCTAAGGGATCTGGACATTTTGAAATTACTCCAAAGGCTAAAATATTTGAAACCTTAATAGGAGTGGCAGGGCCAGCACGGGTGGCATGTGGAGTGGAAAAGGATGGACAGACCAGGGCTCAAACCCACCCCACCACTTGCCCCTCACCGTGTGCAGCAGGCTGCCCCATAGTATGCACTGCCGTCATGAAGTTAGGACAGCTCCCCTCACCCCAGACACAGCTCCTGGGCCTTCCAAAGGCCCAGGAGGAACCTCCCTGACAGTCAAGTGCTGGCCTCCCAAGATTCCAATGCAGGGGACAGAGGTTCGATCCCTGGTTGGGGAATTAAGACCATATATGCCATGCTGCATGGCGAAAAAATCTTAATCAAATAAAAGGCCCAGGATGGGGAGGCTATTCCAACAATGTCCCCTCCCCCTCCCCCTCCCCCTCCCCCACCCCAAATCTTGTACCCATGGGAAAGCCTGGGGCGTGGGTAGAATCGGCCAGTGTGTGTGCAGGGCACTGTAGGAGAGAAGGGTGAACATGCTCAGGGCCAGAGAAGGGAAGACCCCGAAACAGGCTGCACTAACAAAGCAGGCTGTGGGTGAAGACTATCAGAGGTGTTCTAAGCTCCGGCTCCCCTTCCTGTTACAGAGGCCATCCGCCCGAGTGGCTGCTAACGTGCTTCATTTAAGCCTCTGGGGTGAACACACGCTCGCCCCGAAGAACCTGAAACTAGACAAGATGATCAGCTGGCTCCTCCAGCAGTCGGCTGCCACTCTGCTGGCCAACAGGCTGACGGAGAAGAACTGTGTGGAAACAAAAATGAAGATGCTATTTCTGGCCAACCTGGAGTATGAAGCGCTGAGCCAGGCGGCCCTCCTCCTCGACTCCTGGAGGGCGGCCCCGAGACAGCTGCTGTAGCTGGTGAATTACTAAAAGAAGTTTCCAGTATCTGTGTTGTGATGGTCTGTGAATGCTGACCGAGTGCCTCCTGGGTGAGGGGACGGGGGAGTCAGAAGCGAAGATGGCACGGGGAGGGCGAGTCAGTGAAGAGAAGGCCTCGGGTCTGGCAGATGGAAGGAGCAGCTCGAGGTCGCGCTCTGGCCGCTAACGCGTTCTAGCTGTGTGATTTTGCCTAGCTGTGAGATTCTGATGCATTGTCCAAGTTCTCTTACCTGTGAAATGAAGACGCTGCTCTTGATAGAGGTCAGCAAACTTTTTCTGTCAAGGGCCAGTGCTCAGGCTGTCCCAGCTACTCAGCTCTGCCATCGTGGTGCAAAGGCAGTCTTCAATGTGTGAACAAGTTCAGCTTCACTTAGGGACCCTGAGATTTGGAATTTCATGTGTCACTAAACATTCTTAATTTTTTCAACCACTTAAAAGGTAAAAACCATTTTTAGCTTGCAGGCCTGCAAAAATCAGGCAGCAAGCCAGACCGGCCCACAGACCAAGTCTGCCAGCCCCTCGTCTAGATGACCGCAAAGGGCCTAACCCTCAAGAGAAATGCTATCCAATCACCAGGCTCCTTTGTGCATCAGCGCTGACCACGTGACCAGCCCTGGGCACACAGATTCCCAAGGATGAGCTCTGTCCCAGGGGAGAGGCTGCCCGGGGGTAAACCGCTGACCAGAGTCCTGCCTTCCTAGACCTCTGAAGTCAGTGGCTGAGCGGGTCTGCTAGGTGAGGCTGAGCTGAGGAAGGTCAGACCTGTGCTGCGGCCAGAGGTCACGCAGGTCAGGACAGAGGGGTGTCAGAGTGAACAGCGCGAGCGAGGCCCGAGGCGGGGGCCGCCGCAGTCAGTCCCGTGTCCCGGAGCAGCCCTGGGTGCTGGCGACAAGCACCGCCGCGGAACTCGCGCAGCCGCCGAACTGAGGCCAGCAGCCGAACTGAGGCCAGCAGCGCCGGAGACTAACGAAACAGAGATTAACAGTGCGGTGTTCTGAACCTGCCGACTGTCCCTTCTGCCTAGCATTTCTTACAGGAGTTGTGACGAATTAAATGTATACTGACAACTAAAAAATATGTAAGTGCCTCAAACTGAATACTTGGCTTACACTATAAAGACAATCATAGTGGAGATGGATCATACAAGTTTACGTGTGCTTTTTAGAAACACAACTAGTGCATAAAGCAAGGTGAATTCGATGTAAGGCTCTTTTCAGCCAAGCAGTTCTATAATTCTATTAAAGTCAAGTGCTGTTACCCTAGCTTTCCCATCTCTGTGATGTCCCCACTGGCCTTTATTAACCTTATTTTTCTCCCCTTGACATTCAGCAGCTCTGTAATTTCCAGACCAACAAAACTAAAAAGGGCCACGTACTACTTTCTACCAGGTTATTTCGCAACAGCACCCCTCCATCAGCAAAGTACAACAGGGGCCAGATGAAATGTGAGGGCCATGTTTCTCTTTATTTTAGAAATGAGAGTTGACGTCACATATGAAAAAATACACTTAGCGTTCAAGGTGGAAAAACAAATTATTCCCTAACCCTCCACCCCTTGGTATTCAATGTTCCATCTCCCACTGAGGTAAAGCTGTACCATTGTCCGTGGCTTTAAAAAAAAAAAAAAACCCCACAAAGGAGGAAGAAAACCAATCCTATGAAAACCCTCCGCCTCTGTTCCCAGGAGTGCAGGGCGCCAGCCCCTCAGTCGGACTTCTCCTTCTCCTTCATGTGCAGGAAGACGACGCTGAAGATGAAGAGCCCGAGCATCATGGAGAAGGCGCTGGCGTAGTAGGGGTAGGCCGAGGGGATGAAGCGCTCGTACTGCGTGTGCTGCAGCGGCCGCACGGACACCTGCGGAGGGCAGCGGTGCTGGGCCCCGGCCGCGCGGCGGGCGGGAGGGCGGGCAGGGAGCGGCCAGCTTACCTGCGTGGAGGAGTATAGGTGTGTGTAGCCTAGCCGGTTGTAATCCACTTTGAACTGGAACACACCATACACGTCAGGCAACTTGAACTGGACGCTGTATTTGCCACCTGGGGAAGAGCCAAGACCCATAACCAGGAGGGGCTTCCCAGGCAGCCCGAGGCAGGGATGGGCTTCCAGAGCCGTCTCTTCCAAGAGCTGCGCTCACCTTTCCTCTTCAAGAAGGTCCTCACAAAAGGATCGATGCGGACAAACTCCAGCTGAATGTCATCGCCATCAAAGGGGACCCACTTGCCGTCTGAGAGCTGCTCAATGACGATGCTGTACTCCTGAGACAAGCAGCCGAGGTAAGCCCGGTGGCCACTGATGGGCAGGTTCTGCTGCACTGAATCCCCGCCGTGTCTCGGGCAGGAGCACCCCAGGAGTCTGACAGCTCAGGCAGGTCCCCCCAACCCCAGACAGTGGAGGACGCACCCAGCTGGCCCAGCCCTCTGACCTGCCCGTGGGAGCCCACACCAAACAGTGTCTCCCTGAACGCGCCGGCACGCCTGAGCGGCCCTGCTTCCACAGTCGTCACATGAGCCTTTCCTGACTGATTCTCCAGACCCCACTCAATGTGAATTCTACTCCCAGCGGAGTAAACCAGCAAAGCCCTCCCGACTGCGTTCCCACAGCAAAAGCACACCTCCTCCACAGAAGGCCGCCTGTTAGGGTGAGTTTATACACCAGGCTCTCTGCACCCAAGCTGACTTCTTAGGGTGAAGATGAACTTATTCAGCCTTGTTTAGGCGCTTCAGACCCAGCACAGAAGTGTTGCGTGCTTTTGAGTGGAATCAACTTGGCCCAAACCCAGGGGCCCTCCAGCGCCAAGCTCTTACCACTAGGTCAGTGACAGTGTAGGCGTTGGGTGGTGCTGTCTCGCCCACCCGATGATGGGACACTGGCCCCACCCGGAGGACCCCCTCCTCCTTGAACACCCAGCGGGAGAGGGCCACAGCCAGCTCGTAGTTGCCGGTCTGGGAGTACCTGCAGAAGGGGAAACGGGGAGGCTGCAGCCGGGGACCAACTTCCCTCCAGCGGTGCCTGGTAAACCAGTCACCACGCACCAGATACACCACACCCAGCCAGGCTCTGCCTAGAGGCCACACATGTCTAGGGGTCCTGCTTGAGGGGAACACAGGAAAGGATGACAGGCGTGATACGCTGCTCTGGGTGTCACCTACACAATAAATGCACAACTACCAAAACATGAGTGACAGGAGTTTGAACAAACTCCAGGAGATGGTGAAGGACAGGGAAGCCTGGTGTGCTCAGTCCACGGAGCTGCAGAGTCAGACACGACTTAGTGACTGAACCAGCACCACTGCATCTCCAGATAAGTCATCACTACTATGAACAGTCTAGATTGCCAACAGCAGCAATATAGCGACAAAGTCTTCAAAAAAGCATCTGAAGATACTCAGCCTCCAACACTTTTAGGTAAAAGGCTCCTTCCTCCCCCTTGCACAGACCCACCCTCGGCGCCCCCAGTCTCCCGCATCTACCTCTGGGAGCCAGGTGTGGCCTTCTGCACCGCCGAATTGAAGAAGGCGTCGCTGAAGAAGTCAAGGGAGCCGCTGAAGATGACCCGGGCGTTGTTCCGGGCCTGCAGCCCCGCGATGAGAAGGGTGTTCTTCCCCACGGCGTGCGGGTACTGGAGCAACAAGAGGCCGTCGGCCAAGAGGGCTGAGACCCACCCTCCTGGTGCCCTCACCCCCGCCCACCCATTTCTCATCCCACTGCCAAGGGGGCTCTCCTGCTTGCTGCTCACTTTGAGATAAAAAGTGCTGCCCCAGGCCCAGGAGCCGGAGGCCTCAGGCTGCAGAGACCCTCACCTGGGTGATGGGTTTATCTGGGAAGAAGGAGTAAGAGGTGGAAGAACCCGTCAGGATGTCCAGCACCAAAGGATTGTCAGGGTCGGCCACCATCCTGGAGAAGGAAAGGAGAATCGCCCAACTCTGACCCCAAAGGACCAGGGTCCCCCAGGAGCCGCCACTTCACAGGAGTTCATCACACTTCCTAAAAGCCAAATCCCGAGCCCTCCTCTTGCTGTGACGATGGAGTCTGACATTTAATCTCACCCACGTGCTCCAAGGGAAGGCAAACCTCCAGACAAAAGCGACTCCTTCTTTCCCCAGGCTTCTGCCGGCCCCTCCTGCTCACTCACCCCACACCCCGAAAGAGGATGGGATTCAGAGATGATTTCCCAACGATGGTGGGGGCCTTCAGCAAGTTCTCCGTGTCGGCCACAATGAGCGTGTGCTGCCCGAGCAGAGGGATATGAAATCAGGAGAAGGTTCCCCAGGCGGGGGGCGCCTCCCAACCCCCTCCTGGTTTCGAGGCTGAGCTGGTTACCTGGCCAAGGTCTGAGATGTCATAGTTGTGATGGTCGATGACGGCTGTTTTCTCCTCGTCAAACTCAATCCCACACTCACTGCCCAGCTCTCGGAGAGGGTCACCTGCAAAGACCCGACAGATGCCTGACTGGGCCCTGAAGCCGGGGCCCTGGGGCGAGCAGTGTCCCTCCTGCCAGCATCCTCACGACTCACTCTACCAGTCACCCCCAGGCCCTGCAGCCTCACCAAGCCGGGCGCAGCCCCACGACCCCTGGGCAACAGCATGGTGTTCTGCCTGCGGGAGTCAGAATCTGAACTAATAAACCACCACCACCTGGCCCCTCACCTCAAGTACACAGTGATCTTGGTTCTGCACAAAAACTTGCTTTGAAGCAAAGTAAATACCTTGGGCAAACTTCATCTGGATGAGCCGGGGCTAACAAGGTTTCTCTCCTCTTCATCATCACATGACCAAGAGCCCCACCCAACACGGTTTTAAAAACCTACCCACACTGGAGGAAAGGAAACAAGAGTTGCCGGGGGTGCTCACTGGCGCGGCTGGTGGTTAAGTACGTGGGGCATGGGGTCCTACTCCCCTCTCCCTGCTTCTAAGTATGTTTGAAAATGTCCAAATTAGGAAACAAAAATCTGTTAAATCTTCCCTCTTGCCTTCTTTTTGTAAGAGCCGCCAAAAAAACAAGAGAAACAAAAGGAAAAAGCAAAACGAAGGAAAAGAGAAACAGGGGTCCCAGCTCTTAAAACAGGACCTGCTTCTCACCTCCCTGGCTGTGGTCACGGGAGTGCAGGAGGACTGAAGGGCGCTGCAGTCCCCTCCCTCCCTGGCGGGGCTCCCCCCACCGCCCCACCACGAATGCCCCTTTGGCAGCCTCCACGTGTAAAGCTCTCAGCTCCTGGGAGAAATGGTGGGAAACACCACAACCTCCTGGGTCAGACTTACCGATGTCTGAGCTGGCAGCTACCAGGACACTGCCTCCACCGTCGATAAAGGTACTGATGGTCTCCACGTTGATATTTCCTCCAAAATCTGAAAGAAGCACCAGACTCAGGACCCAGAAGGTTCCTCTCACTGCTTCTCTGACATCTGGCTGGGGAGGGTGACCCGCAGACTGTGCTAAGTTGCTTCACTCGTGTCTGACTCTTTGTGACCCCGTGGACTATAGCCCATCAGGCTCCCCTGTCCATGGGATTCTCCAGGCAGGAATACTGGAGTGGGTTGCCATGTCCTCCTCCAGGGGATCTTCCTGACCCAGGGATCGAACACTGGCAAGCAGGTTCTTAACCAGCTGAGCCGCCAGAGACCAGGCATGACCGATTAGAGAATAGCCTCTGGAGGCCCAAAACGAGAGGGGCCTCTACCACACATGTCCCGACATAGGACGATGTTCCCAGTTCCTCAGTGTGAAGATCAAGAATAATGGCCCAAATTCATAAACCTTTAGAAGTACAAATGAAACACTCAAACACCTGCCAATTACAGCTGTCAAGCCAGTCATACACATTTCAAGTCACACATGAACTATTCATCCAGAAATGTCACGTTTTTTTCACTCCCATTTCATGAAACAACTTGCAGCTTATCACCTGCACCTTTCACATCAGTACCTTCATCTTCACTTGAGCCACTCCTGGGACCCCTGGCAGTTCTCTAGAGTCCATCAACCTCACCTCCAGTGAGCCCGTCTGAGAAGGAGCACTCCTGAATCTCAGGATGATGCTGTCCCGTGACACGGGCAATCCTCTGCCCGACCTCAGAAGTTTTTTCCCGTTAATCCTACAGATTTAGGTCTAACAGTCTTAACAGGACCACTTCATACACTGTTTTAAAGTGAGCACCAAAAAGGCACATGAACTTTCAGTACCTGTAAGACCGTACCCTTTTCTGGTCAGTGGGTCAGGAGAGGCCGTAGCATCCAGAACTGGCACTGAGTGGGGCTGCTGCAGCTCAAGTGCTAAGTTGCTCAGTCTCTGTGTGACCCCGTGGACTGCAGTCCGCCAGGCTCCTCTGTCCTCCACTACCTCCCAGAGTTTGCTCAAATCCATGTCCCTTGAGTTGGTGATACTGTCTAACCATCTCATCCTCTGTCGTCCCCTTCTTCAATATTTCCCAGCATCAGGGTCTTTTACAACGAATCACCTCTTTGCATCAAGTAGCCAAAGTATTGGGAGTTTCAGCTTCAACATCAGTCCTTCCAATGAATATTCAGGACTGATCTCCTTTAGAATGGACTGGTTAGATCTCCTTGCAGTCCAAGGGACTCTCTCAAGAGTCTTCTCCAACACCACAGTTCAAAAGCATCAATTCTTCAGTCCTCAGCTTTCTTTATAGTCCAACTCTCACATCTGTATGAATGAAACTTAGATACCAGGGCTTAACTCCAGGCATCATGCCTTGAAAACCCAGTGAATATCATGAAAAGGCAAAAAGATATGACACTGAAAGATGACCTACCCAGGTCGGTAGGTGCCCAATATGCCACTAGAGAAGAGTGGCAAAATAGCTCCAGAAGGAATAAAGAGGCTGAGCCAAAGTGGAAACAATACCCAGTTGTGGATGGGTCTGGTGGTGAAAGGAAAGTGTGATGCTGTAAAGAACAATACTGCATAGGAACTGGAATGTTAGGTCCATGAATCAAGGGAAATTGGAAGCGGTCAAACGGGATGACAAGAATGAACATCGACATTTTAGGAATCAGTGAACTAAAATGGACAGGAATGGGCGAATTTAACTCAGATGACCATTGTATCTACGACTGTGGGCAAGAATCCCTTAGTAGCCCTCACAGTCAACAAGAGTCTGAAATGCAGTATTAGGGTACAAACTCAAAAACGATAGAATGATCTCTGTTAGCTTCCAAGGCAAACCATTCAATATCATGGTAATTCAAGTCTATACCCCAACCACTAACGCCAAAGAAGCTGAACAATTCTATGAAGACCTACAAGACCTTCTAGAACTAAAACCAAAAAAAGATATCCTTTTCATTATAGGGGACTGAATGCAAAAGTAGGAAGTCAAGAGATACTTGGAGTAACAGGCAAGTTTGGCCGTGGAGTACAAAATGAAGCAGGGAAAAGGCTAACAGAGTTTTCCCAAAAGAATGCAGTAGTCATAGCAAATACCCTCTTCCAATAACACAAGAGACAACTCTACATATGGATATCACCAGATGGTCAATACCGAAATCAGACTAATTTATATTTTTTGCAGCCAAAGTTGGAAAAGCTCTACACAGTGAGCAAAAACAAGACCGGGAGCTGACTCTGGCTCAGATCATGAACTCCTTACTGCAAAATTCAGACCTAAATTAAAGAAAGTAGGGAAAACCACTACACCATTCAGATATGACCTAAAGCAAATCCCTTACACTTATACAGTGTAAGTGACAAATAGATTCAAGGGATTAGATCTAATAGACAGAGTGCCTGAAGAACTATGGATGGAGGTTCCTAACACTGTACAGGAGGCGGTGATAAAACCATCCCCAAGAAAAAGAAATGCAAAAAGGAAAAATGGTTGTCTAAGGAGGCCTTACAAACAGCTGAGAAAGAAGGTAAGTCAAAGTCCAAGGAGAAAAGGAAAGATAAACCCATGTGAATGCAGAGTTCCAAAGAATAGCAAGGAGAGAGAAGAAAGCCTTCCTCAGAGATCAATGCAAAGAAATAGAGAAAACAATAGAATGGAGACTACAGATCTCTTCAAGAAAATAAGAGACAACAAGGGAATTTTCATGCAAAGATGGGCACAATAAAGGCCAGAAATGGACCTAACAGAAGCAGAAGATATTAAAAAGAGGTGGCTAGAATACATGGAAAAACTATACAAAAAAGATCTTCATGACTCAGATAACCACGAATGTGTGATCACTCACCTAGAGCCAGACATCCTGGAATGTGAAGTCAAGTGGGCCTTAGGAAGCATCGCTATGAACAAAGCTAGTGGAGGTGATGGAACTCCAGTTGAGCTATTTCAAATCTTGAAAGATGATTCTGTGAAAGTGCCACACTCAATATGCCAGCAAATTTGGAAAACTCAGCAGTGGCCACAGGACTGGAGAAGGTCACTTTTCATTCCAATCCCAAAGAAAGGCAATGCCAAAGAATGCTCAAACTACTGGACAATTGCACTCATTTCACATGCTAGCAAAGTAATGCTCAAAATTCTCCAAGCTAGACTTCAACAGTACACGAACTGAGACCTTCCAAATGTTCAAGCTGGATTAAGAAAAGGCAGAGGAACCAGAGATCAAATTGCCAACATCTGTTGGATAACAGAAAAAGCAAATTCCAGAAAAATATCTACCTCTGTTTCACTGACTACACCAAAGCCTAAGACTGTGGATCACCACAAACTGTGGAAAACTCTTAAAGAGATGGGAATACCAGGCCACCTGACGTGCCTCCTGAGCAATCTGTATGCAGGTCAAGAAGCAAAAGTGAGATCCAAACATGGAACAACAGACTGGTTCCAAATCAGGAAAGGACTACGTCAAGGTGTATACTGTCACTCTGCTTATTTAACTTCTATGCAGAGTATATCATGAGAAATGTCAGGCTGGATGAAGCACAAGCTGGAATCAAATCTGCTGGGAGAAATATCAGTAACCTCAGATATGCAGATGACATCACCGTTATGGCAGAACGCGAAGAGGAACTAAAGAGCCTCTTGATGAAAGTGAAAGAGGAGAGTGAAGAAGTTGGCTTAAAAGTCAACATTCAAAAAACTCTTGATTGTGACATCTGGTGCCATCACTTCATGGCAGGTAGATGGGAAAACAATGGAAATAGTGACAGACTTTATTTTTGGGGGCTCCAAAACCACTGCAGATGGTAACTGCAGCCCTGCAATTAAAAGACGCTTTCTCCTTGGAAGAAAAGGTATGACAAACCTAGACAGCATGTTAAAAAGCAGAGACATCACTTCGTCAACAAAGGTCCGTCTAGTCAAAGCTATGGTTTTTCCATTAGTCATGTAAAAATCTGAGAGTTGGACCATAAAGAAGGCTGGGCGCTAAAGAATTGATGTTTTTGAACTGTGGTGTTGGAGAAAACTCTTGAGAGTCCCTTGGACTGCAAGGAGATCAAACCAGTCGATCTTAAATCAATCCTGAAAATTCATCAGAAGGACAGATGCTGAAGTTGAAGCTCCAATACTTGTGGCCACCTGATGTGAAAAGCCAACTCACTGGAAAAGGCCCTGACGCTGGGAAAGACTGAAGGCAGAGGAGAAGGGGACGACTCCTCTGCCATCATGTCCATCACCAACTTGATGGACATGAGTTTGAGTAAACTCTGGGAGGTGGCGATGGACAGGGAAGCCTGGTGTGCTACAGGCCATGGGGTCACAGAGAGTCACACATGCCTGAGTGACTGAAGAACAACAAATTCAGGCAACCCCTTCACCTTTCTGAGCCCACTTCCCCATCTATAAAACAAGGACCCAGCGTTTCCCGGGCACAGAGGACACGGTAAGGATCCTTCTCCTGGAGCCATTACTGCACATGCCTTCAGAGCTTCCAGATCCCAGAAGAGCAAGGAACCCGCCGATACGTGGAGGAGGAAGCCAGGCCTGTGTCCTCATACCTGAGAGGGCCTAGTGGTCACAGTACCGCAGAAGGGCCCTCAGAGTGGGGACCACCACTTATCCTGAACACCCCTGACCTCCAGAACATGCTAGCCTTCTCCCTAGGGGTGTCTGAGAGGGTTTCTTATAAGAATGGTCCCCACCCCGCAAGAGGCAGAAAAGTTCACCACAGAGATGCCGGGCAGGGCTTCAAATAACACTGAATCTCAGAGACACTATTCCATTTCGTTTCCCTGCTTCCTCCATCAGAGAATGGGCACAGTTCAGCACTGGCCTTAACACCTCTCTCAACCAGCTCATCTCCTCTTTTCAGATGATGCCTCAGGTCCAAAGCCTTCAGCAGGCCAAGAATCAGCTAGAACTTGACAGTGCTGCATTCACTGTTATATTTTCCTCTTCAGAAAGCAAATGATGGTACAGTACTGGCTTTCCATTTTCAGTGGTGACAATGGGTTCATTACTAGTTTTCTTTTAAACTGGGTTATGCTTTTTTTTTTTCAGCAGGTCAATTTGAAGAAAAACATTGCTGGCACAAATATGGAAAGTGGCAAAGATCACCAAGTGGGGACGGCTATGACTCCGATTTCTGAAGCAGTATCTTGGGCCCTGCCCCTTCTCCCACTAACAGCAGCCTACCTCAGCCTCCTAAGCCCACCTCTACCACTTCCCTCCCTCTCAGTGACCCTTCAAAGCACAACTCAGTCCCTCCACTCCATCTGGGACATCCTAACATGTGGTCTGGTAACTCATTTCAAGTCCTTATTTATATTTCCTCACAGACAGGTTGAAAGACTCCTGAAGGGTAGCCTCTGTCACTATTCAGTACTGCTTTCAGAGCTCCAACATAGCAGCAATCCAGCAAAGACCATTTAACCTGCTAAAGGCATCATCTGCCTGCCTAGCCAACTTGAAGATTTTAATGCACAACTGAACTCTGAAAAGCTAATTCCAAAGGCACATGTTACAGGAGAGTTGGGAGCACCTTGCCAAGTACTGCGAACCTAGGGGAAAATGCATCAGGGGCTTGCCAGATCCCAATCTCACATGAACCACAGAGAAGAAAGTCGATGCCAGTGAAGTGACAGCCTTCCTAAGCTTCATAAGCTGAACAGGGAGATGGCAGTCCTGACTCACCCCGGACAGGGACAACTTGTGTCCTCTGAGAAAAAGATAAACTGAAGCCACTAAAGAAAAGAATGACTAGGATGCTCACCAAAAAAGCACAACAAAAAGGGAAACAGCCAAAGGAACTGGGGTTATTTAGTCTGGAGAAGAAACAACTGAATAATTCAGGACCTGATTATGTGAAGGCTATGCCTGTAAGCAAAATAAGCATTAGAGCTATTCTCTTAGGCCCTGGGGGGTATCAGAAACCCTTTTCCTCCTTGCCCCAAATAAACAAAGCAAGAAGTGGAAGACAAGTTCAGTTTAATACATGATCTTCTTAAGAGAGTCGGACAGTGGCAGCCTATTTGAGGAGCTGCCTCCTAAAACAGTAAGCTGTCACAGCAATGTCAACTGGAAAATCTAGTGAAGATGTTCATTTGGCTCAACAACTAGTCTTCTGCTAAGCCCTGGACATATCCATCCAGCCTCAAATAGTTTGGACTAGGTAATCACTAAAGGGTCTTTTCAGTCTAACTATGACTCCATCTGAATTTTCAGGATCAACTACCACCAATGCCCCTTTACAGAAAATCATGCTTATAGCACAGCCATTTTCTCGTTCCACACAGGCAAACCCAGTCAGGGAGTGAAGGAATGTCTGTCTTTCTTATCAGGCCCTTTAAGGGAGAAAACCCCTTCTCAGAGTAGCAGAGCCAGGAGTTCTAAGGTCTGCAACAACACTTGATCCCACAGTCCTCAGCTCTGTCTTCTGGTAAGGACATATCCTAAGCCAAGAGTGAAGTGAGGTGAAGTGAAAGTCACTCAGTCGTGTCTGACTCTTTGCGACTCCACGGACTACAGAGTCCATGGAATTCTCCAGGCCAGAATACTGGAGTGGGTAGCCTTTCCCTTCTCCAGAGGATCTTCCCAACCAAGGTCTCCCGCATTGCAGGTGGATTCTTTACCAGCTCAGCCACAAGGGAAGCCCAAGAATACTGAAATGGGTAGTCTATCCCTTCTCCAGCACATCTTCCTGACCGAGGAATCGAACCGGGGTCTCCTGCATTGCAAGCAGATTCTTTACCAACTGAGCGTTAGCCTTTTCCTCTTCTCTGGGAGCAGCAGCGCCCAGGGCTGGCGACCCACTCCATCCCAGGACATACCCAAGATCCTGAAGAAAGCTGATAAATCACAGTCCTGGGGGCGACCGGCAGCTCTTACCTTCTACCGAAGGGGAGAAGATGATGAGATTGTCATAGAGAAACTCCCCGTACTTAATGAGGGACAGGCTGGGATCATCTGCGGTCTTGAATGTGAGTACAAAGCCACGATCTGGAAAAAGAGAACGAGGGAGCTGAGGCAGATAGGAGGCAAAGAGAAACCACCACTGCAGAGACCGTGACCGTCCTGCCCCCGTCCCCCCACAAGGCCCCTGGCGGCAGGTCGGACCTGGAAGGCCAGCTCGGGTGGGAGGAAGACGGGTCGGTGTCTCGGGGCTCAGGGACCTTACCACCCCCTCGGGCCCCAGTCTCACCCTTCAGGCTCCGGAAGAAAAGCGAATGCGTCTCCCGGAGGTTGAGGTTGTCCAGCAGTACCAAGGTGCGAGGACCGCTGGCGCCGGCCAGGCCAAGCAAGGGCAGCAACAGCAGCCACCAGCTGGACCACACACAGGCCGCGCGGGGCGCCATCTTCCTGCTCCAAAGAACCCAAGGGCCTGGGCACCGGAAGTGTCCCTTCCACGGTCGCCCAATCGCGGTTCGTTGTCTTGGAGTATCACCCGGAAGTGATTGGAGAAAGCCGGGGCCGGGCGTCCGGAGCCGCTGCTCGGACGGCGAGGGTCGAGGAACATGGCCGGAAGTGTCCCTGTGGGAGGCGGATTCTCGGCACACTATTGGTGAAAGCGGCGCGAGGTCCCGCCCCCCCGAGAGGAAAAGGCTCAATCCTAGAGAGACAGCTCTGCGGCCGCGGCCAATCAGTACGGCCGAAAGCCCTTGGGTTCCGCCCATTGCCGGCTCCCGCCCGAGCCTGGGCCGGCTCCCGCCTCCTCATCCGATTGGTCCGGGTCTGGGCCGTGGCGCTCGGGTCAGAGTCCCGGCCAGAGGTTCCCTGGACCGGGACAGGTTCGACTGGAGCCAGGCCCTACCTCCACTGTCTCCCGGGAGAAGGTGGTTGGAAAAAGGCCGGGGACGAGTCGCGGGCGTTGGGGCTGGGGGAAGAGGGCCGGAATCGCTCCCGCTGCTCACGGGCGCAGGGCCTTGGCGCGGGCCCAGTCCACCCCGCCTGATGACCCCGGCCAGAGGCAGTGTGGACTGGGCGAGGAGTCAGAACCTGTAGCTGGGCATATCTGCGCCCAGGCTCGCAACAGCCCTGTAACCTGAGCGCTTCTCTGGTTTCCAGGCCGCTTCTGGTGGCTCAGAGGGTAAAGAGCCCGCCTGCAGTATGGGAGACCTGGGTTCAATCCTTGGGTTGGGAAGATCCCCTGGAGAAGGGAATGACAACCCACTCCAGTATTCTTGCCTGGAGAATCCCATGGGCAGAGGAGCCTGGCGGGCTACAGTTCATGGGTCCCCAAAGAGTCGGACACGACTGACTGACTTCACTTGTTTCCAGGCCGCTGTCCTAGGCTGGCACTGGAAGTGATGAGGCCCGGCCCTGCTTACCTGTATGTGCCTTTGGGACCGCCTGGGCTCTTGGGAGGACTACCGCGGGTTTCGAAAGCGCTTCGTGCAGAGCCAGGCTGAGCCTCCACTCAGTTCTGGCCCCACACCCCTTCTGAACTGACAAACAGGGCAACCAGCTCCCCTCAGACCACCATGGGTCTAAGTGAAAGCCACCACAAGCATCTCCAGAACTTAACTGTTCTCTGGAGCTCAGCCTCAATCCTGGAGTGAATGGTGAAGGTAACTGTGGAGAGAGAAGGTAGCCATTCTTTTCTGATGTATTCTCCTTGTCCACCAAGCCAAGGATGTGGGGGCAAAAGTCAAAACCTCCCTCTGCGCTTCTCCTCAACCAGTCCTGCCCTCCATCCCCACTGACCGCACCCTGAGCTTCTGCCCACAGCCCGCCCTCCTGCCCACGATGCCACATCAACCCACTTCTCACTCAGACCCGATGGTGTGGACAGTCACTGAGCAGTCGGCCACAGCTCATGGAACCCAGAGGCTCTTCACGCAGGTCTGCACCTCAGCTTGTCTTGTCAGCCTATCTCCTCTCAGTCCCTGCTCAGGCCTTCCATGGAACAGGTCTCCTCCCACCTTTTACATACCCTGACCTTGCCACCTCCTGCCTTTTGTTCACGAGGACCCCTCTACCAGGAACCCTCTCCCCACATTCCCATCTTAAGGGGTCCTCTCCATCCTTCATGGCAGCCCCACCCCCGACTGCTCCCTTCACAAGGGCACTCTGTTCCCCATACGGATCTGACTTTGCATCCTCTTGCTCAAAGTGCACTGCAGCCTGCCTCCGCTTAGGCTGATCTCTGGGTTTCCTAAGCACCTTCCGCCCTGGCTTCTCCAGAACATGAGAGCTCCTTGGCCCAGGCAAGTAGCTTGGGGCAGGTACCACAGTAGTTAATACAAATACGGAAGGGGAGGACAGGGGGACTAACAGAGCACCTGCTACGCACCAGGAACTCCACTATCTCATTTAACCTTCACAATAATCCTGAGGGCTTCCCTGATAGCTCAGTTGGTAAAGAATCCACCTGCAATGCAGAAAACCCTGGTTCGATCCCTGGGTCAGGAAGATGTGCTGGAGAAGGGATAGGCTGCCCACTCCAGTATTCTTGGGCTTCCCTTGTGGCTCAGCTGGTAAAGAATCTGCCTGCAATGCAGAAGACCTGGGTTTGATCCGTGCGTTGGGAAGATCCCCTGGAGATCGCACAAGGAACTCTACACACTATCTCATTTCACCTTCACAATAACCCTGTGGGGTTGGTATTATCCCCATTTCACAGATGCTCAGCGTGAAATGAAGCTCAGGACAGCACCAAAGCCTTTTCCCTCAGACTGTGGGCCCCTCCCACAGAGCAGGGCTGGGATACAGTGGGCGACGGGATGGGTCAGTCTTAGGCAACTGGGATGGCCTTGATTCATTTCTAGAGATGTTAGGACGCACGGTTCCAACACAGCCCCTGAGGACATCAAGACTTGGGTCTTCTCTGGACCTCAGCCAGATGTGGCCTCTATTTTCCAAAACAAGGAATTTGCTTTCCTGGGTCACAGATCCTTTGAGAATCTTAACGGTTCACATTCATATGCTCTCTGCTGAAAAAGCTGCACTTGTGCTCACAATTGCAGGGAGTTGCAGAGACCTGGAGCCTGCAGGCTGTTAAGAACCCCTGCTCCAGGCTTCCCTGGTGGCTCAGTGGTTAAGAATCTGACTGCCAATGTAGGGGACACTGGTCAGATCCCTGGTCCAGGAAGATGCCACATGCCACAGAGCCATTAAGCCCATGAGCCACAACTACTGAAGCCCATGCATCCAGAGCCCTTCTCTGCTACACAAGTCATCATCAAAAGCAGCCTGTGCATCACAATGAAGAGGAGCCTCCACTCACCCCAACTAGAGAAAGCCCATGTGTGGCAGTGAAGACCCAGTGCAGCCAAACACACACACACACACACATAAAAGAACCCCTGCTCCAAGAGAGCTTCCCCCTGGAGGCCAGCCAGGGGCTGTGGGACGCTGTCTGAGGGTCGGAGAAGCATAGTTGGTCGGTCAAAGGCAGTTTATTAGGGCAGCTTAATGTGGAATGGCCTCCCCTGGGCTGCAAACCAGCTGAGAGTGGGCAGCCCGGGAACAGCTGCTCCAGGACTCCTGGGCCCACCCCCCAGGGCTTCCCCACCAAGTGGGGCCTACTGGACAGAGGAATAGTGTTCAATTGCCAAGAGGTTGAATTTGATCCACGTGGAAGTCGCCGACACTCTGCTGGGATGCTGATGAAGGCCTGGAGGCAGAGCTGAGGTCTCTGATCCCATGGAGGCACGGAACCGCACTGGTGGGCACAGTGGCGGGCCGATGGGAACACTGATGTGGCGTGGGTCCAGGCTCCGAGGGGCTCACAGCCTGGGCAGAGTGGGCTCTCTGGGTAGCAGGGAGGGGAGCGTGCCTTCCCAGGGACAGGCCCCCTTGGGTGCCCCGGTCACTGTCAGGGGCAGGCGGGAGGAGGCCTGGCTGGAGCTGCCCTGGGGGGGCCTGGTGGTCTCACGGGAGCCCAAAGGCAGGGCGGCAGCAGGCAGTGTATTCACAGGGGCTCACCGCCAAAGCTGCTTTTGCTTTTCTTACGCTTGGCCTTGGTGAAGGGGATGTCGAGGGACTCGAGGCGGAAGGGCCGAGGCTGGGGCATTTCGGGGGCCTGGGCGGGCGGGATAGTGGAGCCGCCGCCGAGCGGGGAGCTGAGGCCTGGTGGTGAGCTGTGGTGTGCTGAGGAAAAGCACAGAAGGGAGACACACTGGTTAGCCAGGATGCAGGGGTGGAGAGGAAAGACTGTGTGCGGGGTATCACCCCAGCCAGAGGTCCTGGGACCCCAAGCTCTGAGAACCTGCTCTGGCTGTGGCCTTGGGCCCAGCACTCCCATCTCTGCCCAAAGAGTCTGGGCTGGGAGCGTGGATTTTCAAGCCTCAGACTGTGCAGCCTGGGTGTCAAGCCAGACAAGCCTGCTGCAAAACCCTGCTCCGTCACTTCGTGGGAGGGTAACCTTAGGGAGCTGCTTCTCCTGAGCCTCGGTTTCCTCATCTGCAACATGGGCACGATGCCAGGTACTCATCTGATGTGTCTTCACCGTCCCGCTTTCCTCTCCTTATTCCTCAGCTCCACCCACTCTGTCTCGACTAACCTCAGGACAGATGTGAGATTTGCTTTTTAATTGGTATTGGATTGGAAGCTCAGTGCCTTTGGTTTTAGTTTTAAGAGCAAAGCGTCCTTGGACTCTTGCTTGTAGAAGCGTGCTTTGTTTCTGTGGCCCTGATTGCCCTGCTTTGGGAACGAGTCACCATCTGAGGAAGCTGGTGAGGACCTGACCGAGTCCTGGGCAGCCCCGGGTTGGGGCGTGCTGAGGGGCTGCTGCGTGTCAGGAAGACAGAGGATCCAACTCGGCCCCTCGCCCCCAGGAGACGGAGGGGGCAGGAGGCCGGGGGCTGTGTACCAAGCACCCCCCGCCTCGTCCCACCCATCACGGAGGCGGCAGCTCCCTCAGCTGACGGCGGAGGAAACAGGGTCAGAGAGGGAGGCGTTCCTGGCCCGGCCTGTGTGACTCCAGAGCGCTCAGGGAGGGGCTGGAGGGCAGGAGGCGGGCGGGACGCTCACCCAGGCTCTTCATGGGGTCCGTGCTGAGGATCTGGCTGGCCCGCTTGGGCCGGAAGTAGTTACTGGCTATGTTCTCGCTGTCACTGCGACTGAGCATCAGCCTGTAGCGGTCCTCCTCCTGCTGAGAGTCCAAGTCCTCCAGGTCAGGACCCTTGTTTGTGCGCTCCTGTACCCCGTGCCCTGACCGGGGCGGGGTTCCACGGGCTCTGCCGGCCTAGGCAGCGGGCTGACATGAACCTCACTGCCCATGTTGGGGTGCCCTCCACTCCAGACCCTGACTCCTGCAGTGGGATCCAGGCAGCTCAGGCAGCAAGGAGGGTCACCGTCTCCAGTCTATACACGCTCCTCCCCACCCCCACCTTCCAGTGCTCAAAACCAGGTCCATCAGGGGAAAGGAAGATACTACACACCCCCACACCCAGGACGACATACTCATAATACAGTACTCGGCTCACGAGCACATTTAGGAACATTAGAACGGGAGTCCTCTGACATTTTCATCACCAAGCACTAGTAGCCAGGCTTCAACAATATGTGAACCGAGAAATTCCAGATGTCCAAGCTGGTTTTAGAAAAGGCAGAGAAACCAGAGATCAAATTGCCAACATCCACTGGATCATTGAAAAAGCAAGCGAGTTCCAGAAAAACATCTATTTCTGCTTTACTGACTATGCCAAAGCCTTTGACTGTGTGGATCACAATAAACTGTGGAAAATTCTGAAGGAGATGGGAATACCAGACCATCTGACCTACCTCTTGAGAAACCTGTATGCAGGTCAGGAAGCAACAGTTAGAACTGGACATGGGACAACAGACTGGTTCCAAATAGGAAAAGGAGTACGTCAAGGCTGTATATTATCACCCTGCTTATTTAACTTATATGCAGAGTACATCATGAGAAACACTGGGCTGGAGAAAGCACAAACTGGAATGAAGATTGCCGGGAGAAATATCAATAACCTCAGATATGCAGATGACACCACCCTTATGGCAGAAAGTGAAGAACAACTAAAGAGCCTCTTGATGAAAGTGAAAGACGAGAGTGAAAATGTTGGCTTAAAACTCAACATTCAGAAGACTATGATTGTGGCATCTGGTCCCATCACTTCATGGCAAATAGATGGGGAAACAGTGGAAACGGGCAGATTTTATTTTGGGGGGCTCCAAAATCACTGCAGATGGTGGCTGCAGCCATGAAATTAAAAGATGGTTACTTCTTGGAAGAAAAAGTATGACAAACCTAGACAGCATATTAAAAAGCAGAGACATCACTTCGTCAACAAAGGTCCATCTAGTCAAGGCTATGGTTTTTCTGGTAGTCATATATGGATGTGAGAGTTGGACCATAAAGAAGGTTGAGCACTGAAAAATTGATGCTTTTGAATTGTGGTGTTGGAGAAGACTCTTGACAACTCAAGACCCCTTGGACAACAAGGAGATCCAACCAGTCCATCCTAAAGGAAATCAGTCCTGAATATTCATTGGAAGGACTGATGTTGAAGCTGAAACTCCAATACTTTGGCCATCTGATGGGAAGAGTTGACTCATTTGAAAAAACCCTGATGCTGGGAAAGATAGAAGGTGGGAGGAGAAGGGGACGACAGAGGATAAGGTGGTTTGGATGGCATCACCAACTCAATGGACATGAGTTTGAGTAAACTCCGGGAGTTGGTGACGGACAGGGAGGCCTGGCATGCTACAGTCCATGGGGTCATAAAGAGTCGGACATGACTGAGCGACTGAACTAAACTCAGTACTTTTCACTGCTGTAGTGGATCTATTTTCTTCAGCCTGAATCTCTTCCTTCAGGGAGCTACCTTTCACCCACTGGACATGGTCTTGGTAGGTTATGCATTCACAGCACCCTAATACCACCACTGCCGCTTGCCCATCCCCTTGCTACACACCTGGACATGTGACTTAGACTGGACCAATCGCAGAACTACATCTTCTGGACACAGTCATTGGTCTAAGAGTAGGCCCAACCCAGGCAGAGCCAATCAGAATCTTGCCACAAGCCTTGGTTTAAGGACGCTCCAAAATCCCACATCTCTTTCCTACTGGATTACCGATTGCTAGCAGCCATCTTTCCTGCCACACAGAGAAGTCCTGCCTACATCCAAGCCCAGGACTCCAAGTGAAGCAGAGCCAAGAGGTGAAGAAACCACACAGAACAGGACTGTTTGGGCCCCTTGATCCAGCCATGCCTGAAACTGGTCCACTTAACATAGACCAAGAAAATCCCTAATTTGCTTATGATTGTTTGCTTTGCATAGGTATCCGTCACCTGGAACTAAAAGCATTCAAATAGAACCCATCCATAATCTCAGATTAAGAATGGCTTCTTTCAGGAACAACTTTCCCTTTTCTTTTTTTTAAAACAAAGTTAGGGAATCAAAAGCAGCCAGTCAGAACCTTAGATCAGCCTGTGTTGCTCAGATGGAGACGCACTAACCTACGAGTGACCTTGTCATGACCGCAGAGCTATGTTCCATGTAGGTTTTCCAAAATATCTGTAATGGCTAACGGTGAGGATCAGCAAATTATACCGTCTATGGGTCAAACCTGGCCCACAGACTGTTGTTGGAAACTTTCTCGGGCGCGCAGCTGGGCTCATTCACTTACCTAGGGTGTGGGTGGCTTCGTGCTCTCGTGCAGTGTTGATTAGTTGTATGAGAGACCACACTGCACCCAACCCCTAAAGTATTTCCTGTGTGGTCCTTTAGAGAAAAGTTGGCTGACCTGCTTTAAGGCTATGTATTTGTTGTAATACAAAAAAAAGGCAACATGAAATAAAGTGACTTTAGGATCGCAATGACTGTCTACAGAAACGCAAGGACGCTTTCTGTCTAAGAGTGCCAGCTGGGGCCCAGGGGGCTGGGGTGAGCTGCTCGGGCTCTGGGTCTGCGGCTGAGGCCTCGGGCCGTCACCAGCGGGGTAGGCTGCCTTGAACCCCTGCCCCTTCTCTGCTCTTTGTGCACGCTCAAGTGCCTTTGAGTGAGGCCCAGAGGAGGCAGGGGGTCTAGGTGCAAAGAGCGACACGGAGAGGGCCCCGCTCAGCCCCCTGATTTAATCCTTAGGTCACCTGGAAGCACAGTCAGATCCTAGAGCTCCCCGACCCACTGCGCCTTGGGGGCCAAGCTCCCCGCTCCCCACTGGCTCTCCCAGAGACCGTACCATGCCTGGCTCGCCGTTGTCCGCTGCAGAGGCTTTGCGGGCTGGTCTGTTCTGTGGCCCTGTTGAAACTGCTACGAGAAAACAGAAGCTCAGGTCCCTGCTGCCTGGTAGGAGGGGCAGCGGGGCTGGGGGAGAGGCTGGGTGCTCAGGCCTGGCTCAGGCTTGGAGCCAGGGGAGGACACTAGAGCCCACCCCTAGAGAGGGGATGGCTCTGAGAGACATCAGGAGGGCTTAGGTCAAAGCAGCCACTCCTCTGCCCCCAGGCAAGACTGCAGGTGAGCATGGGGAGACAGGCCAGCGCTGCCTGCAGCCTGCGAGGAAATGAGGCAGCTGGCATTTCACCAGGGATGGTGCCACGCAGGGGTTAACAGTCAGTCGCCTGTTGCTCTGGCTAAGCCATGAAACAAAACCATGGGAAAAGAATGAAAGCAAGATAGAGCAATTAAGTGTAATCTAAACAAAAGTACATTGGCGTGATGAGTTGGGGTCGTCATGCCCTGCTGAGCTACAGAAAAAGTGTGGACCTTGGAATGCCGGGTCAGCGCGAGTTCAGAACACTGCTTGCCGCACACACCAAGATGTTTTTCCCAAGGCATATGCGGGTTTAGGGCCTCCAGCTGGGTGATACCCTTTGCACGAGAAAATAACGACAGTTGAAGGTCATCAGTAACCTGGGACACGGGATCAGGGACACAGGAGGCTGATTTTATCGTAACACAACAGATACTCTCTACATGTGAAGACGCTAAATAAAAGTGAGGTGGCTTGGAGGAACAGGGCTCTTGATCCCTGAGATCTTGAGTCCCCCGGTCTCATCTTCAAAGCTTTAATTCTGTCTCTAGTTTCTTCCAAACTGTGCGTCACCCTGCTTTTGCTCCCTGCCCATTGAGCTGGCTGCGGCAGCACCCATCCCCCCGGGTCGTCAGAGATGGAGGACCTAGATGAGCACTCCCCGAGCGGGGGGTGCACGGGTGTGGCCCCGCCGGCCCGAGGAGCCCACAGCTCCCTGAATGGGCAGAGCTGCTGGAGACAATCCACTGCAAGTCTGAGCCTACTCTGAGACCCAGTGAGGGCTCGGTGGCTTTCAGGAGTATCTCATCCAACCCCTTCTCTGTGAAGATCAGGCGACCAAGGCCCAGAGAGGGACAGTGATCATCACAAGGTCACACAGGAGAGCAGCAGCAAAAGCAGAAAGTGAGCCAGGCCTGCAACTGCCCAGCTCGCTTCCATCCCTGGCCTACAACTCACTGCTATGATTGTGACTCCGGATAAGTCACTTACACTCTCTGAGATTCCTCAAATGGAAGACAGGGGTGAAAATCTTTACCCCTTCAGGGTTATTGCAGGCTGAAGTAAGGACAATAACGATCGTGGTAAGAAAATGCCTCATGCATTTACAATGTGCCGGGCATGTTTCCAAGGATTTTACATGTCATAAGACGTTAAGCCACCCAGCGATCTTTAAGGAAGGTGCTGTTATTAATCCCCATCTCACGGATGAGAACACTGAGTCCCAAGAGCTGACACAGGGACTGCTGGAGCCAAAGTTCCAACCCGCGTGTGCCCGACTCTTAGGCCCCCAACATGCAGGGTACCCAGGGTCACCTGTCTGCTGCCCTCAGAGCCAGCAGGAAGAGGTGCGTGGCCCCCTGCCAGCCTGCAGGAGAGCAAACTGTGGAGAAGGGAGGGGGAACAAGGAAGTGGGTGGGCAGCGGGGAGGTGAGAGGGACAGCAAAGCTCCTGACCTACTGGGAGGCTGGTTTTTATGAGGATGGGCTCAGGAATCTTCCAGAAACCATTGTCTTCATCCCAGCAGGACTCTCGTCGGATCTTCTCCAGGTTGCTATAGTTACAGTCCCGGCGAATCAGAGGCTGCACCTGCTCCAAGAGCTGCTGGAAGAGCAGAAAGTCACGTTCCTGCCGACGGATGGTGGCCAAGTAATCGATCTTCTCCAGCTCAAACTCCGACTGCAGATCTTTGATCTCCACCTCTGCTGCTCGGAGCTGAAAACAAAAGATGAACCAGCAATGAGCAGGAAAGACAGCCAGCAGGAAAGACATTCCCTCTCCTGCACGCCCGCCCCCTGCCCCGCCCCCCGCCCATCAGTCACTCACCCCCGCTCACTGATCCTCTCACCCATCCAATCTGATCGTCTACCCTGTCATCCTTCCATTGATTCATTCACAGTCCCTCCCACCCCTCCACTCAATTCTTAGATGAGCACCTACAGGGTCCGGAGCCCTGCAGAAAGCAGGAAGAGAGGCTGGTCATCCACTCCCACCACCAGCCCTCAGCCACTATCCCCACGCGTTTTATTCAGAAGCTGTTTACAAGGCTCCATGTGTAACACTGTAGTTACCACAGTCCTCGAGATCTCAGAGAACTGTACAGATTCTTTCTTCTAAAAGAAGCAGTAGGCAGGACTTCCCTGCTGGCCCAGTGGCTAGGAGACAGATGTCTGCCTGCAGATGCGGGGGACAGGGGTTCGGTCCCTGGTCCAGGAAGAGCCCATGCGCCTCCGCAGCTGCAGCCTGCGCCCCAGGGCCCGCAAGCCGCACCTGCTGAAACTTAAGCACCAGGAGCCCGCACCCCGCAATGAGAAGCCACCACAGTGAGACGCCTGCAAGTAGCAATGGAGACCCAGAACACCCAAACTAATGAATTCGTGTTTTAAAAAGCAGCCGTAGGCACAGATTCTCAGACAGCAGCCCTTGCTCTCCGCGGCTGTCACACTCCTGTTGTTCCGTCGCCCAGTCGTGACCGACTCTTTGCAACGCCGTGACCCCGTGGACCGCAGCACACCAGGCCTCCCTGTCCTTCACCATCTCCCGGAGTTTACTCAGACTCACGTCCACTGAGTCAGTGATGCCATCCAACCATCTCATCCTCTGTCGTCCCCTTTCTAAGGAAAGGTCAGAAAGCATCCTTCAGTGAACAATGCAAAGAAATAGAAGGAAAAATAGAATGGGAAAGACTAGAGATCTCTTCAAGGAAACAGGAGATATCAAGAGAACATTTCATGCAAAGATGGGCTCAATAAAGGACAGAAATGGTATGGACCTAGCAGAAGCAGAAGATATTAAGAATACACAGAAGAACTGTACAAAAAAGATCTTCACGACCCAGATAATCACAATGGTGTGATCATTCACCTAGAGCCAGACATCCTGGAATGTGAAGTCAAGTGGGCCTTAGGAAGCATTTCTATCAACAAAGCTAGTGGACAGTGATGGAATTCTAGTTGAGCTATTTAAAATCCTAAAAGATGATGCTGTGAAAGTGCTGCACTCAATATGTCAGCAAATTTGGAACACTCAGCAGTGGCCACAGGACTGGAAAAAGTCAGTTTTCATTCCAGTCCCAAAGAAGGGCAATGCCAAAGAACGTTCAAACTACTATACAATTGCGATCATCTCACACGCTAGCAAGGTAATGCTCAAAATCCATCAAGTTAGGCCTCAACAGTATATGAACTGAGAACTTTCAGATGTATAAGCTGGATTTAGAAAAAGCAGAGGAACCAGAGATCAAATTGCCAACATCCATTGGATCATAGAAAAAGCAAGGGAATTCCAGAAAAACATCTACTTCTGCTTCATTGACTACACTAAACATTGACTAAAAAAAAAAAAAAAAAAAAATTGACTAAAGTTTGACTGTGTGGATCACAACTATGAAAAGTTCTTAGAGACGGAAATGCTTGACTGCCTCACCTGTCTCCTGAGAAACCTGCATGCAGGTCAAGAAGCAGCAATTAGAACAGAACGTGGAACAACAGACCGGTTCCAAATCGGGAAAGGAGTACATCAAGGCTGTATACTGTCACCCTGCCTATTTAACTTATATGCAGAGTACATCATGTGAAATGCCGGGCTGGATGAAGCACAAGCTGGAATCAAGATTGCCGGGAGAAATATCAACAACCTCAGATATGCAGATGTGCCACACTAATAGCAGAAAGCAGAGAGGAACTAAAGAGCTTCTTGATTAAAGTGAAAGAGGAGAGTGAAAAAGCTGGCTTAAAACTCAACATTCAAAAAACAAAGATCATGGCATCCAGTCCCATCACCACATGGCAAAAAGATGAGGAAAAAGTGGAAGCTGTGACAGATTCTATTTTCTTGGGCCCCAAAATCACTGCGGATGGTGACTGCAGCCACGAAATTAAAAGACGCTTGCTCCTTGGAACAAAAGCTATGACAAACCTAGACAGTGTATTAAAAAGCAAAGACATCACTTTACTGGCAAAGGTCCACATAGTCAAAGCTATGGTTTTTCCAGCAGTCATGTAAGAATGTGATGTGTGAACCATAAAGAAGGTTGAGAGAAGAACTTTTTGAACTGTGGTGCTAGAGAAGACTCTTGAGACTCCCTTGGACAGCAAGCAGATCAAGCCAGTCAATCCTAAAGGAAATAAACCCTGAATATTCATTGGAAGGACTGATGATGAAGCTAAAGCTCCAATACTTTGGCCACCTATTGCAAAGAGCCAGCTCACTGGAAAAGACCCTAATGCTGGGAAAGACTGAAGGCAAAAGGAGAAGAGGGTAGCAGAGAATGAGATGGTTAAATAGCATCAGCAACTCAATGGAAATGAATGAGGAATCTCCGGGAGATCGTGAAGAACAGGGAAGCCTGGCATGCTGCAGTCCATGGGGTCCCAAAGAGTCAGACACAACTGAGGGATGGAACAACAAGCAACTGACTTAAAAATAAGGAGATTATCCTAGATTACCGAGTGGGCCCAATGTAATGTATATACCACGTGGGAGAGGGAGCAGAGAGAGCCGGGTAGAAGAGATGCATTAAAGGAGATGCTTGGGAATTCCCTGGTGATCCAGAGGTTAGGACTCCACGTTTAGGGGCGCGTTCAATCCCTGGTTCCACAAGCAGGGTGGCATGGTCACAAATAAACAAGAGATGCTTCAGAGAAGTCAGTCAGGACAGCCAAAGAGACGGGAAGCAGGAGAGAGACTGCACAGGGCAGGCTGTCTTTGGAGGGGGCCAGGCAGCAGGAAATAGAGACTGCCTCTAGGAACTGAGGATGACCATGGCTGACGGCCGGCAGGGAGACGGGAATCTCGGTCCTTCAACCACGCAGGGTTAAATTCTGTCAACAACCTCAAATGGACTGTCCCCTAGGATCTCCAGAAAGAAACGCAGCCCTGCCAACACGTCGAGTTTGGCGTTGGGGAATTCTAAGCGGAGAAGCCAGCCATGCCGTACCTGGAGTCTGACCTACAGAGCTGTGGGGTAACGTTTTTAAACGTTTATCTGTTTTTTGCCGCGCTGGGTCCTCCTTGCTGTGCTGGCTACTGTCCAGTCGTGGCGCCCAGGCTCCCACTGCAGTGGCCTCCCTCATTGCAGAGCACGGGCTCTGGGGTCCTTGAGCTTCAGCAGTTCTGGCACGTGGGCTCAGCAGCTGTGGCTCACAGGCTCAGTACTTGTGAGGCACGGGCTGGGTTGCTCTGAGGCATTTGAGATCCTCCAGGGATCAGGGGTTAAACCCGTGTCTCCTGCACCCGCAGGTGGATTCTTTACCATTGAGCCCAAGGGGAAACCCACTGTGAAAGAACCAATTTGTGTTGTTTCAGGCAACAAAATGTGTGGCCATTTGCTACAGCAACCACAGGAAACTAATGAAGAGCTCTATTTAAAGCCACACTTCCATATGGACAGAAGAGTATATTACTGAGTCAGCCACCCTGGACCCTTACCTCTGTGTGGCTGTCAACACCGCTGACACCGCCCTGGGCCCGTTCAGTTCCTCCTGGCCTTCCACTGACCCCAACTTGGGCTGTGCGCGTGTGTGCTAAACCACTTCAGTCACATCTGACTCTTTGTAACACCAAGGACTGCAGCCCACCAGGCTCTGTCCATGGGATTCTCCAGGCAAGAACACTGGAGTGGGTCGCCATGCCCTCCTCCAGGGGGTCTTCCTGACCCAGGGATCGAACCCGCATCTCTTTTGCCTCCTACTTTGGCAGGAGGGTTCTTTACCACTAGCGCCACCTGGGAAGTACTGTGTAGTAAATTTCTTCTGTGTGGTCAAGGGCTTTGTAGTTAATAGATACTGTTTAATTGTGATTAAGTCCAGGTGGTCTCTATGCCCTGGTAGTCGCTAAACAACAATGAAGACCTTTCACCGACATATTCCCAGTGCCCACAAGACTAGTTACCCATTCATAAATCTTGACCTAAGAGCGCTCTTCCTGGGACTTCCCTGGTGGTCCAGTGATGGAGAATACGCCTGCCCATGCAGGGGACACAGGTCTGATCCCTGGTCTGGGAACTAGATCCCACATGATGCAGAGCAACAGAGCCCCAGCACCCCAGAGCGCGTGCTCCACCACAAGAGAAGTCAGCACAGTGACGGCCCACACGCCACGGCGAGAGAGTGGCCCCAGCCACCAGAGTCAGAGAACATCTGCGTGTAGCAATGAATATCTAGTGGAGCCAGAAAAACAAAAAAGATGCTCTTCCTGTTGTAAAGCTCCTACCCACACACCCTGGGTAAACACAGAATCATCCTGATGGCCCCTGGGTGCTGGGAAGCACAGCGGCGAATGCTTCCAGGTTGTCATCCGTCCGGCCCCACCCCGTGACTACCTTACCCTAAAATCAACTGATCCACCGATTACATGGAGCCGCCTGCCTCATTTTTTGGTCTCAGGGTACCTTGTTTTGGTGGGTACTTTTGGTTCCCTCCCTCCTCCAACAACTTGGGCGCTCAGTTGTTACTGAGAGTGCAGAAAAACATGACGTTATGCAGTAAACAGAAGCGAGCAGATGTATCTAATCAACGACACTATTAAGAAAAAGGAAGTGAAAATCAAAAGCATTTCAGCAGAGGAAAGAGCCTCCCAAAGCACAAGCACATGCAACCAAACGTTAAAAATATAACTCAACGCCCCAATGTGAATAGTTTCCTTAAACACAAATTCGCAGGTGTGAAATTTTCAAATCAGAAATCCAAAATCTTGAAATGGACAAAAGTGAAGAAGATGCCAAGTGGGACATTAATACAAAACCAGCAAAGATTTTTTTTTTAATTTAGATATGTAGACCAAAGTACAAGAAAGACCAAATTCAATTAAAGACATGAAGCATAGTAAGAAAAGGCATAAAAGTAGCCAAGAAAAAAATTTAAAACTAAAGACCAAAAAGTATCAGGTTTATGCTCTGGCAAGATCCCTTGGTTGCCACGCTGAGTGGGGATGAGGAGGGGGTAGCAGGCGGCCAGGGAGGGTGCTATGAGGCCCAGGCCACCTGGAAGATGCGCTGAAGGCCACGCAAGTGTAGGTCACAGATGGCAGAACCTCATTTCCCTCCAGTCCTCTCTCCCCATGCTCAGCCATGTGGCCGCCTTTCTGTTTCTTGAACCACGGACCGTATTCCAGGCACCGGCCTGTCTCTTCCCCTAGACTGCTTTCCACTAGGTCCCACCTGAGAAGTCACCACCTGTGTGGTGTCTTCCCATCTGAAGTGGCCCCGGGAACTTCTGGGGTCCTGCTAACGCTCAGAGCCCCCAGCCAGGTGCAGGTGGCCCAGGGCACTCCCTCTGTGGAAATGAATTCAGTTGTCTCACACACACACACACACACACACACACACACACACGAGCTCCACAACTGCAGAGATGAACCTGTCACCATGACAGCTTCCAGAACAGGGTGTGGCACACAGCAGGCACGGAATACAGGCAAGGTTCGAGACCAGATGTGAACGCCCACCTAGCGCTCCCTGCCCGGGGCGGGGCCTGCCTGGGGGCGGGGCCTTCCCGGGGCGGGGCCTGCCTGGGGGCGGGGCCTGAGCCCGGGCCTCACCTTCCTCTGCATCTTCTCCAGCAGCTTGCTCTTGGCCCTCACTTCCTCCTGGATGGAGTCGTAGACGTTGAGCAGCACCCAGTCCCCGCTGTCCTCGTCCGAGCTCTGCAGGGCCGCCACCAGCTGCTTCTTGCGCTCGTCCGCGTACCGCTTCCGCCGCCTGTGCTTCTCCTTAAGGTCCTTGTTCTTGGCCTCCTCCCCGCCGACCACCTGCTGCTCCAACTGCCGCAAGCTGCCGGCGGGGAGGAGAAAGCAGACGTGACAGTCTGCCGATCACCGAGCACTGGCTGTCCAGCCTGATCGCCCCAACTCCTTTCAACAACCCCACTTCACAGACAGGTACACTGAGGCCCGGGGAGGTGACTGCTGTTGGCTCGGGTCAGACCCAGCGCTCCTGCCGGCTCTGCCCGACTCCAGGCCTGTGCGCTCTGCCGGCCCGCTGGTTCCCCGCACAGGAAGGGCGAGTCTCCCTCCGCCCAGGGCTGCCCCACCCACATCCGGGTGCTGGTGGTCCTGCCACAGAGCAAGGTCCTGGCTGTGCTCCCAGAGAACCTGCAGATCAGAGTGCCCCTGGGTTGTGGGGAATGTTCCTACGGTCAGTGCATAATGTTTCATCAGGAACACGAATGGTTTTATATATATATATATATAATGCTTAAAAATGTTTATAGAGTTTTGCCTTTTAAAAGCACAAATTTGAAATAACTACAAAGACTCAGGTGGAACGCCTCACTCTACTAAAGCACCACATAAGTGTTTTGACTGTGCCTCTTTCCAAAGGGATGTAAGGGTCAGATAACTAAAGGCATGACATGGACTCATAACAGGATAGGAGACCACGCTCAGCAGAAAGAAGGGAGCCACGCAAACCCAGCCTCCAGGGCAGACCTGCTTCAGGCTCGGCTCTGAGCTCAACAGCAGCTGGGATACAGGTGAGCCACGTCCAAGTCGCTGCTCTGCTTAAAATCCTTCTAGGGTCCCCATCAGGATGGAGCCCAAGCCCCAGGGCGCGCATATCTCCCCCGGAACCCTACCACCCCTTCCTTGCTCCAGCTTTAACCAGGGGCGGCTGCTTTTCCAAACACCCAGTCTGTCTCCACCCCCAGAACCCACTCTGCGCCACCTCAGCTGTGCCCTGTCCCTCGAATGCCACCCCTGAGACATCTGTCCTGCATACCTTCTTCGAGGGCCCCCTCTTCTGAGAAGCCCTCCCTGACCACACTCCAGACCACACCATGAAAACCACCACCTGTGCTGTTTCTGTGTGCCCGACACCAAGCTGCTGCCTCTCGGGGCATCGTGTCCTATGACCCTCACAACACGCTTTCCACGCGGGCACTCTCGCCGTCACCCACTGTGCCCGTGAGGAACTTGGGGACAGAGAGGCCCAGGTGGTGGAGCTGGGAGACACTGGAGGCAGAAGGGAACGCAGCCAGTCTAACTGCTCCGGAACCTGACTCCCCCTGGACCAAGAGCTTTGTCCTGATGCCTGGTACCTAGTAGATGCTCAGTTAGTGTTTGAACCATAGTCTGTGGGGCCAGGAGGAGGCTGAACCGCTGGCTGTGGGGCTGACTCTGTCATGCAGACGGGCCGGGCCTGACGGCAATCTCATTTACAGAAGTGAGAACCAAGGCTCAGAGATGGTAAGTGACTTGCACAAAGCCACACTGCTAGAGAGGAAAGTCCAGCTGGGCAGGCAGCCCCAGGGTGTGCTGGGAGCAGAGGTCCCTAGAGGGAGCACGTCTTCCGTGAGGGAGGGACTGGAGGCAAGGCTGTGTTGTTGATGTGCTAGTCGCCCAGTGGTGTCTGACTCTTTGCGACCCCATGGACTGTAGCCCACCAGGCGCCTCTGTCCGTGGAATTCTTTAGGCAAGAATACTGGAGTGGGTAGCCATTCTCTTTTCCAAGGGATCTACCTGACCAGGGATCGAACCTGGATTTCCCACATTGTTCAGGTCAGTTCAGTGGCTCAATCGTGTCTGACTTTTTGAGACCCCATGGACTGCAGCACACCAGACTTCCCTATCCTTCACCAACTCCCGAAGCTTGCTCCAACTCATGTCCATTGAGTCGGTGATGCCATCCAACCATCTCATCCTCTGTCGTCCCCTTCTCCTCCCGCCTTCAGTCTTTTCCAGCATCAGGGTCTTTCCTAATGAGTCAGCTCTTCGCATCAGGTGGCCAAAGTGTTGGAGCTTCAGCTTCATCATCAGTCCTTCCAGTGAATATTCAGGACTAATTTCCTTTAGGATGGACTGGTTGGATCTCCTTGCAGTCCAATGGATTCTTAAGAACCTTCTCCAACATCACAGTTCAAAAGCATCAAATCCTCAGCACTCAGCTTTCTTTATGGTCCAACTCTCACATCCATGCATGACTACTGGAAAAAACATAGCCTTAACTAGACCAACCTTTGTTGGCAAAGTAATGTCTCTTTTTTTTAATATGTTGTCTAGGTTGGTCATAGCTTTTCTTCCAAGGAACAAGCATCTTTTAATTTTACGGTTACAGTCCCCATCTGCAGTGATTTTGGAGCCCAAGAAAATAAAGTCTCTCACTGTTTCCATTGTTTCCCCATTTATTTGCCATGAAGTGATAGGACCAGACGCCACGATCTTAGTTTTCTGAATGTTGAGTTTTAAGCCAGGTTTTTCACTTTCCTCTTTCACCTTCATCCAGAGGCTCTTTAGTCCCTCTTTGCTTTCTACCAAAAGCGTGGTGATATCTGCATGTCTGAGGTTATTTCTCCTGGCAATCTTGATTCCAGCTTGTGCTTCATCCAGCCCGGCATTTTGCTTGATTTCTGCCTCCCACAATGTAGGCAGATTCTTGACCATCTAAGCCACCGGGGAAGCTCTGGAGGCTTGGCTGAGCCCCCGGGGAAAGCCTGCATCGCCTGCCCTGGGTTCCTGAAACCTGCATGGCAGCCCGAGAAAGCCAAGCGGGGACTGTCCCGCCCTCCCCCGGAGTAGCTGCTCCCCCTGCAAGCGTCTGATGGGATCTGGAGCCACCTGAGCCACTTCATGAGCAGAGAGCCCTGCCACCTGGCTGACCGCCCCCCCACCCCCGCACACCACTCCTGGGGAGGACCGGACCCCCGCAACCACATCTGGGGGAGGGCTGGGTGGGGCTCAGGAAGGATCTCTGGGCCCCACCATCCACCCCTGGGCCCGGGGCTCCCTCCCGCCACCGCGCGGTCCCACCGCGCCCACCCCCTGCCCCCCGGGTCCCCACTGCCCCGGGATCAGGTGCTTACCGGGCGAGCACCTGCTGTTGGTCCACGGTGGGCAGGAGGTCATCGGCGAGCGCAGCCACGCTCTCCCTCCTCGCGCCGGCCCCGGCCAGCAGTGACCGGGGCTGAGCCTCCAAGGCTGCCGGCGCTTCAGCCGGGGCTTCCGCGATGGGCTCTGCCGCCAACACCAGCTCCTCCGTCGCCCCCGGGCCCAGGTCAACCTCCTAAGCGCAGCGAGAAGCCAAGGTGGAGGTGGGGGCCAACTCCTCCGCACGAGCTCGCCGCAGCCTCAAGGCCAGCTGAGGCAGCCGGCCCCCTGGCGGCCCACGACATCGACATCGCTACGGGCTCGGGGACGCCGCGTCATTAAACACATGCACCCAGTCAACTTCCCGCCACTTTTCTGACCAACACCCCCCAAAACAGCCCCCAGCTCACTCTCCCTCCTGCCCCTTACCATCTAGACTCCACACAGCAGCTAGGGCAATTTTTGTTTTTTTGGCCTTGCTGTGTGGTTGGCAGAATCTTACTTCCCCAATCAGGGACTGAACCCATGGAAGCAAGCCCCCTGCGGTGGAAGCACAGTGTCATAACCACTGGACCACCAGAGTTCCCCGGAATTTTCTTAAACTATAAATTGATCCTTCGCAGACCCCCCATCACATCTGCAGTCCAAGCCAGTTTCTTCCACAACCTGCTGCACCCCCGGTGCCCACCCCCTCCTCCCTCTGCCTGCGCCCTGCCACCCCCCAACCCCCCATCCATCCCGCCACTTCCCTGACCTCCTTTTCTGGCACTGAGAACCTTGAGATCTTTCCGGCCACAGGACTCTGGCACCTGCAGGCCCCGCCCCCCACCACCAGCTCGGTGCTCTCTCCCCTGCCGCCCCGGCCCCTTCTTCCTGCTTGAGTCCCACATCTCAGTGTCACCTGCTGCCCAAGGGGACCCCTGACCTCCCCATGTGCCCCCTGCCGAGAAGCTGCAGGCTGGCTCCTACCCAGTGATCAGGCGCAGAGGCCAGCAGGTCGCTCTCTCTTTCCACAACCGTGGGCAGATTTAAAGTCTTCCTCCCGCTCCCCTTGGCTGGTTGTGTTTTCTGAAGCAGAAGTGGGGGGAGGTGGGGTCTGAGAGCAGCAGAGCTCAACACGCCCCCCCCCAACCGCCTCGGGGGTTCTCTGCCAGCGCTTCTGTGGTCCTCGTCCACCACACATGCTGGGCTTCTGTGCTTTAGACCAGGGCTCCACCGCTGAGCAAAGGGTGAACATCACCCTGGAACAGTGGCATCTCGTTAACAAATCAATAAATAAAGAGAGAGGTGAGGACTCCTCTGATTTGCACGCTGCTTTGTGCTGGGGGAGGGCAGGGGGTACTGTCCCCATTTTATGGGTGAGAAAACTGAGGCCAGAGAGGGAGGAGCGGCGAGAGCATCCCAGGAGGAATCAGGCCCCTGGAGCTCCCCCCACCCCAACTCAGGGACGGGCGGGGGCACTCACAGTCCTGGGCGGGAGGTCCTCGGCCACAGCTTCAGACCTGAGGTCAGCGGGCTCCAGCAGATCTGTCAGGGAAGGGTGCTTGCAGGAGAACAGGTTGGGGGAGCAGGGGTTGGGTCAGGATCATCCTCTGGGGCCCCGCCCCGCCTTCCCGCCAGCTCCCCGCCTGCTCCCCAACCCCGCCTGACCTCAAAGGACGTGGGTGTCAGCATCCCCATTTAACAGATGAGGAAACTGAGGCCCAGAGAGGTCACACAGCTGAGTGAGGGGTAGAGCTGGGATCTGAACCCTGGACTCAAAGGCCTGTGCTCTTTAGACCCACACAATCTCATACACAGAGAGACAAAGGAAAGGAGGGGAGAGAAGAGAAAAAAAGAGTCTTAAACATAAAAGAGAGGGTTGAAAAGGGAGAGAAGGCCTTGGACCGGGAGGCAGGATGGAGGAGAAGCAGCCCCTCTGGACCCCTGGGCGGCCCCTGAAAGGTAGCCAGACTCTGCTCTGAGAACAGGAGGGCTGTCGCGCTGTGTAACCATGGCAACAAGCAGACGCCCCACCTGGGTATCCCCGTGTCGGCAGAACAGGGGCCCGTCCGGCCTCGCCTGGGATCTCATCCCGACCTTCCCACTGGTGTACAGAGCCTTAGCCAGAGCTCCCCTTTCCCAGACCCCTAACCCCCAGGCGCAGTCACGCCGCAGGCCCCTCTGCGCCCGCGCCAGAGCTCGGCCCCTCCCCTGAACTCCCGCGCGTCAACCCGCGTGCCGTCAGGTACCTGCGTGGTCACCTTGGGGACGTCCACCGGGGGCACGTCCGGCCCGGACACCGTGGAGGAGAACCTGGCCAGCTTGGCCGCCACCTCCGCGTAGGGGTCGTGCAGGCCGGGTAGCAGCTCCAGCGCCATCAGCGGGGGCTCCTCCAACAGGGGCTCCGCGGCGCCCCTGCCGACATCGTCGTCAGGCAGCAGGTAGGGGCCCCGGGCCTCTGAATCAGGCACCGAGAACTCCAGGCTGCAGGGCTCCTCGGGCCCAGAGAAGGCCGTGCAGACGGAGTTCTCTCCCAGCGTGGAAGACTCATCGGACCCCAGAGACGCCTCGGACTTGGAGGCCGCCACCTTGGGCAGCTCCTCAAATCCGGAGGAGACCTGAGCCTTGAAGGAGTCCTCACTAGGCAGGGGGTCAGGCATGGAGTAGATCTCGGGTCTCCCGGCCATCCTGAACTCGAAAAGAGGAGAGTACTCGGAACTGCTGGCAAACTCAGCCCTGGATAGGACCTCAGCCTTGTAGAGGACTTCCGCCTTCAGGACAGCCTCTGCAGGGAGACACCTTCCTTTAGCTTGTTACAGGGTGGACTGGAGCGTGGGACAGCCCTTCCTTGGAAGCTGGCCGCAGGCCCACTATCTCCAAGAGACCGACTTTAGAGTCAGAGCCTCCAGGCCCCCAAACGCTGACTTCCCATGTCTGCCCCTCAGAACTCAAGCCCTATCTCCTTCCCCCTCTTCCAGGAAGTCCTCCCTAACCAGCTCCATGATGTCACCATTCTCTAACCGCCCCAGCCATTAGGGGCTGGACTCTTACCCCTGTGCCTTGGGTTTGCTCTTTATACAGAAACTGGCTGTCCTGCCGGTATTATTGCCTCGAAGGCAGAGAGCTCCTGACCCAAATATTTCAACTAGTTGTTCTGCCGGTATTATTGCATCTAAAGGAGAGAGCTCCTGACCCAAAGATTTCACACCCAAGACCCTCAGGGCCCGCTCCTGGCGTACCCAGCTCAAGGCCCTTGTCCACAGGACAAGCTAGAGCCGTGGGGGTTAAATGAATGCTGCAGATGAATATTAGCGAGGCCAAATAAAATCCCTCAGAAGCCTGATACTCAAAGTGGGCTGGAGGAAACACTCTCCAGGACAGAAAGTGCTAGAACCTGCTCCTCGGCCTTCCCCTGGGGCTACATCTCCCTGCCAGCTGGGGTTGGGAGACGAGCCCACGGGCCTCTTGCTGCAGCTCATGGGCAGCTCCTTCGGGTCCATCCACTCCTTTGTTACCGTGTCCTGGGCCCCCCCGAGAGAGCCCCGATGTCCCCTTTGCTAGGGTCGCTAACTCGCCAGCTCAGGGGTCCCCAACGCCCAGGAGCCGGGCCACGTGGCCGAAGGAGAGCAGCGAGTGAGTGACCGGAGCTTCACCTGCCGCACCCCATCGCCTGCGTTACCGCCTGAACCACCGCCCCCTCCGTGGAAGAACTGTCTTCCACAAAACCGGTCCCTGGTGCCGAGAAGGTTGGGGACCGCTGTATGTAGCTCACAGCCCGAACCTCTCCAAGCCTCGGTTTGCACACCTGCCGTGTGAGGAAGCAGTGAGTCCCAACTCACCACGGGCTGGCAGGGGGAGCGCCTACCTACCCAGTACCCGGCACACAGCAATGCCCCATATACGGGACCAACAATGTGAAACCGTCATCATTACAAAGCGGATTTTATAGTATTTATGGGCTTCCCTGGCAGCTCACATGGTAAAGCATCTGCCTACAATGCGGGAGACCTGGGTTCAATCCCTGGGTCGGGAAGATCCCCTGGAGAAGGAAATAGCTACCCACTCCAGTATTCTGGCCTGGAGAATTCCATGAACGGAGGAGCTTGGGGGGCTACAGTCCATGGGGTCGCAAGGAGTCGGACGCAACTGAGCGACTAACACTTATAGTGAGTACTAGGAAGTCTGGGATGCCTGGCAGCACAGGGTGTTTGAAAGATAGCGGTGGGATGGAACATTCTAGAGTGTCAAACAGAAGACAAAAATTCCCAGGTAGGTAAAAGCTCTTGCTAAGGATTGCCTCAGCAGCAGAGACATTACTTTGCCAACAAAGGTCCGTCTGGTCAAGGCTATGGTTTTTCCCGTGGTCATGTATGGATGTGAGAGTTGGACTGTGAGGAAAGCTGAGCACCAAAGAATTGATGCTTTTGAACTGTGGTGTTGGAGAAGACTCTTGAGAGTCCCTTGGACTGCAAGGAGATCCAACCAGTCCACCCTGAAGGAGATCAGTCCTGGGTGTTCATTGGAAGGACTGATGCTGAAGCTGAAACTCCAGTACTTTGGCCACCTCATGCGAAGAGTTGCCTCATTGGAAAAGACTCTGATGCTGGGAGGGATTGGAGGCAGGAGGAGAAGGGGATGACAGAGGATGAGATGGCTGGATGGCAGCACTGACTCAATGGAAATGAGTTTAAGTAAACTCCGGGAGTTTGTGATGGACAGGGAGGCCTGGCGTGCTGCAATTTATGGGGTCGCAAAGAGTCGGACACCACTGAGCGACTGAACTGAACTGAACTGAAGGATTGCCTAGTTTGGGATGTAGTTGCCCTGGTGACAGATGGGCTCTAAAGTGGAAGAGAGACTAGAAAATGCAGAAACCGGGGGAAGGGACTTACCTGTGAAACTTGGGTGATATGTAGCCACTCTAAGTCAGCCTTGGGCGGGGAACCCAGGCTGTGGCCAAGGTGATACGATGCAGGGCTGTGGGTGAGAACACTGACCCCGGGATCAGACTGCTGGAGTCAAATCCCAGCTCCGCTTTAAAAGCTGTGTGACTTCGGGGAAGTTCCTCACCCTCTCTGGGCCTCAGTTTCCTCAACTGTCCAGCGAGGGTGATGGAGGTGCCTGCCTTGCTGGGCGGTTGTGAGCAGGAAGCAGAACTGGGGCCCGTCGGCGGGGCGCGGGGGGCAGCAGGCTGGGCTCCCTCCTGCCTGGCGGGGCCGGCCCACCTGTCTCCTTGCGCAGGTTCTGCTCCAGCGTGGACAGCTTCACGTCGTACGAGTTGCGCATGGCGGTGATGTCCTCCTCCAGCCGGGCCCTGGACTCCTGCTCCGCCTCGTAGTCGGCCCTCAGCCGGGCCAGGCGCTGCTCGTACTCCTGGAGAGGCGAGCAGGGAACAGAGGGGAGCGCTCTATCACCGCTTCCAAACCCGGCTTTCGGGAATCCTCCTCTGTCCAACAATCCAGGAAGCGCAGCTGAGCCCAAGGAACAGAATTAAGATTATCACCCTGATAATCTGGGGTGATTCCTGGCTGGGGAAGACCCTTCTGAACCTTCGTCTAAGCATGTTTTAACACGCTAATAACATCTGCCTGCGTGCTAAGTCACTTCCGTCGCGTCTGACTCTCTGCGACCCCGTGGACTGCAGCTCGCCAGGCTCCTCTGTAGGATTCTTCAAGCCAGAGTACTGGAGTGGGGTGCCGTTTCCTCCTCCAGGAGATCTTCCCGATCCAGGGATCAAACCCATGTCTCTCACGTCTCCTGCATTGGCAGCTGGGCCCTTTACTCCCAGCGCTACTTGGGAAGCCCATATATGTGTCTATAATCTAATTTTTCCACTAAGCAATAGATCACAAACACCTTTCTGCATCGACAAATACGGTTTAACCAAACCCACTGAAGACAAAATAAATCACTATACTTCTGCTCAGCCATCCATCTTCCCCATCGCCACCAGTTGCTGCCCAGACCTGGTTCCCCGCTTCTACTCTTACTCCAGACCTTCCTCCCCAGGGCAGTTGTGTGCATGGATCATGCTTCAGTGGCTTCCCATGGCTGAGGATAAAATCTAACTTCCTCCAGTCGATCTCCAGTCCCCAGTGACCCGGACGGCCCACCCCATCTGTCACACTTGGGCACGCCAGCCCCTTTCCACTCCTCGGCACACCCACTCCCCCGACCCCCGCCAGCCTCAGGCCCTCTGGGCTCGCTCCGAGGCAAGTTCACCCCTTCTGGCCTCAGCTCAGCGACATCCGCTCAGAGAGGCCTTCAGTGAGCGCCCTCTCGGGAGATGCCCACTGCCACTCTCTGTCACTTCGCTCAGTTCTTCTTAGCCTGGGTCAGAAGTTCCACCGTGCTCCGCACTTGTTTGATTATAGGTTAAGCGCCCGGCTCCCCGGCCAGAGGGCGAGTACCGTGCCATCTTGCAGCCGTGATGCCGGGCACAGAGGGGCACCTCTGAGGGCCGCGCCACTGAGTCGTCACGTGTGTGAAGCAGGACGGCTGGGCGGACGGTCCAGGCGTCTGGTGCAAGCCCCCAGGAAGGCCGGGCCTCTGCGAACTCACGACACCCTGTGAGCCACGGCCTTCTGGACAGGGTGGCCCTGCAGCGGCAGTGAGCCGGGGGGCGCGACAGGGTTAGAGGGGGGAGCCCCTGCGCGCGCCCACCGACCCCCAGGAAGTACCGGACCAGCGCAGACCCCCAGCACGGCACAGCCAGCCCGCCCGGGCTCTCAGGGCGGGAGAGACAGACCATCATGAAGACCTAGCGGTTTCCGCAGCACGGCCAAGGTGCCGCTGACCCAGGGAGGGCCCGGCTTGCCCAGAACCACATGCAGCTCCTGGCAGCCCCCCTGAGACCTGCAGCCCTCACCCCGCCTACCTTCTGCCCTCAAACCCACGCCCGCCCAGCAGAGACCCCAGGCCGGCACTTCAGCCCCGACCCCAGTTCAACCCGGGCCTCAGCCCAGCGGCACCTACAGCCTAGCAAGACCTGACTGGAGACACACACACTTCTCTGCACACACGCACACGCCGTTCTCACGCGTAAGCATGTGACCCCCAAATTACAGGAGGACGTGTGACCCCCAAATTACAGGAGGACCTCAAAGTGGGGAGTGCCCCTTCCCGGTCCCTCCATCTTCCCTCTCCTCAACGCTCCTCTCCCGCCATTCCCTATCCGTCCCTTCACAGAGGAGGAGACGGCTGGATGGCATCACTGACGCGATGGACATGAGTCTGAGTAAGCTCTGGGAGTTGGTGATGGACAGGGAGGCCTGGCGCGCACAGGCCATGGGGTCGCAAAGAGTCGGACACGACTGAGCGACTGAACTGGTGACAAAAAGTTTTACTAACATCAAACCACTTAATCCTCACCGCACAGTTATAGAGCAAAAGTTTTCTGATCTGCACAGCAAAGTGATTCAGTATGTCTGCAGATTATACTCCTGAAGAGGTCACCCTCTCTTCACATGCTCGCTCTAAGTTTTTTTTTTTAATGTGGGCCATTTTTTAAAGTTTTTATTGAATTTGTTACAATATTGTTTCTGTTTTATGTTTCGTTTTGTTTTTTGGCCAGGAGGCAGGTGGGATTTCAGCTCCCCAGTTGGGGATCAAACCCGCATCCCCTGCACTGGAAGGCGAAGTGTCAGTAACTGGACACCAGGGAAGTCCCTCTGGCATCCTCCCAGGGCAGAGGACAGCCATCCACGGCCAGCCCCCCACGGGAGGACTCCGCTCGGTCAGCTCCCGCCCCTCCCCCACACCGGGCTGCCCGCTCCGTCCCTGAAACACGCTCGCCACTTCCAATCTTTTTTTTTTTTTTTTTTGGCCATGCTGTGCAGTTTGCGAGATCTAGGGCCCTGACCAGGGATTGAAGCAGGAGCCACCTCCCTCCAAGAGATGGAAGCACAGAGTTCCAGGGACCACCGGGACATTGCCATGCTACTTCCAGCATTAAAAACAGCACAGCCCCGCCTTGGCCGCACACCCGCCTCCAGCCGCATTACCAGCAGGTACGCACCAGATGCTTGCGGATGACTGGATGGGTCGGGAGGGGTGCAGAGAACACAAACCCAGCCCGCCCCCCGCCCCCGGGCCCCGGCGGGCACCTCTGACACCACCCAGCCTCTCCCAGCAGCAGAAACGCTGCTTTCTGTCCACTCCCAGAGACGAGGAAGGGCTTCCCTGGGGGGCTCGGATGCGAAAGAGTCCACCCGCAATGCCTGCGTGTGTGGTTGCTCGGTCGTGTCTCTCTGCAACCCCGTGGACCGCAGCCCACCCAGCTCTTCTGTAAATGGGATTTCCCAGGCAAGAATACTGGAGTGGGCTGACATTTCCTCCAGGGGATCTTCGCGACCTAGGGATTGAACCAGCGTCTCCTGCGCGGGCAGTCTTCACCCGGTAGCATTGGCTCCACCAGCAGCCAGGCCAGAACAGCGGCGCGTCTCCCCTATGACCGCTAGGAGGCGGCAGTGCCCTGCTTCTCACTCTGCCAGGACCCCCGCCCACCCAGCCCAGCTTCCCCAGGCAGGAAGCCTGCATCCCAGCCCCAGGCCCACCCCCGCATCCCCGCCCCCAACCCCAGCCCGCTCCCTGTCACCCCCTGGCCCATACTGTTTTGTGGCCAACGTCTACTCATCCCTGTGTGGCTCTAAAACCCTCCCTGAACCCCAGGGCGTCACCGCTCTCATCCTGTGGGCTTGTGCTCCGCCATCCTCAAAGGCCCCCTCCTCCCAGGACCCCCCCCCAGGAGCTGGGCCCAGGGCTCCAGGGCCAGCCTGACACCGACCCCGCCCCAGGGGCAGCAGGGGAACAGGTAGAGTGAGCGACTGAGCCCCCAGAACCTTCACGGGGGCCCCACTGGGAGCTATTGGGGGCTACATCGAGACCTGAGCCCCCAGAACCTTCACGGGGCCCCACTGGGGGCTATTGGGGGCTACATTCAGACCTGAGCGCCCAGAACCTTCACGGGGGCCCCACTGGGGGCCATCCAGGGCTACATCGAGACCTGAGCCCCCAGAACCTTCATGGGGCCCCACTGGGGGCTATTGGGGGCTACATCGAGACCTGAGCCCCCAGAACCTTCACGGGGCCCCACTGGGGGCTATTGGGGGCTACATCCAGACCTGAGCCCCCAGAACCTTCACGGGGGCCCCACTGGGAGCTATTGGCGGCTACATCGAGACCTGAGCCCCCAGAACCTTCACGGGGCCCCACTGGGGGCTATTGGGGGCTACATTCAGACCTGAGCCCCCAGAACCTTCATGGGGCCCCACTGGGGGCTATTGGGGGCTACATCCAGACCTGAGCCTCCAGAACCTTCACAGGAGCCCCACTGGGGGCCATCCAGGGCTACATCCAGACCTGAGCCCCCAGAACCTTCACGGGGCCCCACTGGGGGCCATCCAGGGCTACATCCGGGCCCTTACTCAAGCAGTACAAGCCCCCACCCGTCAGGGGCAGCTGGGGGTTCTTCGGTCGGTGTCCCCCAGCCCTCCAGCCCACAGCACAGAGATCCCCCCAGGCCTCACCCTGTCTGCCTCCCAGAGGCTGGGCCCGCCTGCCCGGGGGCTTCCGGGGGCCCCAGGACTGAGTCCGTCTGAGGTCACAGTTGAGTGGCAGAGGCCCAGCTGCAGACATGCTCCGTCCCCTGTCCTTGCAGAGCTGGCCTTCCCACCAAGGGACCACTGAATGTCAAACCCCACCCCATGCTGGGGTCTCAGAAACCAGCAGAGCCTGAGGTCGGGGCACAGCTGAAGGCAGGGGTGGAAGGCTCTGGGTGTCTGGCTCTGTGCGTGTCTCTGGGGTCAGCTCCGCGCCTGACAATCAGCTGTGACCTGCCCTGCGGGTTCCCAGTGCCGCAGAGAGGCAGGCATGCAGGCGGGAGGACCCAGGGCGACAGCTTTTTCTCGGAGGCCACACATGCCGCTGGGGGCTCCCTGCAGCCCTCCCGGGACGCCCCGCTCTCGGCCCCCAGCCTGCCCACTCTGACCTCCTCGCCCGGCACCCGCCAGCCCCACTACCAGGGCCGGCCCCTCTTCGGCCGTCGATCCACTGCAAGACAGACGGCGGATGGACAGACAGCGGCCGGGGCCCGGCAGACGCCTCTCTTCTCCCCACAGCGGCACTCACGGCGGACGGACTGTGCTCCGGAGGCGGGAACCCCAGTTCAAATCCTGGCTCAGACTCGCCTCGGCTGCGTGACCTTGGGCAAGCCTTGGCACCTCTCGGAGCCTCAGCTTTCTGAGCTCCGAAAGGGAGACTGGAGGACCAGCCCCCAGGGGAGGGCGGCGGGGAGGCGGTCTAGTCCCGGGGCAGGGCCCCACCTCCCGCGGGGCCCACCCACCTGCCCGCCCCGCGCCTCACCTCCCGGATCAGCTGCTTCTCAGCCTCCGTGTCGTGCTGCGTCACCGGTAGAGACAACGGCTTTTCCTCAACCTGGACGGGGCTTGGGGGCACCTGACTGTTCAGCAGAGCTGGGAGAAAAGCAGAAATGAGGGGCTCTGACCAAGCTGCTCATGGTCTGCCGGCGCCAAGCCTGCATGCACGTCTGCGTGCTCACGGACTGCAGCCCGCCGGGCTCCTCTGCCCACGGGACTTCCCAGGCAAGAATACTGGAGCGGGTTGCCATTTCCTTCTCCAGGGGATCCTCCTGGATTGGGGATCAAACCCATGTCTCCTGCATTGGCAGGCAGATTTTTTTTTTCCACTGAGCCACCTGGGAAGCCCCTAGAAACTAAGCAGAAAACCATAAAATGACGCCAATGTGCTCATTCAAACAAGACCCTCAATACTGAACTTATTTTGAGCACATCTCTATGCAAAATGCCAACGTACTCATCCAACAAGCCTTTCTTGGGCACCTGGGGGTTTGGCACTGAACAGAACAGACAGGACTCCACACACATCATTTCCAACTGGGGAAGAAAGGCAAGCAAAAGGCATACCGTGTTACAAAGTGACACTTTCTAAGAAGAAAAAGCAATCAGGGAGGGTGCGGAGAAGTAAAGACCAGGGCAAAGGGCTGCAATTTAATTCTTGTGGACAGGAAAGACCTCTTAGACAAGGTAGGCGGAAAGCAGTGATCTGAAGGATGTGAGGGAGAGGGGCAGGCAGAGATCCCAGGGAAGGACAGAAGGGAGCGGAGAGTGCAAGGGTCCTGTGGCAGGCAGGGGGCCGTCCCAGGGACAGCCGGGAGGCCACTGAGGCTGGAGCAGAGTGAGCGAGGGAGAGTGTGAGCCAAGGGCACGCAGAGAGGGAAATGCGCCGGCCTTGGCGAGGACTCTGGCTTCAAGTCTGGATTCCACCGGCCCACTGGAGGGTTTGGGCAGGGCAGGACTCGCGTCTGAACAGGAGCTCCCTGGCTGCCGTGTGGAGAATGTACCAGGGGGACAAGAGCCTGGCCAGGAGACCCGCTGGGGGCAGGGGGGCCTCTGCAGTATTTCAGCTGAGAGATGCTAGCGGGGTTGCAGGCCACGGGGTTGCAGTGGATAGAGTCTGGACCTGCTCCAAAGGTTCAGTTCAGTCCAGTCGCTCAGTCGTGTCCGACTCTGCGACCCCCAGGCCTCCCTGTCCATTACCAACTCCCTGAGCTTACTCAAAGTCACGTCCATAGAGTCGGTGATGCCATCGGCTAAAGGTTTAGACATCACTCTAAAGACAGAGACAACAAAAGCAAGAGGGCAAAAGTGAGAAGCCAAGGATGATGACGCCAAGGCTTCTGGCTTGTACATCTGGAAGGAGAGAGGTGCCACCAGCCCGGGGGGCGGGGAGAACAGCTGCAGGAGAAGCTCCTTCCCCAGAAGGACTGGGGAAGATTCAGGGCTCAGTGTCCCATACATTAGGTTTGGAGTGATGATTAGATAGATGGCAGGATGTTCAAGACTGGAATTTGGAGGAGATGATGTATAAATCAGGTTTTAATGATGTTTTAAGACTAGAATTTGGAGGAGATGGTGTTATTAATCAGGTTCATTTTAATGATGTTTTAACATCCTGGGGAACTTGATGGTCTGGGGGAGACGGTCCTTCCCAGGGTCAGCCAACTCCTAGAGGGAGTCAACACCTTGTTTGGAGGAGTCCACCTTTCATACGTGCACACCAACCAACCTCGAGTCCAAGGCCGCCTCTAACTCTCCCACCAGGAGCCAGTATTTCCTCTGCCTGAAATCAGCCAGGGCAAGCACCACGCAAGCAAGGCCAGCATTACACCCTGATCCCGCCAGGCTTCCTCAAACCGGTCAGTCCTGGGCCCTTTCTCCTGCCTGCTATGTCTTTCCACCAAAACCTCGATCACAGCTCTGGCTCAGGCTACCCTGGCTCCTCCGCAGCCTGACCCCCGCTGGTGCTTCCCCCCAACCCCGGTGGTCCCGCGTGGCCTGCCTCTCATCGCCCAGGTAGCTGAGGAACGTTAAACCCTTTCTTGTGATGACACTGACCTCTCTGCGCAACCACTCAGTCACCTGTATAAATTAAAAAGACCTGGGCACACATCACACGGCCAGGATTGAGGTCCACTGTGAGACGCGTGAGCGGGGAGGTGGTGGTTAAAGCCGCGAGACCAGAGGAGCGAGTGTAGACAGGAGGCTGGAGGACCGGCCCCGGGATGACCTGCCGTCAGGAGAGGGGGAAGACTCGTCCAAGGGATGAGGAGGAGCAGCTGGAGGGGCAGGACTGGGGTGAGGGTGTCCAGGAAGCAAGGGCTTCAAGGACGAGGGAGGGGATCCTCTGAGTCAACGGATGCGAAGAGGGCAGGCGGGGCCTCCTCCGACGATCACTGGATTTAACCACCAGGAGGCACAGGTTCACTCGTCGGTCTGGGAAGATCCCACGTGCCGCAGAGCACCTGAGCCTGTGAACCACAACGGCTCAGCCCTCACACCGCGACGACTGAAGCCCGTCCGCCCTGGAGCCGGTGCCGCACGGAGAGATAAGCTCCTGCAGTGAGGAGCCTGCACATCGCAACTACAGAGTAGCCCCCAGCTGGAGAAAACCGCACGCAGCGACAAAGACCGCATGCAGCCACAAATAAAGAAATAAATGATCTTTTTAAAAATCAGGAGGTGGTTTCTGCGGGCTGGGAGCACGGGGCCTGCCTGAACTAGGGGCAAGTGAGCATGGAGGGCGGTGAAAACAGACCAATGTCTCCAGCGTGGCTAAAAAGGGGAGACAGAAACATGCCGGCGACCAGAGGGAGGGCTAGGGCTGAGAGGGCGCTGGCTCACGGGGAGTGCCGGGCGATGGGGACACCTGGAGCTCCGAGTCAGACACCCCTGGCTGGTCTCAAGGCCCAACTCTGAAGTCAAAGCGTCAGGTACAGTCTGTGGAGCCTTACGGGACAAGTTCTGGGCTAAGCCCCCACGTGAACCATCTCATGCAGTCCTCCCAACTGCCCCACAGCCATCGCAAGGCGGGTGACCCATTTCACAGATGAGGACACTGAGACTCAGGGTGGGTCTAAGTCGCTTCCCCGAGGAGCCAGACTGTGAGCCAGTGGTTACTGCCTGGCTCTCGGCTCTCTGCCTGCCCTGCACCATCATCCCAGCTTGTTTCGGCTCCACGCTCCAAATCCAGGGAGACGGGACACAGACAGCCTCCACCCAGCAAGTCTGCCGTGGTAACCACAGGAGGTCTGCAGGAATGTCAGCTGCTGCTGCGTTAGGTTTGGGGGGGGCCCCCAGCAGAGCGCCCCGACTCCCTCCTGGGACTCTCACCACTCCCCCATCGAGCGGCCCCTCGCTAATCCTGGGCCCGGAGGGGAAGAGGAGGAAGGCACGCTGCCCAAGGAGAAGCCGTCACCGTGGAGGTCAAGGCCCTCTCCACGCCACCCCTGCCAGCCCCTGCCAGCCCCTGCCAGGCCCTGCCAGCCCTTGCCAGGCCCTTGCCAGCCCCTGCCAGGCCCTGACAGGCCCTGACAGGCCCTGCCAGCCCCTGCCAGGCCCTGCCTGCCCCTGCCAGGCCCTGCCAGCCCTTGCCAGGCCCTTGCCAGCCCCTGCCAGCCCCTGCACCTGGGCACCTCCCACCACCCAGCTTCCCAGGCAGCCAGCGGATCTCTTAATCCTTGAGGGTCCCCAAAGGCACCTGAGAGTCTTGTGCCTCTCTGCAGACTGACCACGCTCATCCTAACAGGAGACTTCTCATCCCGCCAGACTCCACTCAAGCACCCCTCCTCCTCTGCGAAGCCCTCCCTGAGGCCCACCCCCCACCCCACACACTCCCTTCTGCCCTGAAGTGCCCCGTCCAGCTCTCTGCCCGAGGGGCACACGCTCCTCTGCGGGAGTGTCCCTCCCCTCCCGGGAGACTAGGTTAACCACCAGGCGGAACCTGGATCTGCATTATCTCTGGGTCCCCATGCCAGGCCCAGGGCCACATACAGACGGGTGTGAATGGGTGGCGGGAGGTGAGGGGAAAGGCAGCTACGAGGATGGATGGCAGGAGGGAGTGAATGAGCAGGCGGACCTGTGGAGAGGGTAGACAGGGTGGGCGGACAGAAGGGATGGGTGGGGGGTGGGGGGTAAATAATGGAGTGGGCGGGGGGTGGGCGGGCCGGCTGGCCGGCTGGCTGGATATACGAGTGGATGCGTAGATGGATGGGTGGATGAGTAGATCAGTGCAGGCACAGAATGGATGGACGGAGGAAGGTGGGGAGGCGGATGAATGGGTACATGGACTCAGGCTCTCTGGTGCTCCCTTCCTCCCAGGAATTCTCAGACAGAGACGACCCTGGAGCCCCTCAGCCGCACAGAAGGACTCTGCAGACCCAGGCTCCAGGTCTGGATTGCCACCTGCCGGGTGATGGCCAAACACCTGGGTATGAGAGCCGCCGTCCCAAGGTGCCTCTCTGGGAGCGGAGGCAGGATGCGGGGGACTGGGGGTGCGGGACATGAGTCACCCCGCTGCTCAGCAGCACAACATCACGACTCTGTGGCTGCCACGGAGCCCACAGGCAGACAGGCGGGAGGCCCAATGCGCAGCCTGGAGGCAGGGAAAGGGGGTGGGGGGCGTGGTGAATGGAGCCTCCAGCTGCTGGGACAGGCCGCATGGACCAGCCTCTCCCTGGGGCATCGGTGGGCAGATACCTCCATGCCCGGGGGCCGTCCCCAAGTAGGGTTCCCCCTGGCTGCTCACATGAAGCTGGGAGGAGGTGGGGCACGGCTTCCACGCCCCTCAGATGAGGAAGGGGAGGCGGGCAGACACGGGGAGAGAGCGTTCCTGGCGCTCCGGCCGCCCTGCCGGTCCCCCCCGCCGCGCCGCCCACCTGACAGGCTGCCGGGGCCCATCTGCTGAGCCAGGATGGCCTTGAGCTTCTTGATCTCCTCCTGGTACTCGCGCAGCAGGGCGTCCTTCGGGTCCTCGTTGATGCGCGGCTTGTTGCGGATGTTCTTGGCACGGTTGGCGTAGCGCAGCGTGCTGAGCGTCTCGTCGTAGTTGTTGTCGGCGGGCGACAGGCAGGCCACCATCAGCGTCCGGGTGTTGCCGCCCAGCGAGTCCTGTAGCAGCCGGGTCAGCTTTGAGTCCCGGTAGGGGATGTGCCTGCAGCGCCCGTCCACCAGGGCCGAGATGACGTTGCCCAGCGCCGACAGAGACAGGTTGATCTTGGTGGCCTCCTTGAGCCGCTCCCCCGTGGCGCCCGTCTTGGACTGCCGCTCGCTGCCCGCCAAGTCCACCAGGTTCAGCTTGCCTGCCCGGAGGTGGTCCTTGCCCCGCTCGTCTGCAGACAGACCAGACAGAGGGGTGAGGGGCCTGGGGTGCGGCGACCCCCTGCAGAAAGGAGGCTCTGGGTGCTCCCCACCCACGGAGGGTCTCATTTCAGCCACACAGGAGCCCCAAGAAGGGGGCTGCTGGGATTGTGCCCACATTACAGGCGAGAAAAGTGAAGCTCAGAAAGGGCGTGTGACGTGCCCAAGGTCACACGGCTGGCTAAGCAGCAGATTCAGGGTCAGAACCCAGGGCCGACCCTCCAGGGAGCAGGGGCTGGGAGGTACACGCTGTTACCTGAGTGTTCCCTGCCCCTCCTCCCTGGGAGGTGAGGCGTGGGGTAAGGGGACGTGTGTCTGGGTCACCAGGAAGCTGCCGCCCTTCAACGCAGAAAAACATCGGCTTGGAGACCCTGGGACCCAGTTCCCCTCCAAGTCCTGCCTCCTACTTGCCGTGTGACCTTGGCAGAGCCATATCCTGCCCTGATCTTCGATTCTCACACCAACAAAATGAGGCCAACGACAGCTACCCACCAGGGAAGCTGTTGGCAGGGGGTAAACGGATAGCGCTGTCACGGAGCCCACTCGGGGTGTGGCACGCAGCAGGACTTCATGCCCCAAGAACACGCCCAGGTCCGCGGGGACCACGGCTGCGCTGGCAGGCAGACCTGGGTTCCGGGTGCCTCGGGAGCAGGGGCCCAGAGCATCACTTGGGAAGACCCAAGGGATCCAGTCTGGGTTCCATCCCTCGGGAGCTGTGGGCCTCAGGGAGCTAACTGCGTCTCAGCCTTTCTCTCGGTAACACAGGAACCCAAGACCACCCTCAAGGGTCGCGCCTGCCATATAGCAAATGCTCCTGGAGCGAGATGAGGGGAGGGGAGGGAACTTCCACCTTGGTTTCCTGCTCGTTGAAACCAGAATTGTCCTGGCTTTGCCCACGAACACAGTCACCCGAAGTGAAGAAAACGTCTGGCTGATGCCCAGTGGAGGCCTGGGCGTGCAAGGGGCTTGATTCTTTGGGCTTTTTTTTTTTTTTTAAGCAGTAGCAGGCAGGAGGAACTTGGAAACACCCTTTAGGATAGCTCTTTGCAGAATATACCAGGTGCCTTAGACAGGTTTGCACCCTCACCCCAGGAGGCCCGCTCCAGGGAATCTGAGGTGACTCTAAAAGCAGAAAAGGCTTTGTGCACAAAGATGCTCATCTCTGCGTCATTTACAACACAGAGAAACCGGAAATGGGCATCAAGACCTTGCAGAGGGGTGGGGAGAGGAAGACCACGAGGAACCTCCATCCACCTCCCAAGGTCAGGAAGACGTGGCAGGAACGATGTTGGGAACATTTGTAAGGACGGCATGGGGAAGAAACTAAATAGAGCTTAAGATTCAGTTGTGTTTAAAATTTTCATAGGAAAAAAAGGACCAAAAGAGTATATGCTTATATGTTAATAGTTGTGTTTGTGAGTAATTTCCCCTACCTTTCTCTTAACTCCTAAATATCTTTATCTGAACTTCTTTTATCATGAAGGCAATAAACATGTTAACAATTCTTTAAAAACCTGCTTCCAGGCAGCCTGCCTCGTCCTGCAAACTCATCTGCAGAGACAGAGAGGCCCCCACAGCTGCACTCCCCTCCCCTCCTCATCTGTCCTCAGCCAGCCGGGTCCCAGCTCCCCACCCACAGCGTCATCACACAAGGATGAGACCACACCGTCACCCCAGACCCCATGTCTACACCTGGGGGAAGACTCCGGTCCAGCCAGCCCCAGGGGCTTGGCCTGGGGCCAGGTCAGCCCGCAGCTGGGCATCGTGCTGCGTGGAGCTCCATCCACCCAGGCCATGACCTTGAGCTAGGATCTCTCCAGAACTACATTCCTATGTGAGCGAGGCTGCTCCCTGCCCACTGCTCTCCGAAGTTCTGTCTGGGATGAATGAACCACACACTCGGAGGCAGCTGCAGTGTGAGTGGGGAAAACCCAGATGGCAAAGCAACCTGGGTTCAAGTCTCAGCTCCACCTCTTAGCAGTTAAGTGGGCCTTGAACCAGCAGGTCACTTATCTCTCAGAGCCTTCGTTTCCCGACCTGTCAATGGGAGTTTTAATGTCTGCCTGCATTTAGGACTCTGCTGTGAGACTTCAACAGAATGAAGTGTGAAAAGGGCTCAGCACAGCATCCATAGGTGACCTGAAATAAACGAGTACTTCTTCCTATCTTTCCTCTCCCCCTTCTCAGTAACGCTTCCAGGAAGAAAAAAAAAAAGGAAGAGTGAGGTGGGTCAGGAGTAGAGAGCATCACAGAAAGAGGAGAATCCAAAAGTCCTGGGTGGCGGGGACTTCCCTGGTGGTGCAGCGGTTAGGAATCCGCCTTCCAGGGCAGGGGACGAAGGCTTGATGCCGGTTGGGGAACTATGATAACAAGATCCCACGTGCCGTGGGGCAGCTAAGCCTGGGAGCCACGACTGGCGAGCCGGTCCCACAACAAAGAGCATGCGTGCAGCAGCTAAGACCCGACGCAGCCAAAATAAACAAATATTCTAAAGTTCTGAATGAAAAAAAAACAAAAACAAGAGTTCTCGGTGGCACACGCTCTGGGGGACAGACCCCTGGGACAGAGGCCCAGCTCAGAGACTTTCTAGTTGTGTGACCTCAGTTTCCTCATCTGTAAAATGGGGATGCTATAAGTATCCACCTCCTGGGGTGGTAAGGGGCAAATGGGTCAATGCACATGCATTGCCTGGCAGGCAGTAAGTGCACCAGAGTAACTGCCAGTGTTATTACTGGTGGTGGTAATGCTCTCTCTCCTTTAAACACGGGTCCTGGCACAGGGATGGTCCTCATGTGTTTCCTCCGGGTGATCCCAGCATCTCTTCCCAAGTGGGGCCCTGGAGGCTCGGAGAGGTGAAGGGTCTGGGCTACTGCTTAGGAGTGGGCACCCGGCTCGGGAGGCCTGTCCCCCTCCAGCCCCGCCCGGCCCCACGCACCCACGGCGTAGATCTCGATGCTGATGGTGAAGATGGAGTGGGAGCGAGAGGAGTCTTTGTTCATCAGGGTGTAGCCCACCGCACGGTTCTTCCAGCCCGCCTCCATGACGCGCTCGCACTGGGCCACGCTGTGCACCGTGTGCATGGACAGCCCCTTCACGTACACCCCCTTCTCCGGGTGCTCTTTCAGCTGCGGGCAGGAGACGTGGGTCAGGGCTCCCCAGGGAACCCGAGGGAGGGGCCCCATCGGTGCCCACCACCTCCGCCCTCCTGTGGGGCAGGCTGGCACCTCGAATTCCCGTCACAGACCAGGCAGAGCAGCCTCAAAGTCACCCCCGCCTCTTCCTCATTGTGCGGCCTTGGGCCAGCTACATCAACCTCCCTGGGCCTCAGTTTCCACATCTGTAAAATGGACATTTCTTAGGGAGGCGGTGAGGACTCTGTAAGCTGAGGCCCGTACAATGCCAGGCATCACTGGCAACTGGCAAGTGCTCCATAAATGGCTGCCCTGGGCCTCATCGCTGCTGTTGACACCCTAGTTGTAGAGGCGGTTTCCCATCTGGGGCTTTAGCCCCCGGGGGGCTGACCCGGTGGTCATTCACCCAAGGGCTCTGAGTGCTTCTCCCCTGCCGTGCCAACATGCCTTCTGCCCACATCTCTCTGCCGCAGCTCCAGGGCAACAGGAATGTTCCCAGACCTCGTGGACCACAGCAGGTGAAGGGCTGTCTGCTGCCCAGAGCCCCGGCTAGCCGGCAGCTCAGCCTGGCCCGCGGCTCCCTCCAGCCCTCAGCAGGACAGCAGCAGGTAAATTAATTTATCTGACTGCTGCCCGCTCGCTCTCCAGGCAGCCAAGCTGTTGTGTTGCTGACACAGCTGTGAAATGCAGTATTTTTCCGGTGTGAGAGGAAATACAAACCGCTCCAGCAGGAGCAGGAAGGAACCGGGACAGAAGTCATCTGTCTGCTGCTCTGGGCCAGGGCAGGATTGTATGTTGTGCCCCGGGGCGGCTTCAGGGTCGCAGGTGGGCTTGGACCCCTGCTGCAGAGTCGGGGGGCGGGTGGGGCAGTGAGTGAGGGTGGCCAGCACCGGCTTGCCCTAGCGGCCCCAGTCTGGAGAAGGAGCCAGACCCAGACTGAAGGATCGGGTCTCCGGGAACAGTTAAACCACTGAGGCACAGAAAGGTTGAGTGACTGGAGGGCTGCACCGGGGTCCCCAGCAGCAGACACTCCAGAGGCTGCCGCGGCTTCGCTAGTGGCTCAGCGGGTAAAGAATCCACCTGCAGTATGGAAGACGTAGGTTCGATCCCTGGGTGGGGAAGATCCCCGGGAGAAGGGAAAGGCTACCGACCCAGTATTCTGGCCTGGAGAATTCCATGGACTGTACAGTCCAGGGGGTCGCAAAGAGTCAGACACAACTGAGTGACTTTCACTTTCACTGCGGCGCCCTAGAGGAACTGAGGTTTGACAGGACACAGGGCTGACCTTGACCTTGGAGGTGGCTGGGAGCCTGGAGCTCAAAGGCCAGAAGCAGGAGACGCGGCCAGCGGAGCAGGGCTTGAGTGCGGCCTGGGAGAAGGCGCGCCCGTGGTGCGGCCTGCTCTGGGCACTGCCGCTCCCCCGGAACCTAGATGCCTAGATGGGCACACAGTGGGTGCGCGTGAGGGGATGGCGGCTCCCAGCCTCGGGAAGAACGCAGCTTCTCGTCTGTACTCAGACGGGCCCAGGCTAGACGCTTCGTCCTGGCTTGCTGCTTCTTAGGGAAGTCACTTTGCCTCTCCTGGCCTCGGTCGCCTCATCGGTAAAGTGAAAGTGAAGTCGCTCAGTCGTGTCTGACTCTCTGCGACCCCACGGACTGTAGCCCACCAGGCTCCTCCGTCCATGGGATTCCCCAGGCAAGAGTACTGGAGTGGGTTGCCATTTCCTTCTCCAGGAGATCCTCCGGACCCAGGGATTGAACCCGGGTCTCCCCCACTGTAGGCAGACACTGTACCGTCTGAGCCCCCAGGGAAGCCCATCTGTACAGTGAGGGTGATGAACCCTATTCCCCACGGGGCTGTCGGGAGGGTTAAGAAGAGAGTGGATCTAAAGGAAGCTCTGTGGGAGCCTGGAGGGGGTTCAGTGACCCCAGATACTGAGGAGGTGAGGCCATCTCTCTCGGTGGAGCGATGACCCTGACATAAGGGTCTCCCCCACCCCTATTTTTAGGCTTCACCTCACCTCACCTCCTGAGCCCCCCGCCCCGCCCCCGCTGCTCCCGCCCCCACCCTCCTCCGGAGGCTGTGCCCCGCGTTCCTTGGTGATGCTCCTCCAAAATGCCAGGCCGGGCCCGGTCGCCATGGCAACCAGCTGCGAGCGGCCGGGTGGGCTGGCGCGCTGCGCGCAGGACCAGAACCACACTGGCCAGTCCGGAGTCAGGACGCGTCCCGGCGGAGGAGGAGGGTCCTGCCACACTGGCCAGATGCCCTCAGCCCCTCAGCCGCCTCCTGCACCACCCAGCGCCGAGCAGGGTTCCCCGAGGGCGGTTCGTGGTGGTTGGGGGGAAGGGGTATAATCCGCTTCCCCAAATCCCTTGCTGACCCCAGCTGATCCAACCTCCTCTAACGACCAGAATTACCAGGGCCTGCGCTGTGCCACAGAGCCTCGCCACCTGGATGCCACCTCTGTCCCTTCCTGCCTGTGCCCTTGGGCCAGTTCGCACCTAGGCACTAGGAGCCTCAGGCCCCTCCTCTGTAATAAAGGACAAAAACAGCAGCTCCTCCTGAGGCTAGGGTCAGGCTTACACGAGAACCCAGCTGCACCTCCCGGGAGACAGCCTGGTGCACCCAAGGCAGGTGTCTCTGAGCACATCCGTTATAGGTGACCCTCCACCTCCAGGCCGCCTGGTTTACCAGGCTGGAGGTCTGTGGCCCAGCTGGGCCAAGTGCATGCAGCTGCCAGCCCTGGGCACCCCCGCCCCCCGGAGCCTGGTTAACCTAGCCCATCCTAGGGTCCGGGGTGGGGAGGAAGGGGAGGGGGGCCCCCTGATGCTGTCCCCATTTCCCTGTCTGGGGGCTGAGTGATGACTCAGCTGCTCCAGCTCCAGGAGAGAAAACAGTGCAAAGACTGCAGGGGGTTGGCTGGAGGCTCCTGTGTGGAAAGGCCAGAGCACCTTGTATCTGCGAGGAGCTGAGGAGCGGGGTGCTGGGGGCAGGTCCTGGTCTGGACGGGGACTGGGAGGGTGGGGGTGGTTCACAGTCATCTCTGCTGAATGGATGCGTTGACTCATGGACGTCCCTCCCTCGAAAGGAACCCTGTTGCCGGCTTCTCATGGCCCCCCAGGTTTCCTATATTGCCCACCCCAAAAAGTCTGGGAGGAAAAAGCACCTGAGCACTCAGATCCTGCACGTTCTGGTACCAACACCATTGCTAGTAACTTGCTGTGTGACCTTGGCCTAGTCCCTTCCCCTCCCTGGGGCTCAGTTTCCTCATCTCCACCACGAAAGGACTGTGGACTTAGGAGCTCTCTAAGGGTCTTCCTGGCACAAATTTTTAAGGATTTTTCCACTACGTGATCAGTATAAACAAGTGTTTTTTCCAAAACAGCTGCTCCTTGGGGATCACGTGCGTTCTGGTGGGGCATTTAATGGTTGCAGGCCAGAGAGGAACTCACGGTCGCTCCAAAGGAAGCCAGGACAAGTGCGGGGGGGGGGGGCGTAGGGGGGTGTCTAGAGGCAAGTGGGGGCTTTGGAGCTGAGCAGGGAAACAGCCCTGTCCCACGTGGATGGGGGTGGGGCAGGAACCCGGTGGTCACAATGTCCGGTCCAGTCTGGAGGTCAGGGGGGGTCCAGAGGACTGGACCTTATCTGCTTCTGGACCTTATCAGCAGCCCCTTATCTGCTTCTGCCCCCCACCCCTCACTGGCGGTCAAGGCCTGTGCCCCAGCGAGATTTAGGCAGTTTGAGCCACGGAAAATGTCCAACCCTGACCCTGGGGCTTCCTAACCCAGCGGCCTCAGGCAAGTCCCCGTCTCTTTCCCAGCCTCCCTTCCGCATCTACAGGATGGGGATCTCCATTGCAACCTCCCAAGACTGATGCTCATTAAGGACTGACACTCCCCCAGTGGAGGCATTCTGACTCTGGACTGGAGAAGGTAGGTCATTCCCCACCACTGGTTTGTGGGCCTCGAGGTGGGAAGATCCAGTGGTCAGACAAGAAGCCCCAGAGTCTGGGAGCAGTCACTGACACGCTGGCCACAGACCAGGGTCGGTCTCCCCTTCTCAGGCTCCCCACGGAACTGGACCAGACCGGTCCAGCATTTAGAGTCCCAGATAGGAGATATAACCAAGCCTTGCCCAAAGGTCCTAGACCTGGTCCAGCCTTGCTAACCACCTGGCTGTCCAGTCCTGGCAGGTCACTTGATCTCGCTGGGCTCCCCTAGGGATCAGGCCTGCTTTGCCCATCTTGGCAGGGTTGGGCAGACTAGCGGGCCCTGGTGACCCTTCCCCATATCTCCTCCAGCACCCCCACCTACCCCGGCCAGGGCTGCACCCAACCCACCTCCAGCTTCTGCTTGGCGTCTGTGCCCAGCAGGTCCCGGACATCTTCATTGTAGATCTCCAGGTAGGAAGCCCGGACCAGGAACTTGGTGTTCTCTGCACACTGCAGGGAGCGGCCGGGAAGAACAGACACCCCTGAACACCCGCTGCCCGGCCGGCACGAGAAGACATCGTGGCAAGACACGGCGGCAGGAGGCGGGACGTCAAGGGGAGCAGCACCCCTGACCCCACCTGGCCCTGCCTGCGTGGCAAGCGGGCCCCTCCTCTCTGGCTGGCTGGGCCCTCAAGTGTCTCACAGTGGCATCATTTCCTACTGCTAAGGAGTCACACTCCCTCTGCACTCTACAGGCCTCCTGGGAAAGGAAACAGGAGAGGGCTCCCCACTGTGAAGGTAGAGAGCCTGAGACTGTGGGTTTGAGGCCTGGTCCCAGCACCGGCCCCGGGCTAATCCCTGGCAGCTCTCCCAGTTGCTTGCAGGTCATCAGAATGAGTCCCAGCTGCAGCACAGCCGGCTCTGCGGCTGAGTAGCCCCGGCTTTCTCAGATGCCGGGATCTCTGAGCCTTCACGGGTGGGCAGCAGGGCATGTCTCACCTGCTATCTGGACCCCAGGATCACTGGTCTGGGCCCAGCCCGGAAGGGCTCCCGGTCTTGGCTTCCCTATATCAAAAATGAGGGCAACAGCTACCTCCTGGGCTAGGGTCGTAGCGTGGTAATTATGCAAAGTGCTCTGCACAGCGCTTGGTCTGCAGCAGCTGGTCCATGAAAAGGGGAAGCTCTGATCATTTACGCCACGTCTCAGGCCAGCACTCTGGGCCACCATATCCACGTGAAATATCACATGAAATGTTAAAATTCCAAAAATGGCAGGAGAAAAACGTAGAACTGGTAGGTAGAATTTTCTCAGCTTTAAGTTCTCCCATCACTGCTTCAGAAACTAGAGCCTGCCTCTGCCTGTCTGGGCCGCGGCTGGGCGGGCTCTGACCATATCCCACATCCTGGGTCAGGAGTGCTCTGCGACGGCTCACGGTAACGCCTGGGGCGCCCAGCCCCGCCCCTGCCATCCGCCAGGCCCATTACCTGGACGCTTTCGAAAACGTGCTCGAAGGCCCGGGGGATGATGCCTCTCTGGCAGGCCGGGTCCGGCAGGCCCTGCATGGTGAAGGACTTCCCGCTGCCCGTCTGGCCGTAGGCAAAGATGGTGCCATTGTAGCCTTCAGTTACGCCCTGCGAGGAGGACACAGCCCGGCGCTCAGCTGGCCTGGCACGGCCAGGCTCGGGGCCAGGCCCGGGGCTGCGGGGCTACCTCCTGACGCAGGGACCCGGCGCCCCCCCCAAACCCCTGGTTCTCCCAGCATGGTGGCGCCGGGTGGGGTGGCTGTGCAGAGATGGAGGCAGCACCGCTGGTGGGGTAGCAGACCGTCCCTGTGTCTGGCTAAGAGCCTGGTGCCATCCCGTCCTGCCTGCGCCCTTGGCCTGTTCTCATCCAGGGACATGGGGCCCCGGCATCCTCACCGGTGACCAAGGGTCAGAACAGCACTTCCTCTGAGGCTGTGGACAGGGGGGCTTACTGCTGCTGTTTAGTTGCTCAGTAGTGTCTCTCTCCGACCCTGTGGACTGTAGCCCACCAGGCTCTTCTGTCCATGATTTTCCAGGCGAGAGTACTGGAGTGGGTTGCCGTTTCCTTCTCCAGGGGATCTTCTGAACCCAGGGATCGAACCCGGGTCTCCTGCACCGGCAGGCGGATTTTCTATGGCTGAGGCACCAGGGAGGCCCGCTGAGAGCTGTACGTGGGAATGATGTCCTGCCCTGGCACTCGAGGTGCTGGCACACGGAGGGAGGTGCCCCCCAAGTGTCTGCTGGGACGTGTGGGAGATGGGCCTTCTGTGAGGTGCAGGTGCGTGCAATGATGGAGTTCAGGCTGGGCGAGGAAAGTGCGGGAAGAGCTGGGCAAACTTTCCAGGCAGGTGGGCGAGGGCGGAGAACAGGGGAACAGAAAGGGTGGCTTGGATTTCGACAGGTGAGAGGAGGAAGAAGGCTGGGGTGACGGCTGGAGCAAAGCCTCCAGGGGAGGGGCGGGAGGCTGAGAGCAGGCGGACCTGGGGCGAGGGGGATGGAGACGGCTAGGAAGGAGGCGGCGGCAAACCAGGGTGGCATTCCCCCAGGGCAACCCTCATTCGCGGAGGCCATTGTTCACTGCATAGTTTCCCACTCTCTTCTCTAAAGGGGACCGTGCTCTGGCTGGGGACCGAACCCTGAACAAGGAAGACACCCCGCTCCCTGCCCTCGCCCCGCTCATGAGGCCACAAATTCTAGAACTTAGCACGGTGAGCGGGACTCTTGTGTCAGAATGTGGGCCCAGAGAGCTGTGCCCAGGCCCGAGGGCTCAGCTGGCATCTGCAAAGAGCCATCCTGCAGACCACGGCGGGGCTCGGGGTCCCCAGGGGTTGCGGGGAAATTAAGACTGGGAGTCATGACCCACAGCTCATCAGACGGCCGGGGGGCGGAAGTGATGGCAGATCAGTCACCCAACCAGAAGGCCAGAGGCGGGGGCACACGGAGCCCCAGGGACAACATGATGCAGGGCCTGGAGTATCAATGTCACCCGGGCCTGGAGGAGGGTTCCATATCAAAGTAAATATTTCACACGCGTGGTGCAGTAGGGCAGTCACAGGCACACCTGAAGGGTGCCTCATGCCACTGAGAAAGGTTAAAACTTTAAAATATTAAAAAAAATTTTTTTTAACGGAAAATTTTCCATCTTCCATTTAAAACCCAAAGCAGTGTAAAACAGTTTCCCATTAAATATGAATTTACTTTTTGGGTTTCATTTCATTTGAACTGTTGACACTTTAGCACCTAAATTAAGACGTGCTCTAAGTGTGAAACACACACGTGATCTCAAAGGCTTACAGTGAAGAAAGAATGTAAGGTATCTCTCTGACAGCTATTATGACACAATAATATCTATTATCAGGCTTTCTTTCTTCCTTGTATCCTTTCGCTTTTAAAAATGTGCTGTGCTTAGTCACTCAGTCGTGTCCGACTCTTTACGACCCGGTGGACTGCAGCCTGCCCGGCTCCTCTGTCCATGTGGATTCTCCAGGCAAGAATACTGGAGTGGGTTGCCATGTACTCCTCCAGAGGATCTTCCCAACCCAGGGATCGAACCCAGGTCTCTCATATTGTAAGCAGATTCTTTACCATCTGAGACACCAGGGAAGCCCAAGAATATTGGAGTGGGTAGCCTATCCCTTCCCCAGAGGATCTTACCGACCTAGGAATTAAACCGGGGTCTCCTGCATTGTAGGCAAATTCTTTACCAGCTGAGCTACTAGGGAAGCCCTTTTAAAATATGGCTACTAGAAAAATTTAAATTATGTCTGTGGCTCATGTTACATCTGTATTGGAAAGGATGGCTCGAGAGCTGTGCCATCCCCAGTGGTAGCCACTGGCCGTATGTGGTTACTTAAATTTAACTTACGATGAAATAAAACTAAGATTCGGTTCTTCAAAAGCATTAGCTTCACGTCAAGTGCTCACTTGCCACGTATGGCTGGCAGTCCCTAATTGGACAGCCCAGATCCAGAACATTTCCACCATTGCAGGAAGTTCTGCAGAACCACGCTGCTGTGAAGTGGAAGACAACGTTACCTGCATTCTTAAGGCAAAACATTAAATTTCAAAAACACCTCACCCATTAAGTGATACTCCAGACCTTCCAGCGACATGTGCAGACATGGAGCGGGTCCAAGTGTCATCCACTCTGTCCACCCAGGTTTGGCCAAGGTCCCCCATGTTACTGTTTACCAAATGATTTTCATGAAATCAAACTGTTAGTTGACTGTCTTTATAACTTGGTGTCATCCTCAGCAATAACTCCCGTGAAGCTGCTATTAGAGGTCGGATGTGCTACTTAATTTTTCTGCCTAGCATCTGTGCTAAATTGCCTCATGAAGCCTTTCTGTCCTCTCCCAAACCAACAGCTCTGTGCTCCATCCAGGGGCCAAATACTGTGTTGCTGTCTCTGGAAACCGGGCCTGTCCTTGCTCTATCCTGGTAGAAGGCATGGTATCAGGCCCCTGGGTGGGTTGGGCGGTGACTCATCAGAGGCAGCTCTAAGGCCATGAGTGTGAAGCAGGAGGATGGGGAGAGGGAAAAGCCACTGGCTGGGGAAGAGCCCAGAGACCAAGCAGAAGGCCGGGCGTGGAGGGGACAAGCTCAGGGTAGGTCGTGCTGAGCTGGCTGAAAGATGAGTCTGGGGTGGTCAGCTCCCAGGAGAGTGGAAGAGGTCATCCAGTGACAGAGAAATCAGGAATCTGGTCTGGATTTAAGTGGGAGAGAAGGCGAGGCAAGGGGAGGGAGAGGAGGGTGGGAAGGGTCAGTCTGAAGCGCTGGAGGCTTTACGCAGTAGGATCTGGAGGGAAGGACCTGGGCAGGAGGCCCCCTGGAGGTGGTCAGAGCCCAGCAGGACAGACACACAGCTGCCCAGCCTAAGGGTGAAGCTCCTCCTCGCTGTGCTTTGCGTACGATTCACAGGATGGAGCTTGGGGACCTAGCCCTGCAGTCAAAATCACCCTTAACTCATTCTGGGACACTCAAGGCTTCAATTTCCTCATCAGGAATGATAATCCCAGCTTTAAGTATGTCCATGGAGTCTGGCGAAGATCAAATGGTTTGGTCTCCACCTGAAAGGCCCTTTCTTCCACCTTCTTGCCTGGCTGACCCCTCATCCTCTGGCCTCGGTTTAGACCTCACCGCTTCCAGGAAGTCCTCCCTGCCTGCCCATCCCCTCCAAGCCCAGGTTTGCTAGTCTTCTTTGTTCTGCCAAAGTCCCTGTGGCTTCTCTACCCACTCATCACCCTGGCTTGCAGCTACTAGCTTAGCTGCTCCTCTGCCCGGCTGTGAGCTCGCTGAGGGAAGGCGCTGTTATTGCTCCATGCTTTGGATGGGGCCTCTTACCAGGATGCTCTTTGTTGGCTGAGTGAACGAATGAAAATGGGACCTATGTCCTGCTGAGCCTGAGGCTCCGTGGGATGCCCAAAGGCAGATGTCCCTGTAGTAGAGCCCTTGCGACAGGAGTAGGGGCTGGAGGAGAGATCTGAGGTGTTCCCCCTCTGGGCTGGGGCTTCTTGGGGACCCCGACAAGGGAGGTGTGCTCAGGGTGAGGAGACAGACGCATGAGCAAGGCTGAGCCCCTGGAGAAGCTGAGGCCAAGGAGAACTCAGTCTCAGAATCTTCCCATCTCTGAGGAACCGACCCTGGACCAGGAAGCAGAGGTGTTCTGTGCGCCCCGGGACAGAGCCAGGGCCGGGAGTGAAAGCCTCAGGGAGTCTGGCTCTGATTCACTGTGCAGAAGGGTCTTCCAGGAGTGAAGAAGCAAAGGGAAGGGCAGGCTACTCTGGGAAGGGTGAGCGCCTGCTGACAGGTGGACAATCAAGGACCCCGGGGTGGGGGTGGGAGCAGACCACCCATTCCGGTCCCTTAGAGCCTGAGAGTCCAGGATGGCAGGGGAGTCTGGCCACCCCCAGTGCCCGGGACCAACGTCGGGGGAGACTTGCCCTCTTCCCCTGGGCATCACCTCCAGTCATGCCCTCACTGCTGGGGGGCTCTGGGCTCCGGAACACTTCAACCCCCACAAGGGGTTCTGACCACAGCCAAAGGAGGTACGCTGGGGGATGTTAGCTGGCCTGCTGGCCAAAGCAAAAGGCTCCACGGAAAAATGCCTTTTGGAAATACTGGGTTAGAGAAGTCAAACTAGTTTCTCTGCTGCCAGACTCCCCAGAACCTCAAGTATCCTCACCTGCAGGGGGATATAGGCAGCAGTTCTCCAACCTTTCCTTTTTTCCTCGAACACCACCTCACATCCTGACATCTCCACTAGCAAATTAACTGCACAACTGGGAAGGTGGCAATAGCAAGGAAACCCTTGGCCAGAAGACAGCAGGCGTAGCTCCAGCCCCATCTCCTCCAGAAACTCTCTGTGGGAGCTCCGAGTTTCCTCCCTCTGGGCCTCAGTCTCCCCATCTGTGACATGGGAGCCTCCCTGCTCTGCAGCTCCAAGGAGCTCCCTAGTCTGAGGGGGTGAAGAAAAAGCAAAAGCCCTGCAAAGGGGTGGGAACAGCTGTTGCCTCCCCATTCTTTCAGCGCCAGGGAGACCAAAAGTCAAGGGTTTCCACTCCTCCCAGACCAAGACCTGGCCAACAGCCTTCTCTCTGCAGAAGTGAGATCCCCCCCCACCCCTGCTCCACACACACACATAGGCTTGTACCCCGACAGGCCTCTCAGGAAGCTGGAGCCGGGGTGAAGAGGGAGCGGACTCCAGGTGTTGAGGGCAGAAAGAGGGGGGCCAGGGCTCGGGAGGGCGTAGAGGCGAGAGGAGAAAGGGGAGGCTGAGGAGGACGAGGCCTGGGGCTCTTGGGAGGCTGGGGGAGTGGCAGGAGCTTTCAGAGGAGTCTTGAGGCTGCCCGGTGAAGGTGGGGGGCAAGTGGTCGCGGGGGCTGGAGTTCCTGTGGGGAACGGCGGAAGGATGGGGTGAGAACCAGCCTTGGCACCAGGGGCAGTGGGGGACCCAGACAGACACTGCAGGTGGCTTCCAGCAGTCTCCTGCGGGGACGGAGGTCTTCAGCCTGCTGCTGTCCGCCTGCGGCCCCTCCAGAAGGGCCTTCCCGCCCGGCCCGGGGGACAGGGCCGGCCCTCGGGAGCCCTCCGAGGGGCCTCAGGTCCTGCCCAGCGGGTCTGCTCGGGAAGCGGGGGCCCTCACCTCCACCAGCGGGTAGGCGATCTCGTTGTAAATCTGCTCGGTGAAGTGGTCCATGTAGTAGGCGCCGTCGAAGGTGAACTGCTTGGGGGGCTGGTCCGCGGCGCTCGGGTTCTGGATGAAGCACTGGCCGCGAGCGGAGTCCACCGTCACCACCAGCCGGCAGTTCAGCTCCCGCTCCCGCTGGTTCATGGGGCGGCAGCGCACCACCACCTTCACCGACTCCGAGGCCATGGCGCCGCCGCGGCGGGGGGGGTCCCCCAGGGCCGGCCCGCACGGGGCCCCCCAGCAGTCCAGGCTAGGGGGCGGGGCCAGCGCCCGCGCGGCGGGGCCGGGGCCGGGGCCGCAGCGGCGGGGGGACCGAGCTCCTCGGGGGGCACCCGGAGACGAGGAGAGAGCTGGGCGGCGGGGCAGCCGAAGGAGCAGAGGCGGAGCCGCCGCCTCCTCCCGCGCCCGGACTCGCCCGTCTCCCTGAGGCCCGGCCCGGGCGGGGGCGGGGGCGGGGGGCGGGGAGGCAGTGGCGGATCCGCGCTGTAGGCGCCGCCGCAGGACCCGGGCCCCCGGAGACGCCCCAACAGCCCGCTCGCTCGCGCGCACGTCGCCGCGGCGTCCGCGGTTGCTGGGCAACGCCGGGGGCGTCACAGCGCGCGGCTCCCTGACGCCAGCGCCCAGAGCGCCGGACGGAGGAAGCCCCACGTGTGAGGTCCCCAGCGCGCGTGCTGAAGGCTGGTGCGCCCTCGCGGGGGACCTGCGCTGACTTTGTCCACGCGCCTGCTGACTCGGTGCCAGGCTCTGCAAGTTCAGTTCAGTTCAGTCGCTCAGTCGTGTCCGACTCTTTGCGACCCCAGGGACTGCAGCACGCCAGGCCTCCCTGTCCATCACCAACTCCTGGAGTTTACTCAAACTCATGTCCTTTGAGTCGGTGATGCCATCCAACCATCTCATCCTCTGTCGTCCCCTTCTCCTCCCGCCTTCAGTCTTTCCCAGCATCAGGGTGTTTTCCAGTGAGTCAGTTCTTCGTGTCAGGTGGCCAAAGTATTGGAGTTTCAGCTTCAGCATCAGTCCTTCCAGTGAATATTCAGGACTGATCTCCTTTAGGATGGACTGGTTGGGTCTCCTTGCAGTTCAAGGGACGCTCAAGAGTCTTCTCCTACCCCACGGTTGGAAAGCATCAGTTCTTCTGCGCTCAGCCTTCTTTACAGTCCAGCTCTCCCGTCCGTACATGACCACTGGAGAAACCAGAGCTCTGACCAGATGCTGCACAGCCGTTCTCTTCCAGTCCCCACAGCCCCAGTTGTGAGAGGCTAACCACCTTGCTAGAGGTGGCCCAGGGAGCACCCCCGGCCCAGGAGATATCAGAGGAGCAGCCTCCCTCGGGGGTTAGAGACTTACCAACAAAGGGGACAGGGACCTTACTGCCCTTTATCCACATCCCTGTATTAACTCGGAAAGGCTGCCCCAGAGCCTGTACAGCGCCCCCTGCACCCCCACACCGGGCGGTGCCAGAGCAAAGCTTCCCTGTCATGCTGTCCCTTGTCTTTATTAAGACTCAAGCTGAAGATACAAAACAAACAAATTCAAGAGCCAAAGTCCTTTGGCTGGAGAGGCTGCCTGGCCTCTCTCCCCACACCTACCCCGACCCCCGCACAAATCCCTCTAGAAGAGCCCCTGGTCGCACCTCCTCTGGGCTCCCGTTTGCACAGAAATTGTCCGCTATGGGCCAGGCACAGCAATAGATGCTGGGAGAGAGCTCAGCCCCTGCCCTCCAGTGCACGTGTGGTCTAGTGGGGGAGGCTGACATTTGAAACAAATATCCCACAAACAAAAATCCCATAAATAAAAGAGTATTAACAAACTAAAGGAACAGATGTACTGGATAGTTGGCCAGGATACCTTACCCAGCCCGAGCAGGGGGCCAGGGGGCAGTCAGGGCAGGCTCCCTGAGAGTGAGATGGTAAGGTTGAGGAGTTCATCAGTTAAAGGAGAGGAGGGCAAGGAGGCCTGTGCAAAGGCCCTGTGGCATGTTGCAGGAGCAGAAGGATCAGCCGAGTGGCCAGAACATAAGGACTTGAGCCTCTTCCATACAGGAAATACCCACCTAAGGTTTTAAGCAGGAGTCGATTGAAGCTACCCACGCAATTCGTTCAAGACCTCCTGAGCCCCTGACGACAGGACCTCTGTCTGGTTCATCATTCAGCGCCAGCAGAAGGTATGGTTGGCAAACAAAAACAAAGCAGGCAAACTGGACAAAGCCCTGGCCTTTCAAAGGAAAAGTCTGTACTCAACAACCGCAAGAAATGCATTTTATTTGTTTCAAGTCCACACAGTAAGGAGGCTGGGCTACCCAGGTGGCACTGGTTGCAACAGAGGAAACTGTGGTCTATAATGAAGGCAGTGAGGTGTCTGCGCACGTGAAGCAGAAACCCGGCCTTGTTTGTGCCACGTGACCCAAAGCGCCGCGTGAAGGGATGTAAAGTACCGTGGGGACGCTCCCGACACCCTGTCCACACGACAACTTGTGCAACAAAATCTGTCCCTCACAGAGGTCAGACCAGTTGGCGGGGCTTCCTAAATGTGTGCGGCTCCGGGGTGGTAATCCTGGGCCCCACATCACCAAACCCCTCTCCTTGCCAGAAAAATGGGAGGCTGGGGCTCCTGAGGAAACAGGGCTTTGCCCAGGGCGGAGATGGCTTCCGGTAGTAAGGGCTGTAACGTGAGTCCAGGCTCCCACTCATATTCAGCACAAAACCACTGCTGCGGTTCCAGTGAGACAAGCGCCTAAAGGACGGCTTCCTCCTTCCATCTCTTGTGACAAGAGTGACAAGGCCCCAGCCAAGAGCCTTTACTGAGCCGGCGGGTGTAAACTGGGGACGCCAGGCCTGAACTTCTGAGGCCCCTCGTTCTTTTTATTCCGTTGGGGCTGCTCGTTTTTCCAGGAAAGTGTACTACTCTCAAGGCACTACGCAGTCACATCTGTCCCCAGAGAGGGAGAGAGGGGAGAAGGCAGCCCCCAGACTCACGACTAGACCTCTGCCTCAGGAGTGGAAGTTCATCCACCATGAACTTGCTCCCTAGTTTGGGAGATTCATGCTTGCCTGTCAAGTTTACTTATAAAGGCGGATACCTAGAGCTGTCACTGTGGGGTCATTTCCCTGGATGAATGCCCCCGTACCAGCCCAGGCCAAGTGTCCTCTGGCAGGGCCCACATTGGTTCTGCCTTCAGATGGTTCCTCCCTGACCCTCACCTCCAGTGGGGCTGACCTAGTGATGTGGTCCCTGACAGATGCCCATTAAGGGAAATGCCACCATGAGTTGGGGCGTGGACTTCCCAAGCAGCCACCCAATCCAAACCCAGTGTGGCCTGCAGGATGAGTGGATCAGGGCCCTAGTCACCCCCATGAGGCTGTAGCTTACTGCTGGCCCCTCAGAATCAAATGGCCAAAGGCAGTGAGGCTGGGTAGGGGGGTGTCTTGATGGTTTTTGGAGGGTGTGTGGGAAGAGACGAGTCTGCGACATCTCTTCTGTGTGAGCAGGAGGCCCAGCTCTGCAGTTCTGAGCAGACAAAGCAGCCTTCCTGATTTGAGGTTCACTGGGATCCTCTGCCCCGTCAGCCCGCTCACACTGCTTTCTACGCACAGGTGCCCACCTGGGCTCTGGGTGACTCGGCTCCTCTCTGCAGCCTCTTAACCCCCACACTTCAGGACTCAAGGGCGGGCTCCTTTCACCTCAAAGGACGTGGGAAATAGGCCGTGCTCCGTCAGCCTGGATGTCGCCCCCAAGCTCCACCACATTGTCCCTGCTTCTCTCACGGAGAGGGCGACTTGTCCCCACACCTCTGCCCAAAGTGAGAACTCCCTCCTGCCTGCCCACATGCCTCTCCCTCACGCGTCTGGCTGCCTTGGCCCGGAGCTCTCTGGGGACACCCAGTCAGGGCCCCAAGGCCTGGCCTGCTTGGGGGGGGGGGACCCACCTGCACTGGAACAACCTTCCTGCCCACTTTGGAAAGCTCCCCACCCAGGAGGGAGGTGAGACCCAGGGAAGGCAAGCATCAAGTCACCCGGCAAGTTCTGGGAAGCCTGGAGCTCAGTCTGCTGCGCTTGTGATCCTGACGGCCCGTGTCCTGGGGAGAAGCCCCTGGTGATCCTCACTCTCAGGGCCCCCCCACAGGCAGGGAAATGATGGAAGACTGGTCCCAGGGGCAGTGACTGGATGGAACTGGTGCCCAGCAGGGTGGAAGAGGCCAGAGCCGAGTGGCCCGCTGAGGCTCGGGAGCCAGGGTACAGCGGGGCCTGTTGGAGTGGGGCCCTGCCTCCTAGCCCAGACCCTGCAGCTCTGCCTCAGACTTGGCGTGGCCCAGGGGTCTGAGCGTCCGAGGAGGCCGGCCCTCGGGCCCGCAGTCCTGCTCCTCGTAGCCGGGGTTCAAGCGGCCCATGTCAAGGGAGCAGAAGAGGCTCCGCTCCGTTCCAGCGTGGTGCTCCACCAGGGCTTCCAGGCTGGGGAACTCAGCCGGCAGGTGCTGGGGAGGGGGCAGGGCAGGGACTTCAGTTCCAGCCCCCCATTCCCCACAGATGACGCCTCCAACTACCCCATCACCCTGGATCCTGCCTCACTTTAGAGGAATTCAGAGAGGACACTGTCCTGCTCCTAGCAGAACCACACCCCTTTCCCTCTCTTTATCTCCCCCGGGGCCTGGACAAGACTGAGGCACTTAGCGTGCAAATAAGGCCGAGCATTTAAAAAGCCATGCCTGCCCACCCCAGTCCCTGGAAACGTGTGATCAGGCTAGGACTCCAGACCTAGAGACTGTGTGAACTTAAACGCAAGCCTCGACCCTCTCTGAGTCAGTTTCCTCCTCTGCTAAAAGACGAGTTAGGGTGTGGGAAAGCATGACTTTTAAAAGCTGTGATTGATGTAAAAATGCGAGGCGTGACCCTAGCCCAAGACTCCACTGTGTGGAGTGTTAAGTTTCTGTGTGTTAAGTCGTTTCAGTCGTGTCTGACTCTTTAAGACCCTGTGGACTGTAGCCTGCCCGGCTCCTCTGTCCATGGGATTCTCCAGGCAAGAATACTGGAGTGGGTTGCCATCTCCTCCTCCAGGGGGATCTTCCCAACCCAGGGATGGAAGCTGCATCTCCTCTACGTCCTGCACTGACAGGCAGGTTCTTTACTACCAGCACCACCTAGGAAGCCCATGACTCTAGTTGAAATACCCTACTCTGGTGAGAGAGGGGCCTTAGAGTGGAGCGCGCAGAGTAGAAGTGGGGCCAGAGCCAGAAGGACCAATGGCTGAAGAGCCGGATGCAGCGTTAAATAGGGGGGTGGGGCCAGAGTGAGCCAATGAGGGGCCGGGGTGTGGTGTGAAAGGGGCGGGGCTTGACGGCGAGAGGTGTGGCCGGGAACCCTCTCACCTCCACGCAGTAGCGGCCCACGTGGTTCCGGAAGACCTGGTGCGGCACGACGCCGCACTGCGTCCTCACCGACAGGCACCACTGGCCACTGGCGCCCGGCTCAGGCCACAGCAGGAAGGCCCCCAGCACGTCTCTCCGCAGCAGCGCGAGGGCGCTGGGCCTGGGAGGGCCGAGGCCAGAGGCTGAGGGCCGGCCCCTTGTCGGGACCCAGCCTCAGTCTGCTGAATGGCCTAACAGACCCACAGCGTCGGAAACACAGTGCCTGCCCAGAGTATGCCTTCCAGGAAAGGACGCTTTCTGACTGCCTCTCAGAAAGGTTTCCAAGGGTTACCCTAAACTGTTGCCCCGCTAGGGAGAGAGTTTTAAAGCACAGGCATTTAGGAAGGCCGTTCCCTGTGACAGGCTTCACCTGAATAACCTTATTTGATCCTCTCCACAGCCCTGCAATGAAGGTCTGTATATTTTATTTTTTTAATTGTTTTTATCTTTTGGCTGCACCGCACAGCATGTGGGATCCTAGTTCCTGCACCAGGGATCGAATCCATGCCCCCGGCACCAGCAGCACAGAAATCTTAACCACTAGACCACCAGGGAAGCCCGGAAGGTCCTTTTATTATCCCCATTTTACAGAAAACTGAGGCCCAGGGGTGGGGAAGTCTCTGGCCTAAGGTCGGAGAGCCCTCCGTCCAAGGGCAGGGATGCACATCTCGGGGCCCTGGGGGAGCTCACAGCCTAGTTCCCCGCCCCTCCCAAAGGGCTGGGCACCACTCCTACCTGGAGATGCCAGCAAAGGCCCAGATGTTCTCCGTCAGGCTTCCCTCGCTCTCCACCAGGCACGAGGGGCCCCCGGGTGCCCGGGGCCAGGCCTCCCACGCGGCAGGAACTAGAGCGATCAGAGGGAGGGAGGTCGTCCTCTCCCGCGCCCATCCCTATTTCACCCCCACAGGCTTCGGCACCGCCCCCCCCCCCCCCGAGCTTTTCTCTTTACCAAGCCCCCCGCTCTCCGCCCAATCTGCACACATCGTGCTTCCCGAAAGAGACAGGCACACCCAGGCACACGCCTAAGCACACCCACTCGCCACTCACAGCACTTCAGTAGCTATGCCCGCGCCTCGGCCAACAGCAGCTGGGCGCTCAGCCCCGAACGCATCCTCGCGCACGGAGCCCCAGCACTCAACAGGCTTCTATAGTCACAGCCCGCAGACGCTGCCGCTCAGGCCCACCCTCGCCCAACCCACGCCAGTGCACGCGTGCCCGGCAACTCACGGGCCTCGCGGGCGGACAGCTGCAGCTGCGTCTCGTAGGTGCAGGCGCGGTAGGCCCCGGAGCGGAGCACCTTGCTGCGGATGGCCTTCTTGCGCACCAGCGTGGGCGAGCAGTACGGGTTCCCTAGGCGCGCGTGGCGGGCACCCACGCGGCTCCCTGACTCCAGCAGCTCCTTCTAGGGAGGGCCCCACAGGGGCGCCCAGACTCAGGCCCGCCCGACCATAGCCCCTCCCACGGAAATCCGGCACCCCCCCCCCCTCGACCTCCAAACCCTCGCCCCGGTCCCCCGTCCCCTGCCCACTCCCTGGCTGGGGTGCTGCATACCCCGCTGCCCCCAGACCCCTCTGCCGGCAGCCGCCGGAAGGAGACCAGCGCGTTAACGTTCTGTGAGAGCTGATCCCGGCCGAAGGGTTCCCGTACTAGGCCAGGGGGGTGCCCGGGGCCGGACACCGGCTTCAGGGGCACGTCCCCCACAGTGCTCGGGCATGGCTCGGGCCGCGCCCGCTCTTCCGGGTGCTGCAGGAGGTAAGCGAGCTGGAAAGAGCGGCAGAGCAGCAGGTGAAGGATCTGGACCTGGGGAGGGAGAGGGAGGTGCGCTCAGCTGGGAGGCTCCTGGGGGATCCCTGGGCATCAACCCACGGGCCAGGGGTGCCTGCAGCCCCCTGGCTTGAGGTGCTCTTCCCTATTCTTCCTGAGAAAACGAATACTTAGCCCTCAAAACCTCACCACCATGCAGCCTCCCCTCCCATCTTCCTTGATTCATTTAGCAAACAGGGAGCGTCTACTTTGTTCCAGGCATCGTGCTTGGAGCTGGGAATACATGGGCTAAATGCACTCCTAGCCCTCAGTTACTAACCCCACCTATATCCTCTTAGAGGCATGGCTGAGAGTCCAGGCCCTGAAGTCATAGGACCTGGGATCTGATCCTGGCCCTGTCGCACAGGAACTGCTGGGTGACCCCTGGGAACAACATGGCGTCTCTGTGCCCCTTTAACGACATGGACCACAGGAACCACCACCCCCCCCTGCCCCGGCCCAGGGGAGGCTCAGCACTCTGAGACCTGCACGTTCGATCCATCACACAGGCAGCATCTAGCCCCAACATGGAACTATGAGCTCCAAAAGTTCAAGGGTCATGGCTTGGCCACCGGTAACCCCAGTAGCCACACAGGGCTCAACACACAAGGGTGACAGCAAAGGCCTGCTGCCTGGAACCAAGCCCAGGCCCTGCTGCCCAAACGGCCGGCTGCCCCGGCTCTGCTGTTAGCAGCAGAGCTTTGACTTTTAGGATCCACCCGTCCATCCTCTCTCCCCACAGGGCCAAGCAACAGAACAGTTCAAGACCCAGACCCAGCCTCTGCACTCAAAAATTCCAGTGACTGCAGTGAGGGACAGACAGATGGCAGAGTGCAGTTCAGGTCACAGGATGGCAGAAGGCGGGGTGGTCTGGAGGATTCAAGCCGGGCTGAACCTCAAAGGGCAAGCTGGAATTTGCCAGGATGAGGAGGGGGAGGGGCGTGGAGGCAGGCAGAACAGCAAGGACGAAGGCCTGGCAGTGTGAGCCTCCCGGCCTGCTGCCCGTCTCCCAGCCCGAGGCATGCTGAGTCCACTGACTCACACTGGGGGGTTCCTCCGAAGGCAGAGCCACGAAGGAGCCAGGGTGACGAGGGGTACAGGCCAGGGGGTGGGGGTGCTCAGGCCAGCTCGCTGAGCCAGCCACGGCCTCGGTCCCTGGGACCCATGTGGATGCACAGCACACCGCCCCCCCGCAAGCCCCAGTGCTGGGACTCTGCCCTGGGCCCCGGGTACCTCCCCAGGCTGGCTGCCCACAAAGAGGTGGCAGAAGAGCTTGCTGGCCGGGCTCCTGGGGTTTCGGGCCATGAAGGCAAACTGGCAGTCGGCTGGGCACCAGGTGGCATAGAGGATGCGCTTTAGGGCATGAGCCATCAGGAGCACCTGGGAGGCAGCAAGCCCGCGGACTCCATCAGACCCACCACGTGGCCGCAGATGCCAGCCAGCGCACGCAGCCCCGCGGGCGCCATGCCCCGGCCGGCGGCGTCGCGGGTCTGCCCTCCAGCCTGGGTGCCAAGCTGGGGGCCCACCCAGCTCCTGGGACGAAGAACTCTGCCCTCCTTCCAGGCCTGCCCAAACTACGCTTCCCATGGGCACCCTCATCCTTTACACGGACCCTGAGCTCGGGGCCCCTGCCCTGGGCTGCCAACCAGCTGACCGGGGTGGTCGTGCTGGGTCATGGAGCCGAGGGGCAGAGCGTTCACGGCCTGCAGGGTCACAGGGCCAGGCAGTAGTGGCCGGCCCTGGGCTTGCACTCCTGGTCTCGGGAGTCAGGTGACCAGGGTTCGAATCCGGACTGTGTCACTCACTCTCCGGTGCCTTGGGCAGCTGAATACAGCTCTCTGAGCCCTTGCTGGGACGAGTGTTAAGGAGGGACAGGACCCCTCCGATGGGGCCGTTGGAGGGCGTCAGTGAGACCTCGTGCAGGTGGTACAGTTACTGACCCCAGGGCCCCCACCGTGCCAGCTCTGGACGCATTGGCACCACAGCGTAGGAGAGTGGCGCCAAGTCGTGGGGCACCTCGCCTGGCACACAGGGCTGGAGTTCATTTTTTTGGGCTGGTTTTTCACCAAGAGGAGGATGGGTGACCAAACAGGGGCTCCCAGCCCGCCTCCAGCCTGCCTGGCCCTATTCCACAATCATGAGACGCTGGCCACAGCCCCCCTGGCCCAGCCTGGGGACCGGCCCAGACCTCATGAGGTCGGCTGGGCCTGACGCTCAGGCTAGGAGCTGGTCCCTGGAGATTCTAGGGCTGGAGGCAGGGAGTGGGGTGGGGTGGGGTGGGGAGAAACTAGGGAGAGGGCCCTTGGAGAGAGGATGTCCAAAGGCCCAGGGCAGGCTGAGAAACCGGGGGAGGCTGCAGGGCTGGGCAGAGGCGTGTCCCCGGGGAGCAGGACACCCGGGGGGTCCTCACCTGCACCCCCCGCCCCCCGCGGGCTCCTACCTCGCCCTCCCCGCTGTAGATCTTGAGGCCCTGAAGGCTGAATTTCAGGATGACGGCCCGGCGACGGGGACAGTCCTGGGTGGGAGAGAGTGAGTGGGGGGCGTCGTCACCACCCGGCCTGCCCAGCCTGCCCTCTGACCCCGGGGCTGGTCAGCAACTCCGCCCCCCTTCCCCATCCCCCCTCCCCTCTCCACCACAGCTGCCAGGGGGCGGAACCCTGGACGGGGAGTCCCCGGGGGTTGGCCCAGCGTGCATGGTTCCTGGCAGACCAACCACCAGGCCCGTGATGACCGCCCCCCACATCTCCCACCTGTGGGGCCCAGGTCACGACTGCCGGGGGGAAGGGAGCCTCGGGGCATGAAGAACGTGGCTCCAGGAGCCCGCGTGTGGTCCCAAGGGCGCCCACCTCTCAGAAAGACTTTGGTTCCGCCCTTCCCTGGGTCTCACTTGCTCGGTCTTTCTGAATGGGGGACTGGGGTGGACCCAAGGGCCTCAGAGGTCATTCCCAGCCCGACACTCCGGGGCTCTGAGCCCAGGGGGGAAGTGCCCCCTGCCAGCCCGCTACCTTCAGCGCCCACAGCTGCTGTTGGACCAGCCACACGCTCTCCTGGGGGTCCAGGTCGTCCACGGGGAAGGAGCCCACGTACTGCTTGGGGGCAGGGGTGCGGGGTGGGGGGGGCGGGGTAGTCAGGCCCCTGGCCCTGATCCCCACTCTCCACGTGACCCTCCTCACACACACTCTGCGCTGTGGGGGAGGCTGGTGGGTGGCAGAAGGCATCCCCGGGGCCAGGTTCCACCGCCACCCGCCCCCCCCAGGCCCCATGGCCTCATTCGCGGGCACACACTCCAGAGCCGCCCCCCTCCCCCCGCCCAAGCTGGGAATACAGGGGCCCGAGGCTCCTCCCCCAACCCAGGGCCAGCCCCGCCCCCGGGGACCGACCCCACCCACCTGGGCAAACTTGGTGATGCACCGGGGCCGCTGAGGGGCAGGGCCGCAGTCGGAGGCCCTCCGGCCCCCGGCCCCCGCCCTCTGCATGGCCCCCAGGGCCGCCGGCTTCCTGCTCCGACGGAGAGGAGGCTGCAAAGGGCAGGGCGAGGAGGGCTGGCGCCCAAGGCTGGTGCCCAACCTCGGAGCACCGGTCAGAGGCTCCCCTCCGCGCGCTGGCATCCAGCAAGCCCTGCCTGGGCGCCTGCTGTGTGTGCCAGGCAGCGTCCTGGGCCCTGGGACACAGGGGACACACACCCCAGGCAACACGACAAAGTCCCCGCCTGCCCTTGTGGAGCCGACATTCAATTAAGCCATCAGTAAGATATGGAATATGCCAGATGGTGATAAGGGGCTTTCCTGGTGGCTCAGCTGGTAAAGAATCCACCTGCAATGTGGGAGACCTGGGTTCGATCCCTGGGTTGGGAAGATCCCCTGGAGAAGGGCAAGGCTACCCACTCGAGTATTCTTGCCTGGAGAATCCCATGGACAGAGGAGCCCAGTGGCCTACAATCCGTGGGGTCACAGAGTCAGACACGACTGACTGAGAGACTAACACAGATGGTGACAGAGCAGAGAACAGGCCATGAAGGGCAGGCTGGGGGGTGACCACGGCAAAGAAGTTCTCGCCGAGGTGTGAGGTTGGAGGAAGGGGGAGCGGACATGTAGCCAGCTTGTGCAGAGTGCCAGGGGAGGGGCACCCTGGAAGATACCACCCAAGAGGAGGCATGTGACAGCGGCCTGAACAGGGTCTGCGAAGGCCCCGAGGAGCTGGGCAGCTGGGGCCCCAAGGCAGAACTTACCAGAGCAGCACCTGGGATGGGGTCAGCCCAAACCGTCACACGAGGGGACTGAGGCGCTGCCCCGTGGGCAGCAGGGAGCCACAGCAGGTGCCAGGGCAGGACGCCTGGAGTCCACGGGGCAGCGGTGGCCCCTGAACTGAGGTGACCCTGGCTCCTTCTGTCCAGCCTGACCCCAGCCTCTGCCCAAAGCGCCCACTCCAACCAGAGCCGGTACTGGTGCTGAGTCAGAGGGGAGGGAGGGTGGACCCAGCCCAGCCCGGGCGCTGGTGTGTCCCAGATCTCCCGGATCCCCCAGCAGAGAAGAGGAGGGACACTGCTTTCCAGACTGTCCTCGGGGGCAGGGAGGGCGCGTCCTTCCCCCTCAGAGCTCAGGGCATAGCTGATGCTCAGTGAATGCAGTATGAATGCATCCTGCCACCGCGGAGCCTGCACGTGGCAACTGGAGAAGCTGATGCCCTGCCATGGAGAGCTGGGTCTCGGGAATGAAGACCCAGCCCGGCCACAACATAAATGAAAAAACGATAGCAACAACAACAACAAACGCATCACAAAACGGAATGACTGAATGTCTCTGCCTCAGTCCCAGGATTCAGCTCCCTCAGGCTTCCTCGGGGCCAATTTAGACACCCTCGTCCATCCCCCATCCCGGAGGGCTCCGTCTTACCAGGCCGCTTGTAAATCACTGCATTTGGGATCAGAGAGACCCGGGTCCAAATCCTGTGTGATTTTGCATAAGCTGCTTCACCTCTCTGAGCCCCCCATTTCCTCAACCCCAAATGTGGGATAACGTGTGGCACTGGTGAGACCTGAACGCAGGCACAGAACTGAGCACGATGCCCGCCAGGGTCAGAGCTGTGGCCGACAAGGACGGTCTCGTGTGGAATGTCGTTGCTGGTGTTCAGTCGCTCAGTCGTGTCCGACTCTTTGCGACCCCATGGACTGCAGCACACCAGGCCTCCCTGTCCATCACCAACTCCCGGAGTTTACCCAAACTCAGGTCCATCGAGTCGGTGATGCCATCCAACCATCTCATTCTCTGTCGCCCCCTTCTCCTGCCTTCAGTCTTTCCCAGCATCAGGGTCTTTTCCAGCGAGTTGGCTCTCCGCGGCAGGGGGCCACAGTATGGGGGACGGGGGACCCACTCGAGAGGGGATCTCAGGGACAGTGAGGTCTGATTACTGTCAGGGCCCCCTTGCAGCAGGCCACAGCTAAGAGGAAACCCCCAATCTAGGAGGGCAGGCGTGCCTGGGGCCACAATTCCTGCCAAGAGAGAGCAGGGATCAGAACGCGCTGGGCAGGAGATGCGTGCACCGTGGGTGTGCTCTAGCACCTGCGGGAGTCCTGGACAAGGCGGGTTTGGGAGATCGCCTAGAGCCCAGCAATGGCCCCTACCTCAGCCTTGTCCGTGACCATCAGCCCCAGCAGCTGGCTCAGGCCAGCTGGGGGCACTAGCAGCATGAAAGGGCATCAGTGAGCCTTTAAAAGAAGCCTGCATGGTCCCCTCGAGGGCTTCCTCGTTCCGCCCTCCTGCTTTCCTGGGCCCTCCCACCTCTCTTCACATTTTGATCCTAATTATTTTTCACATCACGACCATTACCTACCATCATTTTACGTTTAAATACAGCAAGGTTAGGGTGTAACTGGCACAGAAGCTATGTGGCCCTGGTTCCAGGTACGGAGATGGGGCTTCCAGGGAACTGGACCTTCAACACATCCTGGGCTGGGATGCCTGGTGCCCGCAGGCAGGGGTAGGGGGGAACAGAGGAGGCAGAGACCAAAACCCAAACCAAATGGGGCAAAAGGGAGAGAGGGAAGGAGCAGAGGATGAAAAGCATGACACACCTAGACAGCATATTAAAAAGCAGAGACGTTACTTTGCCGACAAAGGTCCATACAGTCAAAGCTATGGTTTTTCCAGTAGTCATGTACGGATGTGAGAGTTGGACTATAAAGAAGCTAAGCGCCAAATAATTGATGCTTTCGAACTATGGTGTTGGAGAAGACTCTTGAGAGTCCCTTGGACAGCTAAGACATACAACCAGTCCATCCTAAAGGAGATCAGTCCTGAATATTCACTGGAAGGACTGATGCTGAAGCTCCAATACTTTGGCCAAAAGACCCTGATGCTGGGAAAGATTGAAGGCGGGAGGAGAAGGGGATGACAGAGGATGAGATGGTTGGATGGCATCACTGACTCAGTGGACATGAATTTGAGCAAACTCCAGGAGATAGCGACGGACAGGGAAGCCTGGTGTGCCACAGTCCATGGGGTCACAAAGAGTAGGACCTGACTTAGTGACTTAAGAAGAAGAAGTGGAACAGAGGAGTGAGAAGAAAGACAATGGAAAGAGAGATAAGGGAAAGATGGGAGGAGGGAGAGGTGGGGAGCAGGGAGCACATCTCACTCAGAGGGTGGGAGTGGAAGGAGGCACCGGGGCTGTGACCCCTCCCACAGCCAGGACAGCAGTGTCTGAGGCTGCAAACAGCCTCCTCCCCAGAGCCACAGCTTTCTTGGGGACACCCCGGGGTGTAGGCTGTGGGGGTGCAAGGGGGAGACCAGGCCACTGGGCCCTCTTATGGGTCCAACTTCACCCCCACATCACCTGATCCTTCTTCCCCCAACCTTGGAAAACTGGAAGTTTCTCCCTCCTAAGCCCGAGGGATACAGTACCTTTCAGCCCCAGACTGCCCAGGGGACCAGGGAGGGGAGAGGCTCACAGAAGACTGGAAACAGACCCGCTGACCTATTCCAGGCACAGACATCCACGGATCCCTTTGATCAGATCTGTTTCTCTTAGGTTTTTGCACAGGAGCCTGGCTCTGGGCCAGAAGGTCCTAAGGGGACACATTTGGAGCAAGGCTGGGGCCCTTCTCTTGTTCCTCTGACATTTTCCAGGTGGCCACTTAAGAGACCGGGCCCGGATGGGTGGACTACCTCGAGGGGCACGGATGGAGCCCTCTGCTGTGCTGTACTACAGCCAAGTGGTGTCCTAAGGAGGGCCCACCTTCCAGCGTCACCGGAGACCCCTCAGCCTGCAGGCTCCGAGCTTAGCAAATGGTGGCTCACCTGCCCAAAGTCACACAGCAAAAGGGGAGCTGGGAACCCACTGTGGGTCTATAGGGCTCTTCCCCCCTCCCTGCCCCCCATCCCCGCTATGGCAGTGCTCGCCCCCAAGAAAGCAGGTGTCCACCTCCTGAGTTTGGTGGGTCCCAGCCTACCCAGGGGCAGGTGAGGTGAGGAAGCAACAGCAGCAGTGCTGGGGGTGGATGTGATCAGCTGCTTTCTCCCGCTGCCTGCCTCCCAGGCCAGACGGTCTGGAGCTGCCAGAGGCACTCCAGACTCGCCACACTGTCTTTGGCTCCGCAGCACAGAAGAGCCCCCCTATTCCCAGGACAGCCCCCTACCCCCAGGGCAACCCCCGCCCCGTGCCAGCCCTGGCTGCCCTTGGCCACAGGGTGGGAGAGACTAAGGTCAAAACCGTGGATGGTGGGGTCCCCACGACGTTGACTGATGTCACCAACATCAGCCTCCATGTCCTCAACCAGAGAGTGGGCTTAATGATAGCAGCTGCCTCCTGGAGTTGTTCATCTATCTGTTCCTTCTGAGAATATTTCCAAGCACTACGTTCCAGGTGAACAAAACAAAGTCTCAGCCCTCAGCAAGCTGGCCTGAGGAGGGGCAGGGGTGGATACTGGAAATCAACAACATTTCAGGGAAGCTGAAGCGACTTGGAGGAAAATACGGCAGAGTGAAGAGGACCTGGGATCTGCGTGCGTCTCTGTCAGTGGGGGAGGTGCCATCAAATTTAGGCTCCCCGCGCAGACGACATGAAGAGGAAAGTGCTGTTTTCAGGATTAAAGTGGGGCCGAAACCAGATGCGCGGCGGTACAGAACGCTCCGCAGCGTGGGGAATTATTCCTATCACTGTAATTCCCAGGGAGCACTGTCAGGGTTCCCGGCCGTCCCCGGGGGCGGAGAAAGTCTTGCCCACCCCCCGTCCCCCAACAGAGGGGCGAGCGAGGCAGGACGCTAGCCAACGGGCTGGTGGAGGTGATGGACGGTGATGGTGGAAGTGACAGATGATGACGGTGATGGGCGAAAAGGAGACAGGCGACTCCCCATCCGACACGCGCCCCCCCCACGCAACCACCCACGCACCTCAATCTCCACGCCCTGGAACCGAGTCCCGCTTCAGCCGATCCGCCAGTCCCAGGCCCCGCCCGACTCCCCGGACGCTCACTCACCGCGGGCCCGGAGTCCCGTCCCTGCCGCCCGGCGCTGCGACCCGCGAGCCTGCACCGCGCGCCCCTCCCCTGCCTCCCGCAACTCCCAGCGCAGCCCCCACGTGGCCTCGGCTAGCTGCCTCCACATCACCCGGCCCTCGGCCTCACCCGCCCAATCGGCGCCCGCGGAGCCGCTCCGCACGCCCGCGCCGGCCAATCGGCGCCCGCGAGGGGCCCTGGCTCCGCCCCCTTCGTCTCGCGCCCCGGTGCTCCGCCTTTAAAGCAAGAACGGGGGGCCGCTCACCGCTGCTCAGGACGCCACTTTTCGGGCGGGTTGGGGGGTTCTGAGTGCTAGGGGACTCGCCGATGGTTCCCCCCTCTTAGGGCGTCTTTCTCCTCCAGACCCCCCAACCCTCCACCTCCCCACCCCCCCACCCCCGGCTATAGCTCCTTTTCGTCATCTCGGCGGCGGCTGCGGCAACACCTCCTCCGGGAAGCCTTCCCTGACCACCACCGGTGACCTCACTTCCTTAAAGCTCTTGCCACTCCTGTCAGCATAACTAACCCATCTTACTAGAGGGCCCTCGGCCCCGGCCCGGAGGCGCCTCTCTCCCCAGTGCGCAGGCACCTGCTGGCCCGGAGTAGGCGTTCCGGGCTTGTCGTCTTAATGAGTGAATGAAGAAGGCGTCACGATCCGGCCTCTGGGAATCCCCCACCCCCACCCCCGGCCAGCCTCAGCCCTGGTTCCCTCAGCCCCAGAGGGGTGGGAGGTGTGGGACAGCCCTTTCCTCGCCCTCCTCCTGCCGGCGTTCCTTGTAAGAGATTTAACTGACCCTGCCCAGGCGGCTCCAAGAAATCTGGGCAGTTAGCTCTGCAGGGGGGCCATGACCTTGTCCTTTGGGTTACATGAAAATCCACTGAGATGGGGTGAGCAAATTCAGCCCAAAGTGTCAGCACAGACCCTGTGCTAAGTCGCTTCCCTCTGTTCCGACTGTTTCGGGACAGCCCCCCAGGTTCCTTTGTCCATGGGGTGCTCCAGGCAAGAATATTGGAGTGGGTTACTATTTCCTCCTCTAACAGACCTTGTAGGTGCCACAGAAATAAATGGCAAGCCCGGTTCAGCCCAGTCTTTGGCATGTATGACGTCTGAATTCTGTAGAGGTAACGCCAGCAGCTGCCACATGGCAGGAAAGCATGGGCGGCAAAGGCAGGCAGGCACCCTGAGGGAGGTGAGTGGGCACTGCTGAGGTCTGACTGCCTCAGGGGAGTGGGGGAAGAGGTGGGTGTGAGCCCTGAGGGCCTGCTGGGCATCGCTTCATCTC